CAGATATTTGTTACAGTGAACAAGTAATGTCACCTATAGTCCTACATGGAGAAGAAAGATCGCATAATGCATTATCTCTGGTTGGAGACAGAGGATCCTTAATGCTTTGTACCCTTTGAGAGGAGAAGTAACAATTGAGCTTTATGCTTAATGAGAGATGAAGGATCCATCATGCTTTACTCATAGTGAGAATGAGGATCCATTGTGCTTTATCCTTAGTTACAGCAGGAGCATCCACTGTGTCTTAAACTTAGTGAGAGAATGATTAATTGTGCTCGAACCTTAGTGAGAGAAGGAGGATCCATTGTTCTTCATTCCCAGTGAGAGGAGGAGGATCCACTATGCTTTATCCCTACTGAGAGGATGATCCACCATACTTTTATCTCTAGTGGAAGATGGAGGATCCACCATGCTTTTATCCCTAGTGAGAGAAGAAGGATCCACCATGCTTTATCCTAATGTGAGAAGGAGGCTCCACACATTTTACAAATTTTATGATCTTTACTTGCAGGCATTGACCTCCTATATCATTTTGACCCCAGTTCTCTGCACTTGCTGCAAAATTAGGTATTCTGCCAGTACAACATATGCAGTGAGCATGCCAACTGCTCTTTATATTGACTTAGTGGTTGCAGATCATGTGGATACCTTTCAAGGCAGACCTGAATGAAGGAGTAGATGTGTGGAACTGAAAAAGATCAGATGTATGAAATTATATAACTTGTATGTTGGTGATAATATAATTTATTCTCACTCTTGCATTCATGTTGCTGTTTTTATTATAGTTTCCCCACCCTCTACCACCACCACCAAGCATAGACTCAGAAAGCTGTGATCCCCTGACTTTGAGCAATGAGAGAAACTGTCTTAATTGTTTTGTCTTTCAGACGTGCGCCGACTGCTTCTTTCCATGACAGCAAACACAATATTGCCAATGTACACTTTGATGCAACAAGAGTGTGGTTATTGACATCAGGAACTGACAAGATCCTAAAGGTTTGTTGTTTGAGTTACATGTCATGTTTGTAGCCAGGAATACACCCTGTGACCTTGCCCTTTAGTGATTGTGGGGGCTTAATGACACATTTCATTATCATGAATGGGGCTGGACACAAGGTAGTGCCTTTCATTATCTTGCTTGGTCAAGAAGCAACTGCTACTGCACACTAGCCAAGATGTCAGCATATAGTTATTTAATAAAAAAAAAAATCATAACTTTCTTGTGTCACCAATTCCTATATAAGATTTAAAAAAAAAAGGGGGGGAGAGACAAACGTCAATGTAATGTTGGCAGTGGGAGATATTCAGACGATTTTTTACATTTGTGGATGTTTGTAACACATATAAACCAATAGGACCCACAATATAACAATACATTTATTCTTAAAGTTCAGTATAAGAAGCAAGTATATCTTACCAGCATGCATATAATGTCTTGCCTGAGTCCATCTACAGTCACTATACACTTAACCCAAACCCTTGCTAAGCACTATGAGCATATGTTAATCCACTCAGTTCTTCAGTGGGTATCAGTTAAGCAGTCGATGAGAGCCTTATCATGTTCTTGCTGATTAATTATAAAAGAGAGTGAATGTATTTACATATTGTGTCAGTTTATCGATTGATGTAGTTTATTTTTGTTTGTTTTTCTTCTTCTATCTTGTAGCTATGGGATATGACCCCTGTAGTTTCATGATGACACTCTGACCAATGTGCAGTTTCGCAGCAACTGAGCCTGATTGTCCATCGCTTGTTGGACCACAGAGAGCTTCATACAATGAGTAGAAGCGTCTTTCTTGAAACCCTAGAGGAGTGAACGGAGTTAGCCTTTTATTGAATAATGACTTCTCCAAAGATGAGATCTGTACGTTCCCTTTTTAACTCCCAAACAGAATCCACGATTGCAAATGAAAGCTAGGGTTCTTATCTAATTTATTGATACGTCCTACAACATATCCTCCTTGTTTGCACATGTTCAGTTTTTTTTTTTTTTTTTTTTACTTTATCACCAGATTTGAAGTGTCTCATCCAGAAAGGATTTTTAGTGCTACGCACATAGTTTGTAGTGTATTTAACTGTTCAAATTGCTGCTCTTTGTGTTATGGTTCTAATTTAATTTAGCCTGTCGGACCTCTAGTGCATTACACATTCCTATAGAAGAGCCTTAGTAGCGGGTGCAATCACTGGGACAGATAGAGGTGGTGTCCGGCACAGTGTTATAAACACCTGACTATAAGAAACATCTGGCATATTCTAATTTAATTGATGATCAGGGTATTTTTTGGTTTTGTTTTTTTAAAAAATTTAATATAGGGCTCTTATGTTTTAATATTTCCAGTGGCTTAACAAGGATGCTTTGCTCTTTGATTCCAGTGAAATGCTCGTTACACCTTTGTGAGTTCTGTGCAAGAGTCAAAATTTGGGAGAGTCGTTTCCCATTGACTTAGGCCTATCTTTCTAACAAGTGTATTTTGCCAGCAGCCTTTTTTTTTTTTTTTTTTTCGTGCAGTCTGTTTTTTTGATATACATGTGAATCAAACCTTCAAAAAAGGGTTTGTGGTAGCAGCTTATTGAAACCTAGCAAATCGATATTCAAAAACCCTGCTCTTACAGTCATGCTAGGATTGTTTGTGCAACTGATCCTGTTAGCCTTACTTTGCTAAGTTATGGTGTACGTGATGATCGACCTGTTGTTTTAATGGACAGATCATGTTATTTTTAAAACACATAATTTAAATATTTGCTTATTCCCATGTATCACTTGGTGTACAATTCATGTGAGTAATTATATGTCTGTGCAACATGTTGCTTATAATCTCTGCAGTAAAATGTCCTCTGTTGACTTGCTGTGTGATTACCATGTGAAATGAACTCCCTTTCCTGTCTTTGTATGTGTGCACTGACATAACTGCTGTCAGTTTTATGCTTAATGTTCTGGATTAGTGAGCATTCAGGTGTTCCTTTCCTCCGAAACAGAGCTGATTGCATAAGGTAATCACAGTAGTAGATCTGTAGCTTGGCCAGTGAAAGGCCCTGGATACATCATAAACCACTTGATTTATGTCATCCAAAACCCCTAAAGGATATTATTTTTCCAGTATATGTATGTCGTCCGAACCTCTAAAGGATATTCTTTTTACAGTAAATTTCAGTTCACCACCATGTGTCCTCCACCCACATGTTAATGGTGGCTGTGTAATGGAAGAGGCAGTGAAGGGATTGAGGGTCCTTATCCTCCTTCTCTTCATCCTCCTGAAACTTCACGTGGCTACACTCAGAATGATCATCCTTCCTGGAGACATATTGCTGAGAGAGTTAATAGCGAGCCATTGTTTGTAATCCCATCCTAGTGTTGAATGTACAATTCCAACCCTATAAAAGCCAGTGTTCCTGCAACCTGGTACATTTCTTCACAAAAGTGTTTTGCTCTATAAGTGTCTTCTGCTGCTCATTTTCCCTGTACGTCGGTGTCGTATCATAATAATAATAACTGGAGTTCGAGAGGCTGAAACTAACTCATACAAAAATCAAGCAGCTTGTGATCTCCATCTGTCTGGCTCCAAATGACCAAGTTGAGCACAAAAGGACAGGTGGTGAAAAGTGAGTGACTTTGTTGTCCCAAATACCTTGTTGCTGTCCCTCAATAGCTCAGCTGCTATGTATATTGGGTGTCTTAACGGAACATCATGAGATTTGCAGTAAAGTTTAATAACACTATTTTTTTGGATCAATATATCACGTTTGATCTGAGAAAACCTTTAGCACTTTGGATACTGTAGGGAGTCCAAACTATTCAAATGTCACGTTTGATTGAATAATTAAATAAAATATGTGACTTAGAATCCAGTTTAATTCCTCTAATTGTTTACACCCAGGTCTTGTATTTTTATTGGTTTTCTAATGAAAAGATTTAAAGAATATTGTTCACTTTGTAACTGGCTATATATGGTTCTAGAAACCTCGGTGTTAATTAGAATCTCTCATATCCGTTCCAGTAATCCCAGATGAATTGGGAAACAAAACAGTTAATCCACTTTCTGCACCATATTTCGTAGTTACTGTTAATGTAAATCATGCAATTGCTTTTATAATATAAAAAAATACCCGTAACTTTAATGTATAACCTTATAGCATTTTTAAATGCAGCCATATTCATGTTCAAGTTAAAGCATTCGCTTATAACTCATTTTTATTTTTTATTTTTTTTCTTGTTTATTGTCAAATCTAGAGAGATTTATAGCCCAGATGGTTATTGCAGCTTTTCTTTACTGTGTAACTTTTAAATAAAATTAAATTAAAAATAAATAAAGTATAACTGCTAACTTGAAGTTAGGACCAAACAAAATATTTTGGATGTTGATTACTAACATATTAAAATGTTATGTATATTTAGAGAATATTTTTTGGGCAAATATTAAATATAATTCTTCCCCTTTCTTTAAATACTAACCGAATCAGAAAAAAATAGCATAGAAGATCAATTATAGAATATATGAGATGTAAAATAAAAATAATCAAAAACCTAGCTGTCCAGGTATCTTGTAAAGGATATCCTGATCTATTTCAGAATGTACATTCCCAAAATTCCACCATAGTATAAACAATATAACTGTGTGTGTTCTCTTAATGCTTAAAGGAACACTCTAACGTAGAAGTACAAAAAGTATTTTCCTCTCTATTTAGATCCAGCCCCCCCATAACAATTAAAATAAGTTTGTTTTACTTACCTGTAGTCCAACAGTGCTTTAGTTTCCAGTCCTCCCCTGACAGCGATCACCATTACAGATGTTCTCAGCTATTCCAGTTCTGCTCCAATTGCTGCTCTGTTCCAATCACCATCTCCTTACAGAGCTGCATTAGATCAGTGCATCTCTATGGTGAGAATTTTCTGTCTTCATGCAAAGCGTAAGGTTGTAGAATGTTGGTCCTGCAGAGGACAACACCTGGAAAAGCCTTGAGTGACACATTTAAACACTTTTCTCATAAAATGTAGTATTTACAATTGTCAACCTGCAGAGACCAGAACCATTACGTTAAAGGGAACCTGTCATGCCCGGAATATCTTAGGCTCATTGGATTGAGCATCAAATTCTGTCTATACATTATGCTATCTGTTTTGCTAGCAAATGTATAGATTAGGAGAAAACCCATCTAAAAATATGCTTTTCTCCCAGCTGTCAGTCCATGCCTCAGCATGCTGAGGCATTAAGTGACAAGCAAAGCAGAAGAGACCTCCCACTGGTGATCATTTTGCTCTCTTAAGTATAGCAACCACAGCGCATTTGCTTTGGAAACTACTTTCTAGCGCTGACTAGGGTGTATAGGAACAGAGTGACGTCACTCTATTCCAACACTGGTAACAAAGCCAGGGCAAAGATGGAGCAGAGGATGGGCCGGAGGTAGGTGTTACATGAAGAGTAACACTCACAAAGCTTGAAGGTGGTGGTGCTGGGATGGAGAGGTGAGTAGATCTCTATTTTACATTGAATAAATCATTTATCTTTGTGATGGTGTGTATTCAATGTATATGGGAGGGATCTTAAGTTTGTTTTTGTTTTTCACGACAGGCCAAAAAAAGCGGGCATTTGTATTTTAAATGATATTGCGCATTTTAGCTTCTCTTGCAGGCTGCAAGTATGACCTGATGTATGCCCAGTATTCTTCTTGAGCTCTTCTTCCTCCTCAGCTGGTGTTGAGCAGCACCGTACCAATTAGACCAGGCAGCCTTTCACATTTGTAAAGGGATATATTACATTTTCTCAGAAGAGCTGACTGGAGCCTGTGATAGAAATTATGTTTCTCTGCCAGTTGGGAACGAGCAAGATAATGGAATAATAAATGCCCTTTTTTTCATTTCGTTTCTTACTTTACCCTGCAAAAAGAAAATATGCTGGAATTGTGTTTCCAAAGCTATAGTTATTCATATTAAATTTGGATACCAGCCTTAACCTCTCCAGATGTTTTAAAACTACACCTTCTTTAATACATCATAGTGAGTGTTATCTTACCAGCACTAGTCCATTCTTTTATAGCTCAGCAATGACATTTGTATAATTTTCCCATCATAGAATGTACAAATTAATGTTATCGTAAGTAAAGGATAATAAATGTCATTACCACTCAGTACCTTTATCCTTCTAGAAACATGGTAATTAGACAGTGTCATCCTTTGCCTTATTTGGACTTATTAATGCTTATTGTATTGCAATCTTTTTTTTTTTTGTTTATTTTTTTTTTTCTGCACCAGTTGAGACTTAATTTTTCAAGATATATTTTTTGATGCCGACATAAAAAAAAAAAAACATTCAGAATTTCTAATTACTGGATATTTGAAGCCCCTATGCTCCATTTTCTACAGCATCTATTAGAAATGTCCTAGTACATTAAACTGGAGCAAGAAAGGGGCCAATCCCACCCTAGTACCTTTAAGTGAAACTAAACTTTTTCTTTATTTTTATAAAATACGTAGAATAACAAGTTCAGTTAAAATTGTATCTAAACGTTGACTATCCACAAGCATACTGCTCAGAAGTTCCGTGCAGCACAGATTAAGGTTTGCGTGCTAGGGCATGCAAAAAAAAAAAATCATAAGGCTTCCATGTTAAGATACTCGGAACGTGGGGTAACTATAGCTAATCTATATTTCTAAGACTTTTGGCTTGCACATTGTAGAGATAAAATAATTAGCATTTTAAAACCGTAATCTGCCATTTAATGCTTATTTTTAGAAAACTACCAATAAGTGTGCAAATATCTTAATCGTTTTTCATCCCATGTTTTTCATGTGAGGAACACATAACCAAACAATTAGCCAGGGATGCCGGTAATCTTACTCTCAGTAGTATTTTTCTAAACTTGTGTAGTGGACGGGTACTATTTTGCAGGAAATCTAACCTTACACTAGAAGTACTGACTTGTGTATTCTGAGAATTATAGCTCAATCAGCCGGAGGGCTACATTAGGAAACTCGTGCTCTCGAAAATGAGGAAACAGGATTGTAGTATGAATAATTGTTTCATGTTGTGCTTTTGCTGATGTGGGAAATGACTCCCATTCTTCTCAGCCAGCAGTATTGTGTTCCAGCAGTTCACTCTGTGTGACTGTTGGTGGGAGCTTTCTCAAAGTGTCCGGTTCTAAAAAGTGGGTCAGTCACCATGACAACCAGTGGATCCAGCCAGCACATTCCATTGGTGACTCCTTCCCTTTTTGTTTTTTGCACAAATTTTTTTTTTTTTTTTATCAGGACACTTTTTGATAAGTCACCATCAGAGTGTCTTCTGAAACAGGCAGTGGCTTTTTTTGTAGTCGTTATGACATCATTGCTGCTATGTATTTTTGTTTACACAAATGAGAACTTCAAATAACTAAAGGGACCAGATATTAATACCTTTTCTTTCTGTTCATCTAATTATTTATGTTTGTGTAAAATTTCCTGAAACGCGGTTTCTGATTGCTGTAGATTTTAAAATATCTTTGTTACTTAACACATACCTTGTAAATAAAGCATTTCCAAACATTTCTTTCTGAAACGTAGTTTGTATGAATTATTATTCTGCATGGTGTTTTTGTGGAACCATTTTCAATATTTTCAGTTTATGGGGAAAAAAACAAAACTTCAGAACTCCTCCTTAATTTGTAAGATAATTACTAAATCTCACTTCATGCCTCTCACACATGTACTTAAAAAGAAAAGGGAGGAATTTATTTATGTGGATTCACATTGGTCACCTTGTCATTAACATCAGATTTGAGTAAAAGAGCCTTACTGGTTTTGGCTTTAAAATTATTTTTTTTTAGGATTACATGGAGCAAGCTACTGCTATAGTATGTAATGTCTGCTTAACCATGCCAAGCATTTGGTCTATTCGTAAAACCACAAACATAATGGCTTCAAAATCCCAGTTGACCCTGCTGTGTAGTAGCTAGTCTGAACACCAAATCAGGGTAGGATTGATAACTCCACCTATTAGATCCTCCCCACCCCCCAAAAAATAATTACTTGCTCCCGTTGTGCTGAACGCTCCTGGAGGAAGTCTCACACCCAGTCAGACTTTCTCCATTATAGATTCATATTGTGTTCATACAGAGCAGCCCTTACCCTCGCTAAAACAGTCCTACTTTTCCCCTCTCGTTAGTTCATGCTCCCACTCTCTTCTTTGCCCTGCTGTGGCCACCCCTCAAACTAACTTTACAGCTGGTATCTTTGCATGCTACTTTACCGACAAGATTGAACAGCTAAGGAAAGAATTCTCCCCGCCTTTCTCTTTCTCAACCACATGTAGATCATGCCTTTCCTACCCTTCAGACTTTCTCCCCGGCTACTGCACAAGAGGTGGCAGCTCTTCTCTTTTCCTCTCATCCCACCACTTGCCCTCTTGACAGTGGCGTACATACCACGGTTGCAGGGGTCGCAGATGTGACCCGGCCCACCAGGGGGCCCGGCCGCCCTGCGACCTGGTATGTATGCCTGTACGCTGACACCCAGATATGACTTCTTCCCTGCCGTCCTGCAATGTGTCACTGCTTGCCTCTTTTTCATCTGACTGGATGTCCTCCCGCTTTCTGAAACTCAACCTCACTAAAACTGAGCTCCTGGTCTTTCCTCCTCCTAAAAAGTTCCTCCTCTTTCGCTCTCCCTTCATCCCACATCAGTCCATCCTTGCAAGCGCGCTGTCTTGGCGTCATACTTGATTCTGGCCTCACATCCAGTATGCTACCAAATCCTGTAGATTCCATATTAAAAACATGTGCCCCTTTCTTACACAAGATGCTACTAAAGAGCTTGTCCATGCTCTAGTAATTATCCGCCATGATTATCGTAAGCCTCTCCTAACTGGTCTTCCCAAAAGCCATATTGCCCCACTACAGTGTGTAATGAATGCTGCCGCCAGACTGATTTTCCTCTCTAGTTGGTCCTCTCACACCCCAACCCTCTGTCAGTCCTTACATTGGCTTCCTGTATCCTATAGGAGTCAATTCAAAGTACTTATCCATACCTATAAAGCATTGAACAATTCTAGTCCCTCATATCTCTTCACAGATCCATAGGTATGTCCCTTCTCGGTCTCTCTGCTCTGCCCACCCGCACGGCCAACTCACACTTGTAGGACTTCTCACGGGCAGCTCCCTTCCTATGGAATAGCCTGCCTACTGCCATCAGACTCTCCCCTAGTCTTCTTTAGGAAAGCTTATGGCCTCCCAGAGTAACCTCTACCTCACATACCTGTTAGTTGCTCTCTCCTAAAGGGCAGCACTCTCCTCCAGCTCTGCTTCACTCCCACCCTATTTGATTGTCATTTCCTGTCCTATTGTGTTTTACACCCCACCTTCTATAGACTGCAAGCTCGTTTGAGCAGGGTCCTCTTCAACCTATCGTTCCTGTAAGTTTTCTTGTAATTGTCCTATTTATAGTTAAATCCCCCCCCCCCTTATATTGTAAACACTACAGAATCTGTTGGCGCTATATAAATGGCAAGAATAATTTACTAAAGTGAGAATTGAAGGCAAGTTCAAAGTGAATTTAAATCCAGAGTAGGCGGACTCTGACTGCACGTACAGTTGTAATCAAAATCATTCAACCCCCATTGAAAGTCAGGTTTATAGTCAAAATTGGCAGACTTTCGGTGGTTTGCAATGGACAAATCACACCAAAGCAATTAAAATAGAATAACACAACGAATGCTTCATGTGGTTTCCCAAAATTCAACTGAAAATCCAACTTATAATAAATTCTCCAGTTTCAATTATCCCCATACCGGTTGTCCTTCCTTGAATTACTTGATAAGTACTCTGCCAGGGACACCTCACAAGAATTTCGATTTTGGGGATGCTCTGACCCAGTCATCTAGCGTCAAGACTTGACATTTCACCTGTGGAATTTATTCCACCACTTGACTGGTGCCATTGTAACAATATAGTGTGTGTGTGTGTGTGTGTGTATATATATATATATATATATTCTCTCATTGCACACCACCTGGTGTGAAATTTGCACTTGCCATGAAAAGAACTTCACACAAAGTAAGCTGAATCCATTTAGGGTCTGGAGGGCCCCTTTAATGATGGAGACAAACTTCGAATGGATTTTATGATGTGGCACTTTATTGAACAGTCACATTTCAAAACAAAATAATCATACATATGACAAACAAATATTAATTCTCAAAAAGCAGGTTTTTACTTTAGTTACAAAAATCGTATAAATCTTTGTATCTGGTTATAAACACATTACAAGAGTAGATGCTCAAAGCATGACAATTTATCCCCACAAAGTAGGAGTGCTACCACTGCTAACAAAATTGGAACACATAGGTTTTGGAATTGAATATGTTACCCCTTTCCTCTTTATGCTGACTCCTGTGACATTACACAGGAAGAGCAGCAACTCTGCACCGGTCTCAGCTCAAACCTGGAATGTATATTATCCCACTCATGTACGTGAAGAAAGTAGAATCAATTATGGAGGCTAGAGTGCCACCTTAATCATACCTGCACAGAGCTTGGTGGACAAGTTCTGCTGAAAATGTTTTGTGAAATGCAGGAGCTGAAGATTTAGATTTTATTTTCAGATTAGGCAAAGAACAATGCAGTCTCAAAGGGACACCTGAAACTTACCTATACAATGTATCCTGTATGGTAAATAAAAGAAAGCAAAGCACGAGATGGTGAGGACCCTGCTTTAGCGTGCCTACAGTCCAGGTGAAGTGAGTATACTACACAAGGTAAAGAGCAATAAATCCTGAAGGATATATTAAGGATAGCATTGTTCATTGTCAGTCAAGCATTTACAATATGTGTGAGGTAGCGTTCCAATAAAGAAGTAATGTGAAGCACACTATGGTAGTGCATCTGGTGTGAAATGGCTTTAGACTGCGGACGGGTGAGACATCCCTAAACAAATAGGTTTCTAACTAGTATGAACCCCTTAGTGACACTGGCTGAGCTTTGTATTAATTTAGACGTTTTTCTCTGCAGATTTTCACCCGATTAAAACAGATGCCAGGAAGAAAAAAAAAAAAAAAAAAATTTGCATCAAACATGGAAGAGCATAGAAACACTGATAGTTTCTTTAGTTTAGCCCTATAACTTCCACCCTATAATGTCCAATACATCCTTCTATGGTATATATGGGGGCTTCGTACAAATTGCATTTGAGGGTTTAACATAGACCATTAAATTCTCAGGGAATTGCAACGTGTGCAAAGACTCCATTTAAAAAAGAAAAAAGTGCAGTTTGGCAGAAACTGGTGATCTAATGGCCTAAAGTGAATGTCAGTTGCGCTCAACAAAGGAATTATCACAACATCTACAGCACAATAACTGTAGATGCTGTGACATAGCAAGAGCACCACTTGTAGCATTGTTCTTCTCTAGTGTGTGACTGTTTTAGGAGAGAAGGTTGTGCTGTTACCGTAGCCATCTATGCCGGCAAGTATTGGACAGGTGATGGACCAGATCTACGTGGTTTAAGAAAATCTATACATTTGCTAGTGCAAATGTATAGCTCACATTACAGCACAACTTGGTGCACCCATGATAGATACACTTTAGCCTCTTTGGTTTGCAGATGGTGTGCTATAATAAGTAGCCATGTGAAAGACAAGCACCCAGAATTGTTAGACTGATGATATAATGGGTACATGAAAAAAAAAAATGTAAAAATGCCCAATACCTGTTAATTGACTGATTCCCTACAACAATAATTGTAGATAATAATGTGGGTAGTATGAAGTGTTAAAGGGATGAGTATTAAAAATAAATAAGGGACCCAGAACTAACCCTTGGGGCATTGTACAAGTTAGCAGAGAGGACGCAGTGCCACAAAAGGAGACACTGAAAGGTAAAGAGAGTAACAAAATGAACAATGTAATGGAGTACAAAACTGTAAAAGGTTTCAAGAAGAAGTGTGTGGTCTAACATGCAGAGTAATCAAGAAGAATTAGTATAGATTCAATACATATTGGACTGGCAGGAATTTTACTGTGGATTTAGAAGTGAGATAGTACAGGCACTTAAATTAATCAGTGCGCTAAGTCAATTAGTGCAGAACTCTAGAACCGACTCTGTATCTCAAAAACCTTATTAACCGTCACCGCAAAACTATTTTTTAGTATAACAATCCTTTCATTAGGTTTTCATACAATGAAGTATAAAAAAAATAAAATAATAATTTAGTATAAGACAGAATCCTTCATCCATTTACATGTATCTTGGGTCAGTATTTCAACCCAACAGTTAGTCTCTATGGCAGGGATAGGCAACCTTCGCACTCCAGATGTTGTGGACTACATCCCCCATAATGCTCTTACACCCAATTTGCTGGCAAAGCATCATGGGAGGTGTAGTCCAAAACATCTGGCGTGCCAAAGATTGACAAAGTTCAATTTTAGTGTAGTCAATGGAAAAAAATAAAAAGGATGTGTGTGAAAATGATTTGTAGGAGTTGTTCTTTATGGTTTTCAGGCTTCTGCAAGTCTTCCCTGATAAGTAGACTGCAAAGGGCAAAGACTGATAATGTGATTACATGTAACGGATAATGTCATTACATGTAACTGGTGATGTCATTATGCTGTACTTGGAGTGAAGTCTGTTTCGAACACGGAAGGATCTGGTCATATACTAATCTTAGGGATGACTTTTTCATATACTTAATAAATAAACAAATAAACAATTTCCTTCCAATACTTAGAGGAATATATATTAAATTAAAAAAAAAAAAAAAAAAAATTTGGAGGTTACGGGAAATACATTTTATTATTAACATCAGCCATTCTATTCAGCCAAGTAAACGATGCCTCATTTTCCACCCAGTTTAGTATGTAAATCAAATTGTAAGAAAGTTTACAGTTTACAGGCAGCCGGTGCAAATCGCTGAGAGAGCTCTTCAAGGGTTTCTAAAAGCTTCTCTTCATCCCCAGGAGATGATTGAGTACTCGCCAGGGGTAAGTGAGTTGAAACAGGTTTTCGATCTGTGGACACAAACAACACTGTGTCAAGTTTCCAATGAGAATTTTCATCTTCAAATGTTACTTTTATAGCAGAAGTTAACATTCTGTAGAATAATTTACTTATTTTATAATTTACTGCAAAAACAATAGCAGGTGCTGTAAAATTCAACTTTAGGATTATGTAAAAAGAAATACCAGACAATAGCCAAATTTACAGCAAATCCTAGTTCTATATCCATCATGTAATTGTGGAATGTCAGGATACTTTTAACATTTTCCTAAAAACAATTTGTTTATTTTCCAACCAGTGTATTGGGAGATTAGCTGTGTAAAGATGATCAACAGTTTTCAAACCCTTAGTGAGTATTGCAAATAATAATAATAAAAAAAACAAAAAACAGGCTTCTAAGAGCATGTGTTGGCACTGGGCGATCATAATTTGTGACTTACTTGTGTTAAAGACTAAATAAAACTTGTTATATGTAAAATATAAATAAATAATGGATAATTTGTCCAGTTTGGATATTTTGGCTAAATTGTATTATCACTTTAGTTTGTTTTTGAAGACCATAAAAATCGGCACTAAAACCAAGTTACCGTGAAATTGAATACACTCTTCAGCATTATAAAAAGGCGATTAATTAAAAAAATAATAATAATTCTTTCATTTTACAGCAGCACCAGACAGGTTTGCCCGAGGTTGGTGGGTGTTGCACCCCTTGGCTGCACATGAACATTGTCATATTCTACCTCACTCTACTCAATTTCTGCATTAGCATTTAAAAAGGCTTACAAATATACACATACATACATATACATACACTTTTTTTTATTCTAGCCCAGTGAAATTACCGTATATACTCGAGTATAAGCCGAGTTTTTCAGCACATTTTTTGTGCTGAAAAACCCCAACTCGGCTTATACTCGAGTCACTGTCTGTATTATGGCAATTTACATTGCCATAATACAGACTGGGGGCTGGCAGAGCTGTTACTTACCGCTCCTGCAGCTCCTGTCAGCTCCCTACTCCTCCGCGCCGGTCCGGTCAGCACCTCGGTCAGCTCCCAGTGTAAGTCTCGCGAGAGCCGCGGGGTCATAGTGCGGCTCTCGCGAGAGTTACAGTGTGAACTGACAGAGGAGCTGCACGGACCAGCGCGGTGGAGGAGAGAGCTGACAGGAGCTGCAGGAGAGGTAAGTGCTTCCTGCCAGCCCCACTCCTCCCCCCACTGAACTGCCAATGCCATTGGACCACCAGGGAAGGAGAGCCCCCCTCCCTGCCATGTATCAAGCAGGGAGGGGGGACAAAAAATAAATAAATTAAAAATATATAAATAATAATAATAATAATTTAAAAAAATAATATAACAAAAAAATTTAAATAATATTAATTAATAATATATAAATAATAATAATAAAAAAATAATATAACAAAAAATTTAAATATTAATAATATATAAATAATAATAATAATAAAAAAAATAATATAACAAAAAAAATTTAAATAATATTTTTTTTTTTTTTATAAAAATGCCCACCCCCCCACCAAGGCTCTGCCACACAAGCACACACTGCATCACACACACACACACTGCACTAATACACACACTGCATTCATACACACACCCTGCATTCATACACACACACTGCACTCATACACACACTGCATTTATGCACACACAGTGCATCACACACACACACTGCACTCATACACACACACTGCACTCATATACACACTGCATTTATGCACACACAGTGCATCACACACACACACACTGCACTCATACACACACACTGCACTCATATACACACACTGCATTTATGCACACACACACTGCACTCATACACACACTGCATTCATACACACACTGCATTCATACACACACTGCATTCATACACACACTGCATTCATACACACACACTGCACACTCATACACAAACACTGCACACTCATACACAAACACTGCATTCATACACACACACTGCATTCATCATATACACACACTGTAAATAAATATTCAATTAATATAATTTTTTTAGGATCTAATTTTATTTAGAAATTTACCAGTAGCTGCTGCATTTCCCACCCTAGTCTTATACTCGAGTCAATACGTTTTCCCAGTTTTTTGGGGTAAAATTAGGGGCCTCGGCTTATATTCGGGTCGGCTTATACTCGAGTATATACGGTACATGGGGCTTCACTAGCAAAACAAATAAAAATAGAATCTACTTTTCCCAAACCGGAAGCAGATTCTTATAGAATGTTAGAACCAAACAGGTGCTACCTTGGAAGAAGAGCCCGCTGGGATGTTTAATGGAAGCTGGAGACAGTGACAGCCAAATCACCGTATCTGCTCCTTGATCCTCTGTGCGTAACCTATTCTTCATTTTCTCGTAGAAGTCTGGCATGGAGGATCGCACCGCTTAGAAGAAAAATAACATGAAATAGAGAATTACACAAGGCTAGCTAAGCATCATACAGCATGGTATTTCACACACGTCTGCAATGCCAAAGTGATTAAAGGATCACTATAGGGTCAGGAACACAAACATGTATTCCTGACCCTATAGTGTTAAAACCACCGTCTAGTCCCCCTGAGCCCCTCATGCCTCTATAAATATAGTAAAAATCTTATTGTATTCAAGCCTGAAGCTGTAGATCTGCATGCTTTCCCCTTTAGAAAAACAAGCTGTCTGCTGACATCCTCAGAAGTGGTGGCCTGATCCAATCACAATGCTTCCCCATAGGATTGGCTGAGACTGACAAAGAGGCAGATCAAGGGCAGAGCCAGCATGATTCAAACACAGCCCGGCCAATCAGCATCTCCTCATAGAGATGAATTGAATGAATCAATTCAGAATAGTGATGTCCCGAACGGTTCGCCGCGGACGGTGAACATATGACCCTGTACCTCACAGTCAGCAGACACATTCCAGCCAATCGGCAGCAGACCCTCCCTCCCAGATCCTCCCACCTCCTGGACAGCTCACTAAGAATGCAGCTTCAAAATGGATGCTGTCCAGGAGGTGGGAGGGTCTGCTGCTGATTGGCTGGAATGTGTCTGCTGACTGTGAGGTACAGGGTCATATGTTCGCCGTCCGCGGGACATCACTAATTCAGAAGAATACTTAGAACATTATTTAATATGTGCAATAATTATAGCTTTTTCTTTAATGGATCATGCAAACAAGTCATCATTCAATTTAAATTTACTATCTGGCAAAATGTTACATTTATATACAGGCTCTTCTTTAAATATAAACAATAAGTTTTGATATTGACTTTGTGAAGAACAGATTTAATTCACATTCTTGGCTACTGAAATATATCCTGGGCAGCACTTAAATCAGATAATCTACTTAGAGCCACTAACCTGAACAGATATTAAGAGAATCAGAAACTTTTGAGATCTGTGCTACTAGTCATTTCTATTATTGATGATATATCTTAAAATGTCCTGAAATGACTGTAGCCAACGTTTTCTTCAACAAATCTAGCCATAAAATACACAATAGTAACACAGTAAAGGAGTTTAAGCATGCGTGGGATAGGCATAAGGCTATCCTAACTATAAGATAAGGCCAGGAACTAATGAAAGTATTTAGAAAATTGGGCAGACTAGATGGGCCGAATGGTTCTTATCTGCCGTCACATTCTATGTTTCTATAATAGCTGTATATAGATATAAACAAACAATACTTGTCCAAGTGATTTTCAGATAATGCAGGGAGATCGGTTGGGTTTAGATTTTATTTTTTGGCATTTATATAGTGCCAACCAGTTCCGCAGCGTTTTATGGAGTATGTCCGAATTGTGGCATTAATTACCTGGGGTGTCCGCCCAGCCCGGGTGCATGACAGAGAAGTGGATTTTTGGGTAGGACTTAGCCCACTGTTCTGTTAGGATTACTTGCTGTCTCTAAAACAGAAACAAAAAAGAAAAATCATACTCAGTTTTTACATCTTTACAATCCATAAAACATGCCCTTTCTACAGAAGACACCTACCAAGAAGTATACTGCTTTAATCACTCAAAGGAAGCAATGGGGTTTCAACTGGAGATGTGTCTGGGTGCAATGGTCCTGTCATTTTAATAATTATTAAGATAAAAAAATTTGCGTTTTTTCAGAAATGGCAATGTTTACCTCAAGATGTTAAAAGCACCTCCAGTGGCTGTTATGCAGACAGCCAATGGAAGCCCTTTCGCTGGACTGACAGAGTAAGACTCGCTCACATGATGCGGAAACCCCCATAGGAAATGCTCTATGAAGATTATTGGACTGGGCCGCGTCGGAGGAGGCCATGCATCTTCCATGACGTTGCTGGGGGTGGAGAAGTGAGCAACGCCGAAGGAGTTTCAGTGATGGAAAAATGTAAAAGGAAAAAATGTTTTTCATGCAGACATGGTCCTTTAAGACCAAAAAGGAACATTTTTAAAAAAATTCTACAAATTGGCTATTTTTCCAGCTCAGCTATGCCGTTTCCAGTAGGACAACTGGTACATTACATGCCAATACATCCATTCCCTGTTTAAAACAGGGCATTTTAGGACACAAAATCCATAACTATATTGTGCCAAACCGACTAGGTTTTCCATCATAGATTAAAGGAAACTTTAAAGAAATAATAAAAGTTTTCATATATAGTAGTATATCTTACTTTGAAAAGGCCATATCACACTGGTTGTTTGCAGATTTTTGTTGTTCTGATTGAAGCCTGTGTCGGGGTGTTGCCCGTTTTACAGAATCACCTGGCGCTGAAGCCCAAAACTCAATGACCCCTACACTGGGGCGCCACCCCAGGGGTTATACACTCACCTATCTGCCTAGGATCTAGGGAGCCTGAATGAGCGCTAGAATAGTCATCTTATATCAGATGACTGTTTTGATAATGAGGAGCCTAATGGGATTGTGGTGTGGACACAACATACTAGTATACTGCTGCCCCATCACCACCTGTAGAGATATGGAGCTAAATTGAGCCTTCAGCCCACCTAGCTCCCCAATTACTGTACTAGCCGCAAGAGGGAATACAAATCCTAATATTTAAAATAAAGGATCATGGCCATTACAACTTTGCACATGAAATTGTCTCTCTCTAGGACAATACTGCAAGATTGCTAAATTTATGGTGCAGGGTAATAAGTTCTAAGCCACTCTCTGATCAAATTTGTTTAAATTGCTGAAGGTGCGCTGCAAGGAAAAGTATTATAAACATTCCCAGTAAGCGGTTTACTTTAAAACGAAGGGACACCAATCACACTCCCACAATGTAAGGCTGATGTATGCATGACCCTCTAACCAATACCCCAACAAGAACCCATTGTGTTTGCAACAGAAATGATAGAGGACACATTGTTCTCTGCACAAAGAGACCCTCTGAGCTTTAGAAGGCCGGCTCATTCTACGTTCACATAGAACATGTGCAGTGGGCAGCATTAGTTAGTACGATCACTAACCCCTTCAGTACCACATACAGCAAAATAAGTCAACGCTATATAAATACTACCAGTAATAAGAACATAACAAGCACGTAATTTATTTGAAACATGGGATTCAGAGCTAAAACAAAGTTGGGATGCACCGAAATGAAAATTCTTGGAAGAAACTGAAAATTCAGGATGCCCTTGGCAGAAAACCAAAACCGAAAAAGACTTTTCCCCCCCAAATGAAAAAAAAAAAAAAAAAAATAAAAAATTTCTATAATTTTAATATTAGACTTTTTAATGAATCTAATATAAAAAAAACTACAAGCCAATAAAAATAAATAACTCCACTTTTATTGAAAGTAACACCAAAATTGGACAGAAAATAACTTGTTAAAAAATAAATTTTAAAATCTACATTCAGTTAAGCCAAGTTTATGACAGTCCATATATAATATATAGTTTTTTTATAAGAAGATATCATTTTCGGCTGAAATGGGATAGGCCCATTTTCCGCTGAAAATTTAAAAAGCCAAAATTTCGGTGCATCCCTAACAAAGATTGCATAAAATATCAGTCTAGCTATTCAGGGTTATGGGAATATACCAACACAAAATAGGCTCTAGTCTCAAACTCCCTCTACTCTTGGGCAGAGGCCAGCTGGCCCACTGAGAAACCAGTACATTTCACACCATTTGGAAAAACTGGGCTGCAGTAAGCAGAGGCCAGTGGACTGCTTCTGTGATAGATTTTTTTGAATTAAATTTTTGCAGAGTGACAGGGCGCATTGTCCTGCTAAAATAGGCTTCTGCCACCAGGGAACACCATTGCCATGAACGGTAGTACGTGGTCTGCATCAATCTCTAGATAGGTTTTATATTTAAAACCTCGTAAAGAGGCCATACTAGATTTAGTGTTAACAAATGGAGATTTGGAATCAGATATTACTGTAGGTGAAAGTTTAGGATCCAGTGATCATCAGTCAGTGTGGTTTAATATAAGAACAGCGACCAAGTCACACCACACAAAAACAAATGTTTTAGACTTTAGAAAAACAGACTTTTCTAAAACTAGAATATGTGTAGAGGAGTCATTATCAGACTGGAGCAATTTAAATGGAGTCCAAGAGAAATGGGATTATTTAAAAGTTGCACTGCTGAAGGCAACAGAAAATTGCATTAGGCTTGTCAGTAAAAGCAAAAAATTCAAGAAACCACTGTGGTACTCCAAAGATGTGGCCAAAATAGTAAAAAAACCAAAAAGTTAGCATTTAGTAATTAAAAAAAAAAAAAGAAAACAGAGTGAGGAAGATAGCCAGATCTTTAAGATTAGGCAGAAAGAGGATAAGCAAGTTATAAGAGCTTCCAAATCACACACAGAAGAGAAAATAGCACAGTCAGTATATTAAAAAAAAAAAAAAGAATAAAAGTGACAAAACATTTTTTAGATACATAAATGAGAAGTGGAATGTAAAACAAGGATTAGTTGGATTAAAAACAAAAGAAGGAAGGTATGTAGAAGAGGATAAAGGTCTAGCTGACTGCCTCAATGAATATTTTTGTTCAGTATTTACAGATGAAAATGAAGGAAAGGGGCCTCAGTTAAGAAAAAGGATAAATGAGTCATTTGTTATATGTGAGTTTACAGAGGAAGAGGTTATATTTCAACTGTCAAAAGTAAAGACAAATAAGTCAATGGGACCTGGTGGAATACACACAAAGTTATTAAAAGAGCTTAATGGTGTACTAGCAAAACCATTTATTTAACCAATCATTGTTAACAGGACTAGTCCCAGAAGATTGGAAGTTAGCGAATATTGTGCCCATTCACAAGAAAGGTAATAGAGAGGATTTGGGCAACTATAGGCCATTAAGCCTTACTTCAGTAGTGAGGCAAGTAATGGAAACCATGTTAAAGGATAGGATTGTTGAACATCTAAAAATCACATGGATTTCAAGATCAGAGACAACATGTGTTTACTTCAGGGAGATCATGCCAAACTAATCTTATTGATTTTTTTGATTGGGTAACTAAAATAATAGATCAGGGTGGTGCAGCAGACATTGCTTACCTAGATTTCAGTAAGGCTTTTGCACATAGAAGGCTTATCAATAAACTGCAGTCTTTAAGTTTGGATTCCAATATTGTTGAATGGGTAAGGCAGTGGCTGAGTGACACCAGTGGGGTACCTCAGGGATCTGTACTTGGACCAATACTCTTTCATATTTTTATTAGTGTTATTGCAGAAGGTCTTGATGGTAAGGTATGTCTTTTTGATGATAATACTAAGATATGCAACAGGGTTGATATTCCAGGAGGGATAAGCCAAATGGCAAATGATTTAGGTAAACTAGAAAAATGGTCAGAATTGTGGCAACTGACATTGAATGTGGATAAGTGCAAGATAATGCATCTTGGACGTAAAAACTAAGGGCAGAGTCCTAACCTCAACATCTGAGGAAAGGGATTTAGGGGTGATTATTTCTGATGACATAAAGGTAGGCAGACAATGTAATAGAGCAGCAGGAAATGCTAGCAGAATGCTTGGTTGTATAGGGAGAGGTATTAGCAGTAGAAAGAGGGACGTGCTCATGCCATTGTACAGAACACTGGTGAGACCTCACTTGGAGTATTGTATGCAGTCCTGGAGAACACATCTCCAGAAGGATATTGATACCTTAGAGAGGGTTCAGAGAAGGGCTACTAAACCGGTCTGTGGATTGCAGGATAAAATTTACAAGGAAGGTTTAAAGGATCTTAACAAGTATATCTTGGAGGAAAGACGAGATGGGGGGGATAGGATAGGAACATTAAAATACATAAAGGGAATCAACACAGTAAAGGAGGAGACTATATTTAAAAGAAGAAAAACTACCACAACAAGAGGACAGTCTTAAATTAGAGGGGCAAAGGTTTTAAAAATAATATCAGGAAATATTACTTTACTGAGAGGGTATTGAATAGCCTTCCAGCTGAAGTGGTAGAGGTTAACACAGTAAAGGAGTTTAAACATGCATGGGAAAGAAAAAAAAGGCATACCTTGTTCTGTGCATAGGCCATAGTCCCATCAAATGTCCCACTTTCAAATTGTAGGTCTGAGACATTTAGCTTTTGGACTAGCATACCCCCCGAAGCGACATTTATCTGCAATAAAAGAGAAGAATTATTTCTCCCTGTGGATACCCCAAAGTCATTTCACAATAGCAGCTTTCTGTTATTAAGAATTGTGGTTAACACTACTCAAGAAAGTTATGGTGGGGAAAAACTGGATAGTCAATACAATGTTAAACAGATCTGCACACCAGTCAAGCCATACGACTTGCTTTTCCCACATAAATCACAAATTTACAGTGATGTTACTACTGCAAAGGTTTCTGGGTGGGTATATGCTACTTAGTTCAAGAATTATTACCTCATTATTCCATTTTAAACATGGACACCTTGGAGTTTGTGTTTGCTGTATACAACAGCTTTGAAACAGAACTCCTGAAGAGATGCAAAGCCAGTGAACAACTCATGTGTTTGATCGAAAGAGGACCTCTCTGTTCCATAGAACATTATACAGTGTGGGCCAAAAGCGTTTGTGGAGTCAATAACTTTTATTAATAAATCAATTCCAATGATATTATATACAATGAATGCTTAACGCATGGAGCTTTGCTTGACTAGGTACGAAGAGGACAGCTTTTAAAGGAACTCTATTTGCTGCCTCGCAAAGTCAGGCTCTTTCGAATGCATTGTTCATAACAGTGATTAATGTTTGAAGCTTTAGCGCTTGAATTTCAGCCCGATAACTTCCCATCAGATCAACCCGCACCAGATGGTGCATTTGGTAGGGTGCAATAGTCTCTGATAAATTATCCGTTCATTTTCTCAACCCCAGAAACAGTTTTGTTTATTGACGAAGCCATTTAAATTAAAGTGAGCTTTCTCAGACATTGAGTTACTAAATAAATTCATTGTTTTCTCTAGCCAATTCGTTGTTCCCATGTGAAATTATCCACGAAGAGTCTCCCAAAATTCCGTTATAATATGTACCTGAAACAAAAAATGTCAACTACTAACAAGTTATCCGTCAAATGAAACTCTGAATATTGGCCCACCCTGTATAAACAACAAAGGTTACATAAACATTAACTCACTACTCGAGCATCATCTTCCTTCTCCAGAACAGGCAGCAAAGCTTTGGTCAGAATATACAAACCTGAGAAAAAGATAGGAAATACAATTAAAAAGTGATTGAAGAAAAAAATAAAAAATAATAATTGATATAGGATATAAAAAAAATTATATATATATATACACACACACACACATATATGTGTATAAAATATGGTAATCTGTTTTAAAACATCATATATATATATTTTAGACATTTTAAAACATATTACCATACATACCCAGAAAATGAAAAGTGTAGAAGCTTCTATTCTACAAATTTTAGCAATTTCTGGAAGAAGTTAAAAATTCACACATTTCATATTGCTGGGCATATTTTAAAAGATACACTAGCATCTGTAATGTATTTTATGGGCAACTGCTCCTCAACCCAAGTTGCTTGCTGCTATGGTTACACACAGAGCATTTACAGTAGTAGGACACTTGACCTTTAAATTAAACATATGTCCTTGTATTGAAGATGTTCTCCAGCAGGGCTAGTCACTAAAGTGAGAATTGTTAAGAATTCAAAGGGAATTTCAAATTTTAGACAAAGATAGCTGAACTGGAAGTAGAGCGGTCATCTGCATTTAAGAATATGTTATTTTAATGGAGACTATAGTAGTGGTAGAGCCGTGCTAAAGAGATATTGTACATGGAGCCTCAATTTTTCTCCTCTTACCCACAGTGTTGGTGGCAAAGTTTTTCTCCAAACCATCATCGGTTAGCTCTCGTTTGTTTACCATGCAGCCAGCATTGTTTATCTGCAGAGAAGGAAAAAAAAAAAAAAAAAAAAATTATATAAATACATATATCCAATTAGGTTATGGGAGGGGAAAAATTGTGATTGAAAACCCCTTCCACCTAAAGTCTGTGAATAGTTGATACAATGTTAAACAAAAATCTGCACACCAGTCAATCCATAAGACTTTCTTTTCCCACAGAGATCACAAATCTGCAGTAATGTTACTACCGCAAAGGATTATGGGTGGGCATATGCAAATTAGTTTGTTAAATCTCTAACCACTACATACCAGGAGCACACCAAAAGACTTACCATTTGGGAGATGCGTTGACCCAGTCATCTAGCCATTATCTGGCCCTTGTCCAAGTCACTCAGATCTTTTTGCTTGCTCTTATTTCCTGCTTCTGAACACTTGAAATTCAAGAAGTGACTGTTCACTTGCTGCCTAATATATCCAACCCCTTGACAGATTAAATTTATTTTTTAAATTTATTCCCAGGATTTAAATACCTAGAAGTTCCATGACACAATGGGCAGGAGTGAAACTACTACTAGGGCTAAACTTGCCAATGGCTAGTTGAAATTTTGATCCCTGTGTGTATATATGTATATAAAATTATATTAGGATGAACATTTCTATATATGTATATAAAATTATATTAGGATGAACATTTCTCACCAAAACACTGACATATAATACTTTCTCTTGGTTTGTGCAGGTGGAAATCGTTAATATCAATACTTATGTTACTTTTGTGTGTTATTTAAGCGACACGATCATGGCCGAATGCATTTGTTTGTTTTTTGTAACCCCCCTCCCGAGTCCACTACATCTAATTGTCCACCTAGTTACCCCCAAATGCCTCTAAGCCCCCCATATTACCTATTTTTTCATCTTTATTTTGTGCCCAGACCGGAATCAGAGTGCTCTGAGCCTAATTACAGGTTGTGGGAAGGCTTTATAAGTGTTTCCCCACCCTGCGGAGCTTCGTCTGTGCTGTGTCCTCGCTGGATTACTTTTTTTAGCGTCTGGTTATTCCCCCCCCCCCCATCAAATGGTTATTTTTTTAATTTACAGGGATTTAGTTTTCTTGTTACCACCCTTGATATTTTTAGGGTGAGGGGGGTAGATATGTCTTTATTTAAAAAAAAAACAAAAAAAAAAAAAAACCTACCCCCCCCATTTTCATTTAGGGCCACCACCCACCACTCATGGGTGGGGGCCGGGGGAGGACAATAGGTCCCCCCCTTATTGTAAATTATGTCCCCCGTTAACTCGAGTAGCCCCCACTCGTGGGGCACAGGTGGGGCGGGACACTATATCCACCCCAGGCTAGTTAAGAGACACCCTACCATGGGGCCATTTATTTTTACTAGACATGCACCTACTTGTGATATAGCGAGTAGGGGCAGATTACCAATACTAAGTAATTTTTTACTTGGTATTGGTACAGTTGGCTTAAAGCGGCACTGTCATGCAGAACTTACCCTTTCCTGAATCTCTTCCTCTTCTCCCCCTCTCTCGGGATCTGTTCTTCTTTTCTTCCTGTCTTCCTTCTTTCTTCTTTAGGTTTTCTTTAAAATCATAAGACAAAGTAGAGACTCTTTGCCTTATGGAGGATTCCTCCGCTTGACCAGCTCTGACCAGCGGAGGAGCAAAGTGTGCTTCATTTCCGCTGGTCAGAACAATTTTCCCATAATTCTCACCTTTCCTCTGTGTTTCCGCGATGCTTTCTGTCATTTTACACGAAACTGCCGAATTGCGTTCCAACTGAATGAGAACAGTATGTTCGTTTGTTTTAGAACGCAATTCGGCTTTTTATTCGGATCGGAATTTCATTCGAATGAATGAAACTCCGATCCTATTCGTGCTGTGGCTGCATCTTGCAGCCGCTTAGTAGATAACTCCCTAATTCCCACGGTATCGGTAGTAAAAATTACTTAGTATTAGTAAATAATATGCCCCTACTCGCTATACCACGAGTAGCGGCATGTCTGGTAAACAGTGAGCAGCCTGTGGCTGTTCACTGTAATACAAAAAAAACACACCAAACTATTGGCCCCCACTCCTAAATGACTGGTGGGGGCCCTAAAGTAAAATAAGGGGGGAGACCTAAAGTCTCCCCCCGCCCTCACCCCTGCGCGGTGGGTGGGGGTCATAATGATAATGGGGGGGGGAGGGACCGACTGTCCACCCCCCCTCCTGCCCCCACCCCTGGGCTGCGGGTGGAGGCCCTAAGTCAATCCCCCCCCCCCAAGGTGACTAGGGGTCCCCAAGCCCCTAATCACCCACCCAAATAAAAACTCCCTACCTACCCCCCTAAAAAAAATAGTGAGGAGGGGAATAAAATAACTAACCTGTAAAGTTAGCGAGTAGGGGCATTGGGGAGATTTTAATCATATTGACCCCCCATAGAGTGAGAGGGGACCTGGGGGGCTTATGAAGTGATGGGGAGCACTGCTCCCTGCCACTTCTATCTTTACATATTACAAGGAGGGAGCTGCATGCCGGTAGCTCCCTCCTTGTAATAAACTGAACGAACAGTGATACTCAGCGTTTGTTTGTTCGGCTGACATTTCTATTCACTCATTCGTCTGTCTGATGAATGAATGAATGAATGGATGAAATTCCCGTTCGCATGTCCAGGTGTTTCACTGGGCATGTGCGGGAATCTCACAGTCTGTCTAGTGTGGGCAGGTGACTTGTCCCACAGGAACTTCATATACCCACACAAAGATGGCTGCGCCCTGAATAAAGATCGGGGCAGAAAACAAGGAATAAAAAAAATAGGTAATGTGGGGGGCTTAGGGGCATTTGGGGGTGACTAGGGTGTCAGTTAGAGATAGTGGAGGCCGGAGGGGGGTTAAAAAAATAAAAAAATAAATAAATAAATAAAAAAACAAAAAAAACACAGGATTTGGCATGACAGTGCCGCTTTAAAGACCAATCTTGGTCTTTCAGACTTTTGGTAGATAGCTCCCTAATTCCCACGGTATTAGGGAGCTATCTAATAAACGGCTGCAAAATGCAGCGCCGATCGGATCAGAATTTCATTCATTCTAATGAACTTTTGAACACAACAAAGTCCCGAATGTCGTCCCAACACGAATGGACAAACTGCTCTCATTCTGTTAGGGCAAAATTCGGTAGTTTTGCTGGGGTTCAGGAATATGGAAAGAAGGCATTGCGAGAACACACAGAGTAAAGGTGAGAATTGTGGGAAGATTTCTCTGTTCACTGGAAACTGAGCACACTGCTCCTACACACACACTGTCTAGGTGTATTTTACTAATATATATATATATCTATATCTATATCTATATCTATATCTATCATAAATAAATATGTTAAAAGATCAAATTAAAAAATATATAGATGTGTGTTATTTCATTCTAACTGTATTGTGATATTAATATATATTTATATCAAAATACACGTAGAACGAAATAATATATACATAAATATATACGTATATATATATATATATATATATATATATATATATATATATATATATATATATACCTATATATAAATAAAATTTTTAAAAAAAATTATAATATATACACACACACATATATAAATATATACGTGTGTGTGTGTGTGTGTGTGTGTGTGTGTGTGTGTGTGTGTGTGTGTGTGTGTATATATATATATATATATATATACACACACGTATATATTTATATAAATATACACACACACACACACACACACACACACACACATATATTAATTCTACATATATATTTATGTAATATTTTTACATAATTAGGTATCTTAATTAATTACAATTAGCGGGACCTGCCTGACAACCCATGCCGAAAGTAAAGGGAATTTAATTTGCTAGCACTATATTTAACCCTATAACTTTCCAAGACACCATAAAACCTGTACATGGGGGGTACTGTTCTACTCGGGAGACTTCGCTGAACACAAATATTAGAGTTTCAAAACAGTAAAATGTATTACAACGATGATATCGCCAGTAAAAGTGACGTTTTTTGCATTTTTCACGCACAAACAGCACTTACACAGACAAAATTATTGCTGTGATACTTTTTACTGTTTTGAAATACAAATATTTGTGTTCAGCAAAGTCTCCCGAGTACAACAGTACCCCTCATGTACAGGTTTTATGGTGTTTTCAAAAGTTACAGCGTCAAATATAAGGCTTGTGTTTCATTTTTTTCACATTAAAATTTGCCAGATTGGTTAGGTTGCCTTTGAGACCCTATGGTAGCCCAAGAATGAAAATGACGGCATACCATTTGCAATAGTAGACAACCTAAGGTATTGCAAACGGGGTATGTCCAGTCTTTTTTAGTAGCCACTTAGTCACAAACACTGGCCAAAATTGGTGTTTTTTGCATTTTTCCACACACAAACAAATACTAACGCTAACTTTGGCCAGTGTTTGTGACCAAATGGCTACTAAAAAAGACTGGACATACATCATTTGCAATACCTTGGGTTGTCTACTATTGCAAATGGTATGCCATTATGGGTGTAAATTTCATTCCTGGGCTACTATACAGTCTCATATCATTTAATATGAAAGAGGTGAATTACGGTTGGACAGACATGTAGCGCAAATGCCAGGTTTTGTTTATATTTTGTTTTGTTCACAACGTGTACATTTAGCTCCGTCCTTAAGGGGTTAACATTCTATTCTGTATTAGTTTCTGTTCTATTTCCGCAACGAGTGGTAACATTCATTAGATTAAAAGGAATTATTTCTTCAGTTAAAAGCTTCCGCAGAGAAATTTAAAAACCCCTCTGGTACAAACATTAAATTAGCCTAATGTCAGACATAATATTACCAGATAATTGCTAAATTGCTTAGAAAAAACACGCACATGGTAACCTCACAATGAACTTCACCAGAATGGAACCGTATGGAGCTTATCTACTAAACAGTCAGTTGACAGTTCAATTTTAGGTGTTGCCAGGGTTTGAAGTTTCCCCAATTGATATTTGCATATAAACTTACAAACTAATAGCATTTATCCAGAATAGGATTCCTTTCACTCTAAAGATTTTAAAAAAAGTTAATTTTTTTTTTTTAAATCCCATCTATATTTGCTTTATCTGAGAATGCTTTTACAAACACCATAATGCATAGTAAAACGAAAATTAAAAACCAGTGCTTGAGTTACAAAGAGAATACTTAATAGGCTAAAAAGGGGTCATAAGAACAAAATTTTAAATGCAGTCAAAGCTCCTGTCATTATACAGTCTCATACTAAAAACATTAAATGGCAAGCTAATTGCTACGGTTCAGTGTCTTTTTTTTTTGTCAAAGCAGGGCCCTCCCTAGGGTGCAGAGACCGCCCCCTCCTCAGCCACACTGACAAGAATTTACACTTCCGCATTACCAAAATGAATTTGTCCAATCTAGACTGCTGTGAAAACCTAAGAGAACTGGGGGTGAATTGGCTAAAATTGGTTACTAAAACAAACACAGCTCCCAGCTAACTCTCCTTCTGCATAAAGTAAATTCACCATATGGATCTACAACTATACTAAGTGTTAGACTAGTCTTTTTTTAAAGGCAGAACAACAGGGATGGATAATAACACAAATAATAATCCAAAATAACAGATAGGTGAGAGCACACAAGATAAAGAAATACTACCCACATTGTAGTCAGCTGATCTGGAAAAAAAAACAAATAAAGAAAACATAGAGTAGTATATCCTGATACAATGTATTAACAATAGGTGCCAATCACACTCACATAGATAGAGCCACTTAAATAGCTGGCTCAAACTTGATGCCTTGAATATATAGAGCAGGACCTTCACTGGGAACTTCTTTTTCATTTGAATGTAAAATCTCCAGGACGCAGAATTAGGAGTAAATAAATACTTTATTCTTCAAATTATGAAGTAAATAAAAACAAAGGTGATTAAAAGTCCCAAATAACCAGTCCTATCACTTAACGCGTTTCGGCTGTTCGCCTTCCTCCTACAGTGTGGGTAGTATTTCTTTATCTTGTGTGCTCTCACCTATCTGTTATTTTGTATTATTCACCTTGTTTGTGGGGCCCACAAAGGTGATAGTAGCAGCTACCAATTTAGGGATTTATTCACTTTATTTACTATTTTTCACAAATAATAATCCGATTACATTACAATACGGTATCCAGCAAATTCATTGATTGGCTACCTTAAAATGCATTCTGTGTGTATATCCCGATGGTTCTACTTACCAAGACATTCAGCTTGTTCTCAGTCTTAAATTTTTCTGCAAATTCCCATATTGCTCTGGGATTGGACATGTCTAGTAAATGCACCAGCACATTCTAAATACAAAATACAGACATGGAAAACGGTTAGATATTTATTTTGAAGGTTTTCAGAGACCAGGCCTCTGTTTAATTTTAGGAGCAGCAAAGTGTCGTTCTCCATCCCCAGTCTTGAATGCTCAACTTTATTGTAACATAACAAAAGCAAATGGTAAAAATCAGACATTTGAGGTCAGGAACTAAGGCTGCGTCGGTTGGGTTAGGCCTGTAAATAAAGAGGGCCTGTGTAAGGAATGAGATAATAGAGATGAGGGACAAGACTGTGGGGTTTGCGGAAGACACTCCAGTCTTGAGGTACAAGCTGCAGGGCCATTTAAAGTGTCACTGTTTGGGGAGTTTGCTGAATTCAAGAAGTCCCCCGATGGTGACATCGCCGCTGGGGGTCTGGTGGCCGAGCGGGGCAGGTAAAGGAGAGTTTATGCGCGAGAGTACAGCATTGAGGCTTATAAGGGAGACCGTGGGATCCTCCATAGACACAGTCAATTCCCTGCAGCCATGACAGATACCAGCTACAGGGATTGACTCTGTAGCTCCGCTTTGTGTCGGAGAAACTCAGGCAGAAGAGCAATACTTTGCCTCTGTATCTCTCGTTTGGGTAGGAATTTCAGTGAAATACTAATTTTCCTGGCGAGGATGTCAGTGCCGCTTTACAGACAGATAAACCCCTTCCACAACTGCAGGCCTATGGCCTTAACATTTAGTTTGTTTTTACATACATGCAGTTTTATTGTAAAACAAATGTAATAAAGAATACACAATCTAATTTTTAATATGTACATATAAAAATATATATATATATATATATATATATATATATATATATTTATTATTTTTTTTTTTTAAACTGACATTAGCAGGGGCAGACTTCACCATGGACTAAATAATTGAAGGCAAATAATTAAATTGCTAGAAAATTAATAAAAGGAATGGAACATATCAGCTATGAAGAAAGGTTAACAAATTTAATCCTATTTAAATTTAGAAAAACGTCGCCTGAGAGGAGATATGATAACATTATACAAATATATTCGGGGCCAATACAAACCATTGTGTGGAAATCTATTCACAAACCGGACTTAGATAGGACACGAGTTCACGTGTTTAGAGTGGAAGAAAGAAGATTTCTAAGGCAAAGGAAAGGTTTTTTTACTGTAAGAAAAATAAGGATGTGGAATTCTCTGCCTGAAGAAGTGGTTTTATCAGAGTCCATACAGATGTTCAAACAGCTACTAGATGCATACTTGCAAAAACAGAATATTCAAGGATGTAATTTTTCAATGTAGAGTAATAACTGCTTGATCCAAGGATAAATCTGACTGCCATTCTGGGGTCAAGAAGGAATTTTTTTCCTAGCTTGTTGCAAAATTGGCAGTGCTTTAGACTGGGTTTTTTGCCTTCTTTTGGATAAACGGCAAAAAAAAAAAAAAAAAATGTGAGGAAGGCCGAACTTGATGGACGCAAGTCTCTTTTCAGCTATGTAACTATGTAACATAAAGTAAGCTCTCACTAAGCCAAGAAATGCATGAGCACCATCTTAGGTTGTGTTTATTTGTACTTATAATGTACTAAAAAGAATTGATATTCAACAAAAATGTTATGAAACATTTTAAATGTTGATTGTGTGTAAAATTATATTCAATGAGGATTTACATTCTTTATTATTAGAAAAGGGTATCTGATAGAGTGCCACTAGGCATAAAATATGCAAGATGTTATATTCTTCCTGTTAAAGCATTTGGCATCTTTCAGAATGGAACCTGGAAATAGCAAAAATTACAGTTTTACATTTATTCCTCTAGAGAGCGTGTTTTTATAGGAGTGGGGGCAACACCATTAAATGGCACACTTTAGTCAACAGAACAACTACCGCTTATTGTAGTTGTTCTGGTATCAATTGCCTGTCCCTGCAGGTTTTTTTTGCTGTAAACACAGCCTAGGAACACCTTCAGTGGCAGTCTCTCAGACGGCCACTAGAGGTGCTTCCTGGGGCAGTGCTGCACGGGTTCAGCTTCTCGATGAACTTTCCCCATATTTTATGAGGAGATGCTGATTGGATAGGAGGGCTTTGGCTCCACCTCCCGCCTCACCTCCTTGGTTGAGATGATCAGAACCGACGTTCTCAGCCAATCCAATGCTTTCCTGTGGCAAAGCGTTGTGATTGGCTGAGACCATCAATACTGATAATGTCAGCCAAGGAGGGGTGCGGGGCTAGAGGCAAGGAGCCCTGCGCAACACTGGAAAAGGTGAGTAAATCACTTTTCTCTCCAGAGATAAGGGGGCCTCGACCACCTAAACCGTGGATTTCGAACTATAGTATCAGGAATATACATTTGTGTTCCTGACACTATAGTGTCCTTTTATAGTGTCCATTCTCATCTGATCCTGCAAACATCACAATATTCTTTGTGCTATCATTGGATGAAATCTAAGAGCAGCCAATCAGAATACAGCTTCAAGTTGATTTTTTCCCTCCTCTTTGAGTCCATCCGCATTCCATAAAATGCTGGGCTTATTGCTGCAATACAATGCAGCTATCAAAATCAATTAATATTTAGGAATTGCACAGAGAAGAACAGAGATAAGACAGACTCTCACCTGGTTCCCACTGCTAGATATTATCTCATTTTTGGCTTCTTCTGCTCGTTCGCTGTTTCTACACACTAAATGAACAGTGCCACCTATGCAGAGAAAATAAAACATTTGTCAAGGACAGAATTCTAAGTGTGTGCCAAGTAACACAAACTATGCAACATTAATCTTCACGTTTTCTAAGAAACACTACATTAAGATATATTCATGAATATCACAGTTGTATGCTGCAGTACAAAAAAAATGTATACTGTTGGCTTTAAATGATCTACTCTTCAGACTATTATAAAAATGTATACTTTATTTCACATTATGGGTCTCTCTTCCTAGTTGCAGTAGGATTGCCAAGGCATCAATTTTAACTCATAGCTTAGGTCTACTTTTTAGCTTGGGTCAATCTATAATTGGTCAGGTCTGATGTCACATGCAGCAAGTTGCGAGAAAAAAGGGACAGTAGCTCAATGTTTTGTATATACTGGTCAATATACTAAAAAGCTTTCTCTTGATTTAACTTCTCCATCTAACTACCATCCAATGACCTCTCTTTCGCCTCCAAGCTTCCCAAACAATTTGTATGTACCCGTCTGAGCCATTCTTTAAAATACCAGTTCTTTCGTTGACTCTCTTCAATGTTTCCACTCTCTACATTCTATTAAAAAACAGTCCTAATCAAGGTGACCAGTTGACCTAATCACAACTCAATTCAAAGGTCACTATTAACCACCAATTTTGCTCAACCTCTCCACTGCTTTTGACATGATTGACCCAGGGTGGATCCAGAACCTAATCTCAGGAGGGACACTGGTAGGTTATTTAAAGGAACACTCCAGTGAAAGTGGTTGTGAACTTCTTAATCTTCAAATAAAATTGCATATTGCAAACTATTTTGGTAGCATCTGCCACACCTTTTTTTGCTATTGCCAGAGCCGTTGCTTTGCCAATCCCACTATTAGCACCAGTAATCATGTAGTGTCTTCCAGTGACATCAACTTCCAAATCACAGGCACAAAAGTGTTTGGCTGCCGCTTCATATCCACCTCTAGAATAAAAAAAAAAAATACAAGTGGAAACTGGTGTCAATTTGAATGTAATTAAAAGCAAACAACATTGTTTCACGTGGGAAATGTTATCAGCAATCCAGGGGTGGACTGCTAACTTGACATCAACTTGACACGGGGGCAAGTACAATCGTCCAGTCTTCGTTTCCACACAAATCTCGCAGATCTCGGTGTGTCCTACTCACACCAATCACGCAACATATAGATTATATCAATGGAGACTGTTAGAGTCATGAGGTGTGACATCACAGAAATATGCTGAAAGGGACACTCCACTGCCCAAATAAAATAAATAAATCACAGTTTAGTAGATATACCCCAAATGAATCCATACATTCACTTAATCATTTTTTTCCATTGGGGATAGATCTAAAAACAGCTTGAGAAACGTGTGGTTCTCTTGTCTGAAGCCTTTGCAAGCTCTCCACTTCTAACCCAGGCCAGGGGGTATCAGGAAGGTTTTAAAACATCATGCCCTGTAACTGGGTGAAAATGTGATGGAAGGTGTTGTGTGTTAGTTTGCTCACAGTGCAGTACACAAATCACGTTAATATTTTTTAACACTCAAAGCTGGATGTTTTTAATAAAATATTCTTAGAATATAAAATTTTGAATTTGCCTGGGGAATGCATTGGCTGGAGAGACAAGTTCCAAAGTTCCAGAATTGGCACACCATCAACTCATCCTGCATCCTCCCAAGGATACAGAGTTGAATAATTAAAAACAAGGCAATGTATATATAGGAGGACATACTTCAAAACTAGGCTGATATAAGCAGATCCTTTCTGGTAAAATCAGTTTCTATCAATTCTTATGATTATTTACATTAACAAATATTATTGATACTACTAATAAACTGAAATCAGTATGTTAACCATGTATTAAGTATCTGTTACTATGAACCAATCTGTGGGCTGATTATTCTCATATGAGGAAACAGGATATACAAGCTTGGTCGATACTTTACAGATGTGATGGATATAGTGGCTTGGCCAAAGACCAGAGAGAGATAGTGATGGTACCTTAGTGCATCAGACAGATTTCATAACCAACAAGACAGCCACTGATCTGTTAGGTTAAACAATAACTATGTAACAGTATAGTACATAGCAGTTACCGCCCTCTCTGTTACACAAGCCTTGCATAATGTGTGTCTGTGAACGTTAGTGCCATTGATTATACATAACACACACTGAATACCACAATACATTATAAAAAGGTTTAAAGTACACAAAAATCACACATAGCCATAAAAGAACAATTAGACTATATTATTTTATTACATTACACTGTTCACAAATTCAGCATTATATGTCAAAGTTATTAGCAATTAAGAGAGCTCAGACTTCAATTTGCAATCAACACAGCAAGCATTATGTTAGGTATACCGGCTTCCTGATGCTAATCAATAGGGAATGGGGTGTGGGGGAAGGTAGACTCCCCTCACTGAACTACAGTTCCTATCATGCCTTGCCAGAGGCCCTTTAAATGGGATTTACATGTTGTCCACTCCTAATATAAGGCATATAGCAGTAGAAAAACAGTGTGTGCAATATTGAAAAGGTCCCACTCAGAGGAATGGTCTGATTATACAATAAATGACTATAACCACCACACCCAGCCCTGATTGCATGCAGTTCCCATGATGGAGCTTGTTCTGCACACAGTTACACACATTGAGCTCTGCACTTACTTGGTGTATTCTCTCAGCCCCTTTATAAACCACACGGTGTTCCTGTACAGCGACATGTTGTGTTTTACAGAATCAGACAAGAGTTTGCACTGAGAGCAGCACCCCCCATGTCCCTGCCCCTATCACCTCTTCACCTCCCTCCCACACTGACAGCTAGCAGGAGGCCTCGCCCACATTAACTATTCCATGCCCACTGAGCACTGCAGGGATCTTAGTGTGTGTCACATTGTAACCTTGTACTGCTTGATGGACTTACAGTGACTGAGCCTAGTGCATGGGGTAACCTGCTGCATGAAGTGTGCCTTTATTGCATAATAAAACACAGTATGGTGAGAAAATAAAAAAATATTTCATTTAAAGGAAGACTCCCAATGTCTAGATCAGGGGTAGTCAACCTTTTTCTTCCTACCGCCCACTAATGCATCTTTCTTGATGGAAAAATTTCCTTACCGCCCACCAGTTTTCGCGCAAGTGCGGAATATTTTTGAGAAAGGAGGGCGTTTTAAAAAAAATAAATGTACGTACATTTATCTTTTTATTTCTACTTAATGCGTATTTATAATGTTTTTAACTTTATAAAGTTTAATGAGAAAACAATAAAGTAAATTGAAATTACCTTTACTAGTGATTAATGAGATCCTTGAGGCTGATGCTGCGAGACTAAATATTTGATATCTGGTTCGATTTTCGTAAGGAACAAACAAAGGTCTCCTCTTTCGGTGATATTCAGACGACTTCTCTGTTTGCGCATAATATGATTTCTCATCTGTGCGTCAGCTCCCCTCCCCACCTTTTTTCCCCCTTTTTTCTATTTTTTAACCTTACTTATAGCAATGCCCAGTAAGAAGGCTGAGCTAGGTAGCCCACTTACTATAGCCCACTATAACAGACAGACACACATACATACTAACACATACACAAGACACACATACAGACACACACACAAGACACACGTACACACATACACACAGACAGGCACACACATACATACAGACACACAGGCACACATACACACACACACACACGACACACATACAAACATACAGGCACACATACAGACACACACAGACACACACATAAGACATACATACAAAGACACACACACATAGACACAAGACACACATACACACAGACACAAGACACACATACATACAGACACATACATAAGACACACATACATACAAAGACACATACACACATAACACATACATACAAAGACAAGACACATACATACACACAAGACATACATACAAAGACACATACATACATACAAAGACACACACACACACAAGACATAAATACAAAGACACACACACACAAACAAACACACACATTATATTTAAGTCACCCTCATGTTTCCTACCTTTAAGGTGCAGGATGGTGACTTTCCCTGGGGTCCAGTCGTGGCTCAGGTGGATGGGAGTCAGAGTTCCTACTCTGACTCCCTGGTCTTCCTCCCGCACGGTCTGTGTGTTAGCTGGGAGGAGTGACGTGCAGTCACTTCCTCCCAGCTTGTGATGTAATCACAGGGGGCCCAGTCACGCTGTTAAAGCACCCAAGGCTGACCGGGACCCCTAACAATCCACATCCATCGGGTGGCCCTGACAGCATGGGCCACCCGATGGACCTCTTGGACGGCAGCCCCTGCCCGGACGTCAAACCGCAAGTGGTGATGGCGGTACCCAGTCACAGGGGTACCGCCGGCTCGCACCCGCCCGCCCACCCAATCTCTCCAAATGAGGAAATCCCTACCGCCCACCTGGAATCTTGAAATGCTCATTAGTGGGCGATAGGGACCAGGTTGACGACCCGTGGCCTAGAGCTAGCTAAAATGCTGTATGTGTACAGAAAATGAAGCTTTTAATAGATAGTGGCACTTTTATAAATTAACCTCATTAGATTTGTTGGCTTTCAAGCCGACACCAAGTCCTGTTACTTCCTGGTTTGGTTAGCTTATTTGCAGTGAACTTAAGAGGCAGCATTTGCCCATATAACCTGCCTTGCACAGACTACTCATTGAGTTGTATTGGGAAGTCTGTGATTGGACAGCCACATAATGTCTGGGTGGGCTTAGAAGAGGAGGGCTTGCAAAGGCTGCAGACAAGAGATCTGCAGCTCTTTCAAGCTGCTTTGATTTATAACACCAGTAAAAAGGCATTAATAAATGTATGCGTGCTTTCATTGTGGGTATATCTACTAAACAGTATTTTTTATTTAAAAAAAAAAAACACATTTAGGTAGTGGAGTGTCCTTTCAAATAAAATGTAAAATAAGGTAGTTTAGTGTTTTTTGTTTTTTTTAAGAACATAAAAAAACCTCTATGCACTATATTGAATAAAATGTACTCACTGTATTTACATACTAAATAAACAGATTTGCCTTGTGTTCACATCTATCTGTATAAAATCTACAACTTCTGGTCACCCGGAGGCCAGAGACCTGGTTCAACTGTATCAGGATAATTTTTTTAAATTCTTTATTTTTCAAAGTGCAGGGTTAAGTACACATATCACATTTGGTGTAAGACACACCCTACGTTATACACGCTAAACATCAAGATGTACTGCACTCTATTTTTTGTTAGAAAAGGTAGCTCGAGGAACAGGAGCTGCATTGTCTTGGTTGTGTAAAACAGATTCTAAAACATTAGTTTCAAACTGATAACAAATGCCCTACTTGTGTAGATAGGTTTGGTGTAGTGCTTGCAAGGAGTGACCTACCAGTATTGACATGACGTGTCGAGATTAGAAGACCACTGGATCCTCAGTCCCCGTTATGTTTATGCACTATAAACAGGTAGAGAATGGTTGAGTATGATCGCATAGGAGAAGTCGCTGTTAACCGGTAGGTTGGAGTGTACGAGTAAGCATGTACATGCAGAGTGTGAGCAAATGCCGTGTGAAGTCGTGTGTACAAGACCTGTCACTAGTCTGAGGTAGTGAGTTTGGTCAAAGAGTGAGAGCTTGTGATGGCCACTGTATGTCGCCGATACGTGGGTATATGTTTGGTCGTAGCTTGGTGGTGGAGTGTGTGCTGTTTCCTTGCGTATTTGGGTGTCCCGTGGTTTTAAGTGGTCAGGTGCCCAGCCCAACCGAGGTTTGTGTGGGGTCGTGTGAGTCGAGTCCAGATTGCAGTTGCGTGAGGCTATAGGGGGTCGGGGGGGTTGTTTGGCTTGGGCTTTATGGGGCCTGGACAGTTGTTGGAGGTGAGCTCAGTGGGTGCCGTCAGGATTAGGTCGGGGTCCCAGCTGATATCGCTGGTTTGCCCCTGTGTCGAGGTGTTTGCGCCTGGTTCATTAGGGGAAAGAAGGGGATTTGGTTGGTGCGGGCTCCCCGTCGGGAACAGGGAGACGGTCCTTTCACCATGGTCAGCCGTTTTGCTGCAATTGTATGTCTCCATGTTTCCCTCGAGTGGTAAGAGGGTGGGAAGGGGAGGGACGGTAGGAGTTAGGGGGTTAGTCAGTTGTTTGTCGCGTGGGTCTGGGCCTAGGTCTGTGTTCCCGGGGCCTGGCTTGGGCTGATGTGAAATAGCGCAATAATCTTAAAGTGCCCAGCAGAAAAATAATATGACACCTGACAATATAAATAGTGTTATATCAGGGTTAATTACATACTGAGGAGTGGAATATAGTGAAATTAAAATAAGTAACATAAGTAATAAAAAAAAAAAGTCTCAATGTTCAATCTGTAGTCCTATGGACAGTTGTGTGTGTCAAGGGGGGAACGTCTCGGTTAATTTACCGTGGGGTATCGCCCCCCTTCAGGTTTTCGCCGTGGCATATGGTTCCACGGGAGGTTGTCGTGGTACGAATTCCGGAGCGCTGGCTGCATCTCTTCCGAAGGAACGTTGTGGCCCCGTGGAAGTCTCCGAAGGTTTGAGTGAGTCCACAGGGAGGCCTAGCTTGCCTGAGGCCCTCATGGCCTCTAACATGTCGCGGATGACCTGCGAGGTGTCTCCTGTAGTAATGTGGATGGTGCGGCCTGGTCCCCAGCAGTATTTAAGATGGTGTCTTCTCAGGAGGGTTGTAAATTGGCTCAGGGATCTCCTCCATGCTAGTGTTCCACTCGAGAGGTCGGCATAGAACGATAGGGCCATCTCCTCAAATGAGTATGTCTGCTGTCCTCTGACGGCCTCCAAGACTGCTGCTTTGTCTTTCAGGGTTTGGAACCAGAGCACTATGCCTCCGGTGGCATTTGGTAGTGCTTTGGCTGGTCGTGGTATACGGAAGATTCCGTCCAGCATTATCGCTCTGGCTGCCTTCGGGTTTAGTACTGCGGCGAGGAGCCGTCTGATGAGCTCCGCTTCTGGGACAGTGCCGGCAATACCTCTAGTTTTCAGGTGAGTTTGGTGCCTTCTGTCCTCCAACATGGACACTTGCCGTTCGTGAAGCAGGTTTTGTTGGCGCACGTTTTCAATTGCGGTTTGCAGTTCCGATGGCTGGTTTATCTTCCACTGCCCCCAACCGTGCTGCTATGCTTTTTAGATCCTCTCGGATCATGGCCACTTTGGCTGATATTTTACCATGGTGTTCTGCCAAGGGCCTCCAATTTCACCGGGGTGGATGTTGTCGCGGAGGGCCAGCTCTGTGGCCAGATCGGCAGTGGCAGTGTCAGGGACCTCTCTGTAAAATCCGAACACCCTCCGTGACGAGATGCCATCTTGGTGCTAGCTGCGTCCTGGGCCTGCCTCCAGAGCTCCCCAATACACATGCCCGGCCGGGGCTTATCCGCCTTTTGTTTTTTCATTTTTCGATCCATGGCCCCCGCTGAGTCTCGGGGTCGCCCTGGGGTGAATGCGGTTTGAGTCTGAGCGTGGGTAGTGGTCTTTGGATATGCAAGCGGCCAGGAGCTCCGTCTTCTTCAGTAGCTTAACTCCGCCGACTGTATCAGGATAATTGATTAGGGCAGTATAGAGCTTGCTTTGGTAGAATTAACAAGTGAAGATCAACCCACTCCTGAGGACAATACACTTATTCCAAACAATCCTTGTTAAGATACCAAAAGCTTACGCTCAATCATGTACATCTTACATCACACCACTATTGTGAAGATTGTCGAGTCTGACTTCTTTCAGATCTTGACACCATACCACCACCCCAGTGAAATTTTTGTTGAAAAGTCGCCTTATTAAAGAAGCACTCTCACCCGCCCCTGAAAAATTAGCATTTCATAGAGGGGGGGCATGTGTGTCTGAGCAGACCGCGTGGGATACGTTCAGGTAAGTATATCTTATCGTTACGTGCCCCTCGCCACCGGATCTCTAGTAGCCATGTCACTGTTGGGGGTCTTGCAGGTAAGTCCATTATTCCAACCAAGTGGAGACTATCTGCACCCACTCTGCAGCAATGGATGGTAAGAGCTAAATATATTTATGTAATGCAGTCCCTGAACGTGGCACTGAAAGATTAATTTTGAAAATTGCATGCAAATATGAATTAAATTAATTTCATATTGCCCTGTGTGACAAACGTTCCTTGCCTTGGACATTTGCCACAAATTCATGGAGGAGTGTAGAAGCTGGCCTCCTGCCCACCGACTATGGGCCATTTACAAAGACTCTGTTCGGGAGTTAAATCTCCCCAACCGCCATTAGTAGCTTGCCCCTGGTTGCCCCTGGTTCAGCACTTTCCCTTCATGCAAATGGAACCGAAAGCTGGCTCTCTGGTGGCCGTTCGCATGAACCAAACCCACGAATAGTTCCAGTGGTACTTACCCGCAAATCTCTGAAGGTTTGAGTGAGTCCAGAGGGAGGCCTAGCTTGCCTAAGGTCCTCATGGCCTCTAACATGTCGCGGATGACCTGCGAGGTGTCTCCTGTAGTAATGTGGATAGTGCGGCCTGGTCCCCAGCGGTATTTAAGATGGTGTCTTCTCAGGAGGGTTGTAAATTGGCTCAGGGATCTCCTCCATGCTAGTGTTCCACTCGAGAGGTCGGCATAGAACGATAGGGCCATCTCCTCAAATGAGTATGTCTGACGGCCTCCAAGAGTGCTGCTTTGTCTTTCAGGGTTTGGAACTGGAGCACTATGTCTCCGGTGGCATTTGGTGGTACTTTGGCCGGTCGTGGTATACGGAAAATTCTGTCCAGCGTTATCGCTCTGGCTGCCTTTGGGTTTAGTATCGCGGCGATGAGCCGTCTGATGAGCTCTGCTTCTGGGACAGAGCCGGCAACACCTCTGATTTCCAGGTGAGTTTGGTGCCTTTTGTCCTCCAACATGGACACTTGCTGTGAAGCAGGTTTTGTTGGCGCAGGTCTTGGATTGCGGTCTGCAGTTCCGAGATCTGGCGGGTGTGATGGCTGGTTTATCTTCCACTGCCCGCAACCGTGCTGCTATGCTTTTTAGATCCTCTCGGATCATGACCACTTTGGCTGATATTTTACCATGGTGTTCTGCCAAGGGCCTCCAATTTCACCGGGGTGGATGTTGTTGCGGAGGGCCAGGTCTGTGGCCAGATCAGCAGTGGCAGTGTCAGGGACCCCTCCCTAAAATACGAACACCCTCTGTGAAGAGATGCCATCTTGGTGCTAGCTGCGTCGTGGGCCTGCTTCCAGAGCTCCCCAATACATATGCCCGGCTGGGGCTTATCCGCATCCGCCTTTTGTTTTTTAATTTTTCGATCCATAGCCCCCGCTGAGTCTCTGGGTCGCCCTGGGGTGAATGCGGTTTGAGTCTGAGCGTGGGTAGTGGTCTTTAGATATGCCAGCGGCCAGGAGCTCAGTCTTCTTCAGTAGCTTAACTCCGCCTGACTGTATCAGGATAATTGATTAGGGCAGTATAGAGCTTGTTTTGGTAGAATTAACAAGTGAAGATGAATCCACTCCTGAGGACAATACACTTATTCCAAACAATCCTTGTTAAGATACTAAAAGCTTACGCTCCATCATGTACATCTTACATCACACCACTATTGTGAAGATTGTCGAGTCTGACTTCTTTCAGATCTTGACACCATACCACCACCCCAGTGAAATTTTTGTTGAAAAGTCGCCTTATTAAAGAAGCACTGTCACCCGCCCCTGAAAAATGAGCATTTCATAGAGGGGGGGCATGTGTGTCTAAGCAGACCGCGTGGGATAGGTTCAGGTAAGTATATCTTATCGTTACGTGCCCCACGCCACTGGATCTCTAGTGGCCATGTCACCGTTGGGGGTCTTGCAGGTAAGTCCCTTATTCCAACCAAGTGGAGACCATCTGCACCCACTCTGCAGCAATGGATGGTAAGAGCTAAATATATTTATGTAATGCAGTCTCTGAACGTGGCACTGAAAGATTAATTTTGAAAATTGCATGCAAATATGAATTAAATTAATTTCATATAGCCCTGTGTGACAAACGTTCCTTGCCTTGGACATTTGCCACGAATTCATGGAGGAGTGTAGAAGCTGGCCTCCTGCCCACCGACTATGGGACATTTACAAAGACCCTGTTCGGGAGTTAAATCTCCCCAACCGCCATTAGTAGCTTGCCCCTGGTTGCCCCTGGTTCAGCACTTTCCCTTCATGCAAATGGACCGAAAGTTGGCTCTCTGGTGGCCGTTCGCATGAACCAAACCCACGAATAGTCCCAGTGGTACTTCCCCGCAAATCTTATGGAACTGTTTTCGGCATGAGGTGACCATGCGGTTCCCGGACAACTTGGTTCACGGTTTTGGACCAATTTGAAATCCGCAAGTAGAGCTCTTTTTGGAGGAAAGGTGCCGGAGACTAAGGGGAACAAACGCTACGTAGGAGCCAGCCGAAGCACCCTGTATTGCGGCCGCAGGAGCTCCTGGAAGTTGACCGGCAAAAGCACCAAATGCCCTGGAACTGTTTTGGGCCTAGGACCATGTGTGCGGCCGGTCAGAACTTCCACATGGTGGGGTTTCCCCTACACTGAGCGCTATTTGGATTACTTGGGTGCTCAGATCAGGGATATTTAATTATATATAATTTGTGGGGGTTCCTATTTGTTTTGTATGTGTTTTTTATGTATTTTGATATTTAATGTTTTCATGCCGAGTCACTCTGATACAGGAATTTGTGGACATTTTGTGTGAGTGTTCTGGACGTGTTTTACTGCAATCTTGTTTTGTATATAAGTGGGCCATTTGGCCATGATTAAACACATTTGTTTTTACCCTTCATCAAGACTAGGCTGATGTTTGGGGAATTGGGAGCTATAATCACTGCTGCACTAGGGATTTGGGAGAACTACAGCGGATATACTCATCCAGGGGCATAGGGGATGCATTACACCCTGTGTGTAACTGAATCTGGCACACATAAAATTGGACACTTATTTTTTTTCTTTTCATCTTCCTCACCTTTCTTCCCATTGACTTTCCCTTCTCGCACCCAATTTATTGGTCTTGATCCTTTACCCCGAATTTAAATCTAACTGGACCATCACTATGTAGACATTTGCTACAATAGTCCTCCATAGCCTCTTTATGTTTATCTTTTGACACGATTTCTAGTAAACATTGATGCAATCGTGCATATTGTATTATCCTTTCTTATTGTTCCTGTAATATTATAAATCTTGTTTTAAATGAAGATTGCCAACAAACCCAGCTTGATGAGATTTTATTGCTACACAAGAAGAGGCAACAGGGCTACACTAGTCAACACTGGTGTCTCCTAATCGGTTACAGAGGAACTCAAGGGCATCACCCAAAATAAATTGAACAGAAACTACTAAATGGAGTAAGGATAACTCCTCACAAATATGTGGGGAGTCCCTCCTCCATAGGCGAGAACCTCTAAACGAATTAAGTATCCATAAATATGGTATAAGCCTATGGAATAGACTAAACATAAAGCGGGAAGGGAAGACCGCCCACTTAAAGTGTGCAGACTCCCACTCCACCAAAAGAAGTACCTTTAAAAGTAAAAATCCGTATAGGTGGTATAAACCTTTATTAAAGCCGAATATTAAGATATTCAAATATAAAGAGCCTAACTAGAACAGTAGGTTCTATATGAAAAACCAAAACCCAAACAAATGTGACATTGTGAATAAACAACAGAGTGATAATACACCTTTAAAATTCTGAGTAAAGTAGTCTCAAAGGCCACTTCAAGTAGTAAGAGGATTTTAATAGCTATTATAAGTATTCTCAGATTTGAGTAATTTAATAGTTCAGTAGAACCTCCAGAGTATCAAGGTACAAATAATTAGTGGCTGTAGTGTGTAGAGGTTGTAAAAAATTGAACCAAAACTAAGGAATAAACTGAATATGGTCAGAGAGACAAATTGTATATTAGAACCCTGACCCCAGTTCTATACCAAGAAATAAATATCAATTAGCGTTCATTAAAAACAAAAAAAGCTATTGATTTATTTTATTGATGTGTACAATAGACAAAAAAAAAGTCATCATTTCTTAACTGTTTACTTGTTCATTTACCTTCAAGTTAAAACTGCGTGGAAAGAAGAATTAGAGTAAAGAGGATTTAAATAGCCCAGCTTCAGAATGTAACAGTGTTTCTATTCCCACACAAGTAATATTCACAGCACATTCAGCACACAGACAATCATAAAATGCCAGTACTGTATATGTAGATACAAGACAATGTAACACATTTAGAAAATGATGCAATACATATAAATTAATGGGTGGTGGGTTGAAGTAGCACAGACTGTGCATTCTCTCAATCCTATTTATAAAAACAGACATCACAAAACAGTTGTGAAAAAATACTAATGTTTATTTTAGCTCATCATAAAAATAAATATACTTTGATCATTTTGCTTAAACATCAATTACATGGAATTTGCTAATTACGCTTTTCACTGAAATGTGATTCAGACATTATAAAGGAAAATCTGAAGCCATTAAGGCAATTTCTAAATTAAACTGATCCCCCCATTACTGCATGACACTTTTAAATGAAATAAGCCACCAGTATATTAAGTGCTAAACTTTCAGACGGAAAGCTAAAGTTCTATTAAATATTTTCGACATGTCTTTATTGGTAAATTTCCCGTGAGCCCGTTTTTCTTATTCAACAGTTTTAAAGATTTACGAAATATTGTGCATATTTATTTAGGCTCAAACAGTTGAACTGTAACCTCCAATTTTAGCCATTTGCTTGATGAAATTACCAGTAACCTTCTTGATTCTCTATCCTTGGCTTCTTGAATGTATTCTTAGGGTTTTTCAATATGCTGGGAATTGTCAGGAACACAAAGTGAATTTAAAAAAAAAACTAAATTACAAAAAAAATAAAAAAATTTTTTAAAAATATTGAAGAAAGCTATGTTTTCAAATGTGTTATTACTGTCTAAATGTCAAATCCATGTTGGATCATATATAAATATGCATCAAAACAACTTTAGCTTAATGAAGCAGATTTGGTGTATACATCATGCCCCCACTTTGAATTCAGTCAAACTGTTAAAGGGATGGTACAGACATCAAAACATTTTTAGCTAAATTAAGCAGTTTTATAGTGTATCAATTATCTGCCATTTAGTAGTTAAATCACTTTGTTTATGTTGCTTTAGCCACACGTCCATGACTCACACAGCCTGCATGAAAAAAACGGTTTAATTTTCAATCAGACGTTAACTTGCTTTAGAAGTTCTTATTTCATGCTCTGTAAATAATTTTTTAATCACACACAGAAGACTCCTGTAGCGCCTAGAAGGCTATTAACAGAGCAGGAGATGAGAAATTCTAAATTAAACAAACTGTGCAATAAAGGAAGTGTAAACATTAGATCTCTCTTTATAGGAAGTGTTTAGCAAGGCTGTGCAAGTCACCTGCAGGGAGGTGTGCCTAGAGCTGTATAAACAAAGTGATTTAATGACTAAATGGCAGAGAATTGAGAAGTGAGACTGCAGGCACATGATCTTTACACCAAAATTGTTACATTAAGCTAAAGTTGTTTTGGTGAATATAGTGTCTCTTTAATGCTTCAGTGAGTTACCCTGGCAGTCTGCATGCTCAGTGATTCAACATTTTAGACGGTAAGCGTTGCCCATGCCACATAACTCCAACTCTCCTCTTTCTGCGTTAGATAAAGAATTTTGGATTTCAGCATTAGCTACTGAGATGAATTTATTGATGGCTTCTCAAACTTTTTCTTGCCAAACATACTAAATGTGAAAAGTGCTAGGGATAATACCAAAGTAATTAACCGAAGAATATGTAGAGATTTCACTAGCTTTCAATTGTGTCATTAGAGTAAATATATTACTATTTTCTAGTTCAAAATGATACTTATTTTATTGACCTCAAAGGAATAAAGAGTTGATCAGACTAGATGTGTGAATACAAGTAAGAGTTATTGCAGCTGTTTCTGTAACTGAGTCTGCTCACCAGGTTCAATACGCTGTTTGTCTAAAAGATTTGTGTAAACTATTTTGATTTGTTAAGAAGGTTAACCTTGTCAGCATTTGTGATCAGCAGTGTCTCTGCAATCAATAGGTGAGAAATTGAGATTGGTCAGAGTGGAATTTGGAATGTTAGGTGCTAGATTTGAAACACACTGGCATTATGAATGAGGTGCAATTCTGGAGCAAAAGGTATAGGCAGAGCAATCAGAAGGAATATTCTATTATGATGGCTACACAATACAAATGTACAATAATAACAGAAACCATGGTTATCCCTGTCTAAATAACAATAATCAACATATTTTACCAGTCAGACTACAATGGGATTTGTTACATTTCGACTATGTTAGTTCATTTTATTCTCATACTCTGTGAGCACATATTCACATATGTATGATAAAAATAATGCATGATATAGTGCAAATTGCATTGTGCAAGTAAACATATCATTTAAGCATTAAACAAAAATATTCCAAAAAGTATAAATAAACAAGGTATGACATGTTGAACATATAAACCTTTAAAAGGCACATTTATAAAAAAGAAAAAAAGTTAAAATAGATTTTGATAACAGCTAAATGCCATTTGTCCTTTTCTAAATACATAGACGTTAGACATGATCCTTCTCCTTGCTCACGAAGGCAGCGAGTGTAATTTCATACTTCTATTCCACTGCTCTGCAACTTCACTGATGAAGGTCAATTCTATGTAACTGCAACATATTCACGGCCAGGATCAACACAGCGTAAATATGAATTAAGCAGCTGCTCAGGTAACCAAATTCCAGATAACTCTGTACAAACTACCATGCCGGGTAAAAGACAATTCAATTAAGCAGGTTGGAGAAAGCACATAAGTCACAGATTGTTTACATATTAATGACACAGTAGTAATGGTCCATTCATTATCTTATCACTAAAAATTAAAGCACATCTAAAGCTATTTATTATTTATACAAACTTTAAATTATCCTAGTTTCACAATTATTCAAATTATATATATATATATATATATATATATATATATATATTTATTTTAACATTTTGGTACCTTTATAAAGTGTAACATCTCCTTACACCATGTCAGCATCTGCAGTTACAATCTGCAAATATCATATCTTAATTTTGCACTAATAAACATATCAAATAAGGTTGCTCTGAGAATCCATCTTACTTATACACTAGACTACATCTGAGTTACTGATAGAAATATAGCCAAACATTTACATGATATTGCTTGCTTTGTGTTCTATATACACAGAATATATTTATAATGAATTACCAGTTACAGGATCTATTAAAACCCAAGTGGCCTTATTTTTTTGGTAATTTTGGTATAAAAAAAATAATATCAGAAAACAGTAACTGTGCATTACACAAAAAAAAAAAAAACATGTTTCAAAGCAGCTAGTTTCTTTTTAAAGTTGGCAATGCTACCTCCCTGTTCATGCCTCAGTTAGCTCTAACTAAACCCTGTAGTAAAGATTACCTGTGTTCCCTTAGTGACACAGAGAATTAAAGGATCACAACTCTGATGGTAAACTGTGGCTAAAGATGCATTACAATGGTCCAAATGACAGTGTGATGACATGCACCATATTCTGCAATTAACTTGCATCCCAGCTGCCTGCTGTGGCCAATCAGAATTATTCTACTGAAAATTAACCGGTACTATTGGTTTGTTAAGGCAGTCATAAGAACATGGCTGTTTTCAAAGTCTCTGTGCTTGTGGCTTGAAGTGGTACTTTACATGAAATAGTTTTTCTTTCTGTTGACAGTTATTCATATATGATGGTCTTCATCCATTTCACTGACGAGCAGAGACCACTTATCTTGTCGCTCTCTTACCAGGGAGTTCTGCCGAGAATGTTTGTTTGGAGAAAGAGGTGACATAGAAACGTGGCTGATTTCATCCCGAGTGTTCGTCTTTGGTAGTTCTCGTTTCCGGTCATCCATGCCAATGTGAACACTTATCTGTGAGGGCGTAAGAGGTTTCATGCACCCCTGGGCTCGGGCCTCATATTGATCCTGGTCCGGCTTATTGTAGCTAAACAGAAATATTAAGGCACATTAGAAAGTAAAATATATTCGTACACTCTCCCCTCCCCCCTCACACACTACATTTATGTAGAAATGTGGTTTTAAAATCAGGTAAAAAAATATGTCACCTCAAAAGGAAAGGAAATACAATTATTTTAATTTAGTATATGTAAAAAAAAATGAGAAAAACCCATCTCTACCTTTAGTATATGACAGTCATATACATACACCTTGGGTCAGAAAGTTTTTGAAACCCAGAAGCATTTACTTAATTCAAAACAAAATCTATTTCCTTTCAAATCTTGATGAATTAAAAATTGTTTTCAGGTGACAGTTGTCCTTTAATAAGCGGCAATTTGTATTTATACTGTAATGCATAGACAATGCACATTAGCTCTCGCTTTAAAAGAGGGTTTAGGCTAAAGCCAATATATATTGCAGGCCAGGCGAATTACTGTAGCCATTGTGTATATTTAACCATTGCCTTCACCGTTCATGTATGGACAGCCAGAGAGCATACGCCCAGGTCTATATACAGCTTTATAGTTCATTTTTAATTAATGATGTAATATGAAAAACGACAAGAAAGAATAGAGAGGGAGGTCTAATCCCCTAAGAGGGGGGGAGGGGACTACCCTGACCATTCAAAGAATACCTCCTACTGTTAAAAAAATCACATAAATTAGGATATATAACCTTTATTGAAATATGTATAAAATTTATACAAATACTGCCAAATGTATCTAATGGCGATAGAGAGGAGAAAAGGATGGACTAAATGTCGCTATATGGCTATAGAGGGAGCACAATATAAGGGAGGTGTATAGATAGAGGTAGGTAATTCTAGATATACATATAGGTCACCTAAAACACCCCTTTATAGCACTGCTCCAACTAAACCTACACCATACGTCTAACTGCTGCTTCAAAGCAGCCTATCTATACCCCCTTAATAGCTAGAATGAGCCAGCATAGTCTCTTAGGGATATCTCCAGACTAGAAAAATAAGTGAGAGACATAAAGCTAAAATCTACTAAAGCTAGCGTCTAAAAATAAGTAATGTAGCCTAAACCTGCCTAAAAAGATAATGAATAGCTTCAGCTGCAACCAAAAATCTCGGGTAAACGTAAGTAGCGTCAGCTACAGCTATCTAAACTCAAAACAGAAGATTAGCATTGGCTAAGACTGTCTACAGAGTATATAGAAAGCAACAGCTACAACTAAAACCTTAAATCAAATGGTTGACGTCCGCTAAAGCTATCTAAACTCGACGCGCGTTTCGGCGTTTTCAAGCACGCCTTTATCAAGAGCAACTTGTTAAGTGGTTAGGATTTGCTTTATAAAGGGTAATAGCCACTTCCCCTACCTACCTCTATCTATACACCTCCCCTATATTGTGCTCCCTCTATAGCCATATAGGGACATTTAGTCCATCCTTTTCTCCTTTCTATCGCCATTAGATACATTTGGCAGTATTTGTATAAATTTTATACATATTTCAATAAAGGTTATATACCCTAATTTATGTGATTTTTTTAACAGTAGGAGGTATTCTTTGAATGGTCAGGGTAGTCCCCTCCCCCCAGTGGCGGATCCAGGGGGGGGGGGGGCAACGGGGCAATTGCCCCCCCCCCGAGAAATCCGCCAGTCTCCCTCTCCCTCTCCCCTGCCAGCAGCACATGCAGGTGCTAGCCCTGCAATATGCCTTCGGACCGGAGGGGAGATCAGAGCTCTCCCTCCCCGGTCCGCAGGCACTGTGCTGACAGCCGGCAGGGGAGGGAGAGGGAGGAGAGAGGACCCAGGAGCTCAGGCTGCAGCTCCTCCGGGTCCTCCTCTCGCGAGATTTGGAGCGTTGCCGTGGTTACCACGGCAACGCTCCAAATCTCACGAGAGTGAACTCTAGCCCGGGAGCGCGGGCTAGAGTTCTCTGTGCCCACTGGGACTCGCAGGGAGTCACCACTGGGACCACCAGGGATCGAAATATGTCCACCCTCCTCCCAGTAAAGGTAAGAAAGGAGGGGGGACATAGAATATTTATTTATTTTAATTAAATAAATAAAAATATATATTATTAAAAAAAAGAAGCCCCCCTACCCTTATCACACACTCTATACACATACACCCCCATACAAACACACTGCCCCCCATACTGCCCCCCATACACACACACTGCCCCCCATACACACATATTGCCCCCCATACACACACATTGCCCCCCATACACACACACTGCACCCATACACACATACTGCCCCATACACACACACTGCCCCCCATACTACCCCCATAAACACACACAGCCCCCATACACACACACACATACTGCCCCCATACTGCCCCATACACACACACACTGCCCCATACTGCCCCCATACACACATACTGCCCCCATACACACATACTGCCCCTTACACACACATACTGCCCCCCATACACACACATACTGCCCCCATACACACACACTGCCCCCCAAACACACACACACACTGCCCCATACTACCCCATACACACACTGCCCCCCATACACACACACTGCCCTCATACACACATACTGCCCCCATACACACACATTGCCCACACTCACACATACACTGCAATACTCACACATACTGTCCCACACATACACTGCATCCCTGACATACACTGCCGCCCTCACTCACATACTACAACCTTCACACACACACACTGCTCACACACTGTCCCCCTCTCTCACACACACACACACACACACACACACACACATACTGCACCCCTTACACATTGCACCACTCACACACACCACTGCTCATATGCCCTACTACAGCCCCATTTCTCAGCAGACCTCAGGTAAGTTGTCAAACTGTTCTTAAACGGTTTGACTACTTACTCTGGGAGGGGGTCCTGGCACTGTTGACACCATAACCACTACACTGAGCTGTAGTGGTTATTGTGTCTGGATTATTTCTTTAAATAATCTACAAGTGCCCCTCCCGAGATCAGGCTCTGGATCCACCACTGCCTCCCCCCCTTTTAGGGGATTAGACCTCCCTCTCTATTCTTTCTTGTTGTTTTTCTTAGTTAATTGGGGTTAAGCCCCTGTTACCTCCTGTAACCTTCTCCCTTGAGGAAATAGTGGGGGGTTTGTCTACCTCCACTACTCCTTCTTTCGCTCAATGTAATATGAAGTACAGCAGAAGAAGAATGTAAGAGAAGGTCATGATAGATTATTGAGGTATACTTTAGAAAAATAGAATGCTCATAGAATTTGCTAAAATACTGGATTAGGAAGATAACTGACTCATAGGGGAAGGAGGAATGGGAAGAGAGAAATTAAAATAGGAGAGGGAGAATGGAGATCTAAAATAAAGAGTGTGTGTCTGAGAATCTACTGATGTACTGACCAGGAGAGTTGGAGACAGGGAGCAAGGGAGTTTAACTCTGGAATATCACAGACACTAGAATAGAGAGTTGCCCGGGATTCTAGCGAAAGAGCTGATTGCGTGTTAAGAGGTCAGGCTACTGTTTAGATAAGAAGCTTGTGAAACATGATAAACATTGCTTGACAAAAGAGCTGTCACTTGTACTAAAGATACAGTTGATGCGCCTGTAACAGGAAATTAAAAGGATCTAAAAAATAAAATAACTCAATCCAAAACAATACAAACTTTTTTTTACTCAATCATTCATTGGATTTTGTGTGTTGTCTGCTGATTAATTTTATCCTATAACTCTAATTCCATTTTTTGGAAACTTTCTGATAAAAAGTCTTCAATTTATAAATTGGTGGTTTAATAGGAGCTTGAAGCTTCAAATTCAAATGTAAGATGCACTGCCACGTTTGTATACAGCGTAAGAAGTCATTTTAATTGCCTAGTACAGTAGTTTCAAAATCTAGCACTAGAGGTAGACAGAACATCATTTACTGTATATATTCCCATAACTTTTTGGAAGTACTGTATTTGGTAATTAATAACATATAAAGACTAAGGAAATAACTAGACGGGGGCATTTGTTTTTGGTATAATTCAGCCATTTGAATGGCACTTTGGAAGAATGACATAATTAATGAATCACTGATGACTGAAATTCTTCCATGGGCATTTGGTTTGTTAGTTCATTAATGTAGAAATCATTAAATGGTATTTAGGGTATCATCTAATAAAAAGCTAAAAACAAAATTACGAAGGGATTCTCATAATTTTTATCTTTCAACTGCTTAGATAGCTCCCTATTTTAGCATCCTTATCTAGGATTGCCATATTTAAAGATACCAAATGAAGGAGCTCCCTAATTTGGCATCCTTAAATATTGTCAAACCCACATAATGGTTTCTAAGTATCGGACTTATCTTCTGAAAGATTTTTTAAATTCTGAAGTGAAAATATTGGCCAGATGTCGGCCAAACCATATCAACTAACAGACTAAATCAATTCTGAATATCAAAATTATTTTTTTGTTTGTCCGAATGCATTCAGCCGAACCAAAATTTTATGCCGTGTGCAAGTCTAGAAATATCACATTTCTATAGATTTTGTGCAGCCTTCACAGAAGCTATATTTCAAGCCACTGTTGAAGGCTCAAAATTAATATTGTTGAGGCTCTATAACTTCTTTAATTTTTTTCCTTTTTTATGCTATAGAATGTGTTTACTTTTTTATGATTTGAAGCTTTGCTATTCAGTTTCTAACTTTCATAATAAAGATGCATCTGAACTATGCTTCAATTTTATCTTCTCTATATATCATTAGTACTTTTATGAACTCCATGAGGCTATGTATAAAGAAAAAATTGTAAGACAAACTCTGAACAGTGAAATTAATCCATGGAATTCAAAGATATTTTTCTGATGATTGATTTCTACAATCACTTCTGAAGCTTGTTCAAGTTTTTTGTTTGATTTTGCAACAAAGATTCAGAATGTGTACAAGATGATAGGAAGGAAGGAATTAATACATGGGCCATACCATTTTAGCTGTAATGAAGATAAAACAACAGACACAGAGGATGCTGCCATTGCTGCCGATCCCATCCATGGCTGCAACACCAACCCCAGAGGCATAAAGGCTCCTTGTAAAGATAGACGGTAGAGACAGAATTATTAATGATTGTTAAGAAGAATATGATCTACGTCTACATGAAAAATAACAAGAATTGCCTAAATGATACAGCATTTAAATGTGCATACCTCTCTACATTGGACAAATATACTCATCAGATAACAATTTGTTAAGTAGTTTATCTATTAAGCAGTCTGATTCTCTCTGTGCGAGTATTCATTGTACACTTGTACAAGAACATACTTTTTGTATGATGTGGGGAGCTTTCTACTGGTGTAAAGGCTGTTTTTGTAAATTACTAAAAGTTGGCAGACTTATAATATTGATTGAGTGGGAGCCAAGTTTGAGATGCTTCGTTCCAGGATAAAGCCAATACAGCAAAGTTATATCTGTTAAGAGTCTTGAACAATTTTCTTTGAATTCACTTACCCATCCCACAGCTCACCCTGCCCATACTTGTACCTTAACAATCATTGACATTGAGCAAATCCTGGAGAGGCAACTAGCTGGAAAACTACTGTAGCCCTGGTACCAACTAATCTATAGTGTGGAGAATCCATGTTCCCATGTCGCGATTTGGATAATATCATGCAAACCTCCTTTACCAGTTATTATTAGGTAGGAAAACTAGATCCTGTAATCAACCAACTCACAGTGGGATTAAACTTTATTATCAGTGTAGTCATAAAACCCAAAGCCTAGAGAACTCTGCATGCTCTGCAACCATCAAACCTCTAGACTGAAGAACCCTTGTAATTAAGTAACTCACAGCATGAAGACACCTCAATATCAATGGAGCCAGTCAATCCACAATGTAGAGAACCCTGAACATTATATTCTGTAACCATCAAACTTCTAACCTGCAGAACCCCTGCTACCCTGTACTCAACCCAGAGCAGGAAGAAACTTTAGTATCAATAATGCCAGTCTATCCACATGGTAAACACCCTGCATATTCTGAAAATATCAAATATTCAGCCTATGAAAGCCTCATTATATAATCAGTCAGCACACAGAATTAATAAACCTCATTACAAATGTAGCCAGTGTATCCACATGCCACACAGTAAAGAACCCTCAATATTCTGTGACCTTTAAAACCTCCATTATCCCTGCAACCAACATGCAGCATGAAGACTTCTCATTATCAATATAGTCATTCAAGCCACATCACCGACATTCTGTAACAATCAAACCTACAGACTGGAGAAACCTCATTATCCCCTAGCCAGCCAATTCAAAGCATAGAGAAACCTCATTATCGATATAGTCAGTTAAAATAACCAAAAACTCTGCACATTCTGTAACCATCAAACCTCCAGTCTGGAGAACCCTATTAATCTCCTAACCAGCCAACATTCAGCATGAAGAAACCTAATTATCAATATAGTCAATCTGTATCACCAATAACTCTGTACATTCTGTAGCCATCAAACCTCCAGACTGGAGAACCCTCATTATCCCCTAACCAGCAAACACACAGCATGGAGATACCTCATAATCGATACAGTCAATCTGTATCACCAAAAACTCTGCACATTCTGTAACCATCAAACCTCCAGTCTGGAGAAGTCTCATTATCCCCTAACCAGCCAACACACAGAATGGAGAAACCTCATTATCGATAAAGTCAATCCATATCACCCAAAACTCTGCACATTCTGTAACCATCAAACATCCAGTCAGGAGACCCCTTGTTATCCCAGCCACCAGCCACTTCACAGCTCAAAACATTACATTGGCCAGTGATAGTTTGTATGATTGAAATATACAGTAAGTATACATGCAACTGAAAATAACCAGATAACATACCTGCTGCTATAGGTACGCCAACAAGATTGTATATTAAGGCAAAAAGAAAGTTTATTCGTATCCTTCTGACTGTCCTCTTTGAAAGATGAATACTGGCGACGACATCAAGTAAATCGTTCTGTAAGTAGGAAAATAAATCTGATTACTATGTAGGTATTGCAATCAATAATTTCTAATTTCATATTTCTCCTTTTAATGTTAAAATCAGAATATATTTTCCAAGTAAAATCAACATATTTATAGACGAGAACAAGAAAAACATTAGCCACAACATGACTATTCCATTGGCATCTTAGCAAGATACTGTCATGCTTTATTTGACAATTGACATGTCCTAGCCTGGCTGATTGGCTGGCTGACAATAATAGGGGTCATTACATTTTAAGACATCATTGCTTTTAACTTTTTTTTACCTTATCAAACTAATTGGCTTGTTACTTGATTCCGGCATTTGAGTTCAAGTTGATGAAAAATTACGGGTGAAATGTAGAATATACATATCTACACCAATTTACATCCCTCATTTGTTACCTAACAATAACACTGATTAATCAGAATTAAAGCAGCTTTAACCCCATCAACAATAGTAAAATCGCTACGCTCTTTGACATTGGCTTCAATTTAATATGTTTGGATAAGCGTTTCAAATGATTTAATATTTTGGATAAAGTTTTACAATAATTTTTTTCCCCACATATTATAAAATATATATCTTATAAAAAATATATGTATAAAAAAATATTTGTAATAGTTTTTAAAGGCTATTCAAAATGTTGAAATAATTTGAAAAGCTTATCCAAAAATATTAAATCGGTGCCACATGGCTTGATTTAATATTTTGGATAAGTTTTCAAATAATTTACTAATTTGAAAAATATTTAAATATGTAGATTTTTAATATATATTGATATCTTTTATATATGATGTTTTTTTTTGATATTTTAAGTTTACCAAAAAATATTACATTTAAAAAGCTTATCCAAAAATATTAAATTGAGGCCATAATTGAGTAGCTGATAAATAGATTACCCAACTCAATGGTACTCAGTAAAGTTATTGGCTGCAGCGAGGTGTGAAAACTTACTCTGATCAGCACAATGTCAGCAGCCTCGATGGCTACATCAGTTCCAGTTCCAATGGCGATACCGATGTCTGCTTTGACCAATGCTGGGGAGTCATTAACGCCATCTCCCACCATCGCCACTCTCTTTCCTTGAGTCTGCAATGCTTGGACCTTGGCAACTTTATGGGAAGGAAGCACTTCTGCAAAAACCTTTTCTATTCCAACCTGCAAGAACATAACCAAAATAAACTAAATAAATATATGAAAATGTGGTGCAAACTGATGGGACACAGAAACAGATTTACAGGGAAGATTCTGCCAGTGATATAGCTACTGAAAGGACTGAATGGATACAGCATACAGTGAAACCGAATAAACAGAATATTAAACCGCATGCCATTTCCATTTAATATTCACTTTCAAGCTTTAGCGTAACACAAGGTACACAAAGGATTACTTAATCCAAATACTATTAATGTGTGTTTTAAAAACGGATATGTTGTTATATTTGTAGCTGGCTTAAATGGACAAACACATACCTGGGTGGCAATTGCTTTGGCAGTCTTCCTGTTATCCCCTGTAAGCAGAACCACATCAACACCCATAGCTTTTAATGTGTGCACAGCCAGGGCAGCCTCCTGTTTCACCGTGTCGGCTATAGCGATCATTCCACACAGCTCACCTACCGAAGAAAATATATTACATTTAAATAACCTAAATAATGTTTTCACATAATAACAATACGTAAGGATCGTACAATTACAATTATTTATATAGCACCAATGTATTCCCCAGAGCTATAGAAGGTAAACAAGAATACTCCCAGCCAGAAGACAATCTGGCAAAAGAGCACAGAATGGGTTACAGGGGTACTAAATGGACTTAACCCCAGAACATACAGAGAAAACAAAAGATGAGGAAATGAGGGAAGAGCATCCCTAAACAGGAAGCAAATCCCATCAAGACCAGTACCCCCTATAGAACACTATATAGAGAGACTTGCAAAAAAAGACTATGTCTCAAACAAGGTACAAAAATAATAAAATTTTATTGATAATAAAAATAAGCATTAAAAATCTAAACACCAAGTGTCAAAAATACACCAGACTGCTATCCTATAGGAAAATGGAAAAATACTGACATAAAATCAGCTCAATTAAACATCAACTAATAGCAGAGTTATAATATAGACTGGATACTTAATAAATAGTTCACTGTAGATAGCAGAGTAACTAATGTAACAACCTGAATAGCAAAAGTAACAATAAGTCTTGACTCATAGTATAATGAGAAATGGTTGTATAAATCCCAGATTGATCCAAATTTATGGAGGCGATTCCCAATAAGAATCAGAAACTTCTTTAATTGTAATACAAAGGGCCTGGTATACCTACTGTCTTGCTCATGCGGACAAAAATACATAGGTAAGACATTCAGAGCCTTCAAAGAAAGGATTATGGAACATGTAAGGTCTCCTAAGAATCGCCTTGAGACACCCATCTCAAGACACCTCAAGGAACACCACCAGGGTGAACCTAGTAATCTGAAGTTTTGTGGCCTGGAGTGGGTCAAGAGACACCCAAGACGTGGAGACTATGATCGATTACTAAGACAGAGGGAGTCTAGATGGATCTTTAGGCTTAAAACATTACATCCCTTAGGTCTCAACAAGGGGTTCTCTTTTGCCCCTTTCATCTAATTTATTTTCAATCTAAATTTTTTTCTAGGGAGGCTTTTTTACGTTACAGTGATCTCATAATTATATGAGATTCTTATTTATTTATATATATCTTCCCTATTTACCTTATTTATTTTTTCACTTATTATTATTATTTTTTCTAATTAGTACTTTTCAACAATTTATATACATATACAATACAATAATATGTCTAGACATGGGACTTTTGCTATATATACTGTTTTGAGTATTACCAATGTGTCTTTGAATTTGATAAGACCATTGGTGCCTACACTATTATGATCTTGTTGATCTATGATGGATATATTTTAATTTTACTTTCAATTTTGATTAGCCTGTTGAGTATTACTTTCTATTATAGAGTGTTTATGTCCCCTTTCCCTCCCCTATTATTTCCCAGGTTACTTTTACTATTGATTACTTTTTACATAATGTGTACAGGACAAAAGTATGCCGTTATGAATACAAGACGATGTGAAATAATGTGATCGAACGTTATATAGGTTTGCCCCTTGGGGGCGCCTGGTGATATCAAAGAGGATGCTGACACACTGTTGTCTCAAAGTATGCTGAGCGCATGCGCGGCAAGATGGTTACACGCATGCGTGCCCCTTCTGGGATTTGTCTAAATGCCGACCTCTGGGTCCTCCCACCGCTGAATTGTATTGGCAGTTGGGACAGAGAGACAGCACACTAAATCAGAAGTGGGTTTTGGCGCCATACCTATATAAGGGAAAGGGGGGTTAGTGGATTTTCTCTTGCTTATTTGTGCCCTTGATAAAGGCGATCGCTATCGCCGAAACGCGCGTCCTTTCAGACTGCTGTATAGGTAGATCATAGGTAGCTTTTTATATGCTACACTTACCTAGGGACTCCCCTTCTTTTGGTCGGTTGAGTCTCTATATTCTGTATATTAGCTATGGAGCTGTGAGAACCCTCTATACCACTTCTTACTTTATTTTCATTGATTTTGATCTCTTTCTCTCTGTCCATTTGATTTACTTATCTTTTTGACATATATAAGTGCTATCTTAGCAAGAGCCAATTCACTATTTAGTAAATCAATAGGACCTGTAACTATTTTGTATATAGAAAGTGGATATATAGAAGGGAATTGTTCTGTTTGGCCATAACTCCATAAATTTGGATCAATCTGGGATTTATACAACCATTTCTCATTATACTACGAGTCAAGACTTATTGTTACTTTTGCTATTCAGGTTGTTACATAAGTTACTCTGCTATCTACAGTGAACTATTTATTAAGTATCCAGTCTATATTATAACTCTGCTATTAGTTGATGTTTAATTGAACTGATTTTTTCTCAGTATTTTTCCATTTTCCTATAGGATAGCAGTCTGGTGTATTTTTGACACTTGGTGTTTAGATTTTTAACGCTTATTTTTATTATCAATAAAATTTTATTATTTTTGTACCTTGTTTGAGACATAGTCTTTTTTTGCAAGTCTCTATATATAGTGTTCTATAGGGGGTACTGGTTTTGATGGGATTTGCTTCCTGTTTAGGGATGCTCTTCCCTCATTTCCTTAAGAAAAAAATTAAATTCTAATAAAAAACGTATGACACGCAGGAACAGTATGTAAAAAGGTTCCTGTCCAAATAAGCTCACAAACTAATGAAAAGAATGAAAGTGTTGTAGCAGTAATATTTCCAGTGTATCCTCTCCTGGTGCTCTTCCTACCTCTCCCAGGTAGTTCTTTCAGTGTTTCTGTCTCTGGCTCTGCTTCTTCTCCCCAATCCCTCTCTGTTCGTGTTCCCCAAGGGTCTGTCCTTGGTCCCCTATTGTTCTCAATCTTCACTGCCAATCTACACTGCCTTCCTTGGTAAACTCCTTCGGCTTCCAGTATTATTTCTATGCAGATGACAGGCAAATCTGTCCTCCCCGGATTTCTCACCACCCCTCTTGACTCGTGTCTCTGACTGCCTCTCTGCTATTTCCAACTGGATGGCTGCTCATTTCCTTAAACTGAACCTGTCCAAAACAGAACTTCTGGTCTTCCCTCCCTCAAGTGTTGCTACTCCCTTGTCTGTGTCATCTTACGTGTTCACAACTTGCTCCATTACAGTCTATAATGAATGCGGCAGAGAGGCTTATCTTAATGTCCGCCAACCTCCCACGCCTCCCCTCTTTATCAGTGCCTACATTGGCTTCCCATAAGATATAGGACTCAATATAAGATTCTGATACTTACTTACGAATCTCTACACAATGCTGCTCTGACTTACTTATCCTCACTAATACACAAATATGTCCCATCTAGGCCCCTACGCTCTGCCGGAGACCTATGTCTAACCTCTGTTCGTACGCCTATCTTTGAGGCTCACCTTAAAGACTTCTCTAGAGCTGCACCGTTCCTATGGAACTCCCTTCCCCTCTATGTTAGACTTTCACCCAATCTCCACTCCTTCAAAAAATCTTTGAAAACTTACTTCTTTAGGAAAGCATATTAATTAAACTGTAAACAGCTTTTCCTCCCCGCACCCCGATACCTCTCCTGAAACGGTCATCAAAACAAAACACTAAGCCCTCAATGAACACTATCCTAGCAACCTACTTTTCTACCCTACCCTTACCTTTTGTGTCATATTACCCCACTCCCTCTAGCATGTACGCTCATTGAGCAGGACCCTTAATCCCTCTGTTACTGTGTGTCCAACTCATCTGGTTACAAATACTTGTCTGTTAGTCCACCCATTGTACAGCACTATGGAACTTGTTGGCACTTTATAAATAATAATAATAATAATGCTTAATTTTTAAACCAACCTAATGATACTCACTGAAAGGTTAAAAAAAACCTGCAAAGCAGGGGCTTAATTAAGTACGACAGTTGGTGCACTAACAAACCGACATATTTATTTTCCTCCCTATCCAAAATGTATGTTGTGTAAGAAATCAGCTAAATAGTTAATTTACTATAAAGAGAAGACATTCAAGAATTAATTTTTTTCACTAAAAGACACTCTAGCTCTTGCAGCTAGACATGCTTATCCTGGGATATGAAAGGCTCACTCTATCCCCACATCAGAGAATTGAGCAGTGAGACTGCAGTGAGACTGCAGAGGCATGATCTATACCAGGGCTGGGCAAATTGTAGATCTGCAGATCTGCCATGATAATTTGCAGACCTCTAGAATGACAAAGCATCACGGAAGCTGGAGGTCTGCTATATCTCGGACGCTACTGCTTGCCCAGCCCTGGTCTATACGCTAAAACTGCTTCCTTATGCTATAGTTGTTTTGGTATTTACAGTGCCCCTTTAAAGAGGCAACCGCTACAAACATATTATTCTCGTAAGTCATTGCACAACATAGAAACATAGAATGTGACGGCAGATAAGAACCATTCGGCCCATCTAGTCTGCCCAATTTTCTAAATACTTTCATTAGTCCCTGGTCTTATCTTATAGCTAGGATAGCCTTATGCCTATCCCATGCATGCTTAAACTCCTTCACTGTTTTAACCTCTACCACTTCCCCTGAAAGTATATTCCATGCATCCACTACCCTCTCAGTAAAGTAATACTTCCTGATATTTTTAAACCTTTGCCCTTCTAATTTAAGACTGTCCTCTTTAAGATGTCCTCTTGCTGTGGTAGTTTTTCTTCTTTTAAATATAGTCTCCTCCTTTATTGTGTTGATTCCCTTTATGTATTTAAATGTTTCTATCATATCCCCCCTCGTCTTGTCTTTCCTCCAAGCTGCACATGTTAAGTTCCTTTAATGGTTAAAGGAGTATTGTACGCAGTACTGGAGACCGTATCTCCAGAAGGATATTCATACAGTTATTATTATTTTATTATTATTGCCATTTATATAGCGCCAACAGATTCCGTAGCGCTTTACAATATTACGGTTAAAGGAGTATTGTACGCAGTACTGGAGACCGTATCTCCAGAAGGATATTGATACTTTAGAGAGAGCTCAGAGAAGGGCTACTAAGCTGGTTCATGGATTGCAGGATAAAACTTGCAAGGAAAGGCTAAAGTATCAATATCCTTCTGGAGATACGTCTCCAGTACTGCATACAATACTCCAAGTGAGGTCTCACCAGAGTTCTGTACAATGGCATGATCACTTCCCTCTTTCTACTGCTAATACCTCTCCCTATACAACCAAGCATTCTGCTAGCATTTCCTGCTGCTCTATTACATTGGCTGCCTACCTTTAAGTCATCCGAAATAATCACCCCTAAATCCCTTTCCTCAGATGTTGAGGTTAGGACTCTATCAAATATTCTGTACTCTGCCCTTGGGTTTTTACGTCCAAGATGCATTATCTTGCACTTATCCACATTAAATGTCAGCTGCCACAACTCTGGCCATTTTTCTAGTTTGCCTAAATCATATAGAAATCCTATGACCCATGGCTCAGTGATCCCCTCCTCAATTAAAAAACAAAATGCATTTCTTTAATGGTTTTAGGTTTGCTGTCTTCCAATTGTAAGTCTTTTCAGTTTTAGAACTAGCTACATCACAACTAGTGCTCTTTTCTCATACATTTCTGATTAAGCTTTCACTCTGAAATAAAAAAATTTAAAAAATCAAAATAAAGAATTTAAAATGAATAAAAAGATGGTTAACTCTCTGCTTACCCAAGGTATGAATTAATTGTATCGCAAAACTATATAGGTGACAAAGTTACTTTACTTGGCATTTGTTCCATCTCTATAAATTCCATGGAAAAATAACACAATGTAATACCATCTATTGCTACCAGTACAGCTGTCTGCCCCTTCATCTCATGGCCGGTCATTGCTTCATTAACATCAGTAGAGATAAAGAATCCATTGCGTCTCATCCATTCTCGGTTTCCAATTAGTACGGAGTGAGCTTGTGGGGCTACTGCACCTGCAATACACAGACAAGAGATACTATAATGTGGTCTGTATATAGTTACATATGTACAATACCTATAGGTAAGTGGCTACAGAGTAAACTACTTTTTCTCAAGCGTTCAAAAAAGTTAATCAAGGAATTATCAAAGCATAGTGGGAACATCTATAAAGAGTGCAACTAAACAAGCAATACTTATTGGATACCGCATACAGTTTATTTTTTTATTTTTATTATTTACCTAGTTTATTTCTGGAATGGTTTAGAACGGTTTAGTGTTTTATTAAAAGGCTGTTTTTGGTTGTAGTAACATTGCCCCTGTTAAAAATAGACCCATAAAAAAAGAAAATATAGGGTAAACGCACCTTGGGACCCTCGCTACAGCTAGGTCTCCCTGCACATGATCCTCCTCCACCGATGGAGGATGGAATGAGGGAAAGATTTTGGCAGCACAGAATTAACATTAGCCATGCCAAGATGCTGGTTCCATGTAAGATGCTAACAGAGGTGAAGCTACACAACTCTGGCAGCAAAGATCATTTACAATTATTGAAGTGGGCCTGGTGCTTCGGGTAACCCTTTAAGGTCAGGAATAAGATTAATAGGACATGCATCACTTTGAGACAACTGTCTCATTCAAAAAACGTTTGCTTTAAATAAGACCGTTGCCAAAAGCAGGTCAATGTGATTTTTTGTTCATTTTTACCTCGGGACACTGGTATAACCAATCAGTGTTCTATCCCTAGGAATACTGGCATGTGCAGTTGGAAGATCTCTTCACCTAGTATCCAAGGGGATACAAGATAGAGAGAGATTCTGGTCAGTGTGATCATGCAGAGCAGGCTCTGGTGGCCAATTTGTCTGTCCTGCTGCTGCACATTCATGCCCAGTTTCTGTCATTAGTGGACTGACTAGTTTGAAACGGAGATGGGTGGGTGGGGGCGGATGCTCCCCTAGCTGAGAGGCATGCTCAACACTGCAATCTGACCAAGTTACATACTTTTTGAAAAACTTTTATTTTGATTTGTATATTTGATAGTGCCAGGATTACTAAGAAATCCAACACATATAAAAGATGATAGAAATAACTGTACACCAATCCTTAGAATGGCCACGCTTTACATAAGTTAGACAGAGAACAGTCAGGGACAAGCCAAAATTTTAAAATCAGGGAAGCGAGGTACAAGCCCTAGGAGCCTTTTTATATTATGGCTCTTTAATTTTGTAACCACACCCTCAACCCCCCTGGCTGGCTGTGATGCAAATGGTATCATGTCGTTGGCCCACATACCCGTCATAAAAAGGGGCGGAGCTACATTGGCTGGTGTCCGAACCGCTGAGGAGAGAGAAGATCCCAAGTGCAGGTACCCTAAAGTTTGCTTGCTGGTTTGCGAGTGTTTGCTTGTTGGTTCAATGTAGTAATTTAGGTTAGAGATGGTGTTTGGTATTTAAGTTTAGGAATACAGATACACAGGGTTAAAATGTGAGCTCCAATGCTAGGGGCCAGGTCTTAAAAGTTACTCACCACTGCAAGTTTGGAGTCAATAGTATATTCACAAAGGGTGAATTTCTGCTTGCCAGGGCTAAATAGTCATGCCAAAAATATATATAGTTAGCACAAGCATTAGGGACAGAATGTAAGGTTATGGGTAACATGAGGTTTAGAGATTATTATTATTAGAGACTATTATTTCTGGCTAGTGGTGAGGGTGACATTTAGAGTTATGTTTAATGTGCATTTAGCATTTGGGGTTAAGGATAATATTTAGACTTAGGGTCCTTGGCATTAATCTATGGTTGTATCATTTATAAGGTGCTGAAACATCCTGGACCCTTTCAAGATGGGCAAGTCACAAATCATGAGACACTCACAGAATGTATGGAGTTTACTTTACCATAAGCTGATTGGGGAAGACACTAATGAAGTGGGTTTGTTACAAAACGTAGGACTACACATTCAAAGCCATACCTTCTTCAGGAGAGATGATCAAGGAGTTATCGTGTGTATGGATAAGACTGCTCCTATAATCATTCTGCTCATTCAGACCTTCTTCACTCTGTGTGAGAACACTCTCAACATTGTTAACTTTACAGCTGATTCCACATCCAGGGACGGCCAGAAAATCTGTACATGATCCCAGAGATTCTGTTCCAAGTTCCTGAAAAACAAGAGCGATATCAACTAACAGTTCCTCATTCTCTTACTTGCAGACTCATAAAGTTCAGCATCATAAACCAACATTAATCCTTTCAGGATCAGGGTTAGAGCAAATCTCATTTTATCTTGACAGTCCACACATGTCATGGTGAGAATTAATTATTTATTTGAATATCATAAAAACACATGTAGGAGGACTGGGGAAAAACACTAAACCATCTGTGGTCAACCCAAATGTTTTGCTTTTTTGTAAAATATTTCACACTTGTGTATCGATCTTCCAGTAAACGGAATACAGTTTCACTGAGGTTTCATTAAATGTGTTTCCTAATAATGGTTGAATACTGTAATTCAGAGCAGGATTAATCATAAGGCAACCTAAGCAGCTGTCCAGAGCCCAGAGGTTAGACAGTGGCTCCAGATACTATTGACATGCTTGGCCCTATTTACCATCCCTATGTGAAGTATGAAGGAAGGGGGGCTGGACACCTTCCTAGAGCCCATGTGATCTTAATTATCTCTGCTATAGCTGGTAGCCATCCACATACATAGTCCTTACCTCCTTGCAGTATTTGGTAATAGCCATTCCTAAAGGATGTTCACTGCTGGCTTCGGCGGTGCCTACAACAGCTAACATTCTTTTTAGTGGCAGGCTGATAGTATCACTAAGCAAGAGAAATCTCATGACTTTAGGCACTCCGTGAGTTATAGTGCCAGTCTTGTCAAACATCACTGTGTTTATCTGAAATAATAAACAATTATTTTCACTTATAAAGCTATAAAAATGGAAAAGAAAAATCTGAGAAAAGTTAATCAGAATACATTCTCTAGAGCAGGGGTTCTCAACCCAGTCCTCAAGGACCCCCTACCAGTCCAGGATTTAGGGATTACCTGGGTGTGTCTAAGGTGTTTTTTTTTTCTTTTTCTAAACACCTTAGACACACCCAGGTAATCCCTAAATCCTGGACTGGAAGGGGGTCCTTGAGAACTGGGTTGAGAACCCCTGCTCTAGAGGAACATTCTAATCAGATTTCCAGCAGTGGAATAGCAGAAACCACTGAAAGATCCATTACATTCCATGCCGCAATCAGTACTCAGTGCCACACTGCCAGGAATATTTATTGCAATGCTACCACGGGTACTGGTTCCATTGATGGTAGACTTTCACCCTGTCTTCACTACTTCAAAAAATACTTGAAAACTTACTTCTTCAGAAAACATATCAATTAAACTGTGAACAGCTTTCCTACCCGCACCCTGATTCCTCTTCTGCAAATGTCTTCAAAACAAAACACAAAGCCCTCAATGAACACTATCCTAGAAACCTATTTTTTTACCCTTACCTTTTGTGTCACATTACCCCACTCCCTCTAGCAGGTAAGCTCATTGAGCAGGGCCCTCAATCAATCTGTTCCTGTGTGTCCAACTCATCTGTTTACAAATACGTGTCTGATAGTCCACCCATTGCACAGCCCTATGGAATTTGGTGGCCCTTTATAAATATCAATAATAATACTAAAGTATGAGCTGTGCAGGGGGTCTCAATATGAAAAATACATGTGCAAAGAATGCAGTGTGGAATGTCATTGATCCTATTTAATCCTCTAGGTTTTATGACATGAGATGTCACAGTCCGATGGTAAATGGAAATCCTTTTTATCTCCTCCCCATCCTATTTTGTTAGTGCATTTTTGAGAGAGACATTTCTTGTAGGTATAATAGTATCTCCTTAAAAGCAGAAAAGAAAAAAAACTGACCTTGTGGGCTATCTCCAAGGGTCCACCACCTTTGATAAGGATGCCGTTTTGTGCAGCAACTCCTGTACCAACCATCACTGCTGTTGGTGTTGCTAGGCCTAAGGCACATGGGCATGCGATACTTAGTACTGTTATGGAGGTCTGAAATGCCACCCGGATTATCACCTCTGCTTTAGACATATTTCTGCTGTAACTCTGAAATAGAAAGGTAAAATTTATTATGGACTAAAAAGGAAAGAGTGTTAGAAAAGTTAACCTTTGCATGTTAGTGAGCTAAAAAATATAAAAAAAAACAGTTAGATTGGACAATTAATTGAAAAATAGTCGAAAGGGGACCAGAATCAGGACTGTTCTCCTGAAATTGGGTCAGTTGGGATATATGCATTTATGTGAAGAATAAGCATTCAACATGCAGAGGGCTTTCTGGGATCTTAATCTTTCTCTGAGCAGACAATAAAAATATATATATAATTTTAATATTAATTGTGCTATTTTTATTTATATTTTATCTATATTCCTAGGAAAGGAGTCACAATAGCTTCAGTTATATAACAGCATTTCAAAGTTTGAGGAGGATTCACATAGAGATAATAAGGCTACTTACTGGAAAATATTTAATTACGATATCAAAATTCACAAAACCGATTGTGATCCAGGAGATAAGCGTAACTACGGAAATGACGATGATGAAAGGCACAAAGTACGCGCTTATTCTATCTGCCAGCTGCTGAATTGGAGCCTGTAAAAGCCAAAAAAAAATCAAATAGAATGGGAAAAAGATCAAAGGAAAGTAAATGATTCAGAAAAAAAAGTAATGGACAGCATATTTAAATCAGTTATAAATGGCCAGCTAAATGGAAGGTCTAAACAAAGGACGGCATTTTCTGTTGCATATGTATAGAAACCTATATTTTTTGATGCACAACAGAACACGAGTTCAAACACCATTAGCGGGAGCTTTGATGGATGTTTGTGGATGATAGCTACCATAACTCTCAGCCAACCCAGCATCTAACACCTTCGAATAGCTGACACCTGACACTTTAGACAACAAAGACATACAGAGTAATTTACTAAAGTGAGAATTCAAAGTAAATGTCATATTTAAGGCCACAGTAGTCGAACTGAAAGTATAGCTTAGAGAACTTTGCCAGTTCAACTATTTTGACCTTAAATTTTAAATTCACTTTGAATTCACGTTTTTGTGAGTAACCCTGTATGAGTTCTCCGATGATGAACTAGCTACAATTCTCTTGGACATGCAGTGCGTGCATTTATGTATATAAAGAGCTATATATGCATATAAGATTTGTGTTTGAACATAAGCATGTGTTTGGAGTAACCCTTAAAGCTCATATTTGGGAGAGATTCCTGCAAACTATGGCCTGATAAAAGGTAAACATATATATATATATATATATATCGGAGCATTTTCTATATTTCTTGAGGCTAGTTAGTACTTCACAGAGGTTAACTTCTATTGGAAGCCACCAAAGGCCCCAAAAAGTAATTATTAAACTTTCTAGCCAGAGATAGTTACACAATTAAAAACAAGCACAATGCTGATTCAGTCTACTTTATGTTTATTTTCCATATGCTTATGTTCTCTTACCAGGAGTTTCCTTCCTTTTAATATTTTTTTTTAGCATTAGAATCAGGAATGGATTTGTTCTGAACAATAACAAGGGTGTGTTTGCTACAGCGCAAAAAATAGCAACTTTTTTTTTTTAAAGGACATGGCCACACTCCCAGTTATACATTATATAACATGGCTCAAGAATACAACATACTGTGACAATATTAAACACCTCGTAGTAATTACTTGGGTGGCCCTAGCAAATATTTGGGGTATATGTCAGAGTCATTTTATAGTAATTTAAATACAGTCTAGGGATTGGACGTGATGGGCTGACATCTAATTTCCATTTACACGGCTCAAAAAAAAGATAACAATCCAGGCAAACAGCATATTTGGCCCATTATATCAATCCAGCTGTTGTTTTCTATGGCAGCAGGATTATACAGCTGGATGTGCATGTTGGACCATGCAGTCCATGGGAGTTGATGTACCACGGTGATCATCACAGGCATCATTATCAACAGCTGTCTCACCATAATTACACTAGGGGTAGATTATTCTGATGTATGCATCATGTAGTTCACTGGCTGTCTCGTGAATGTTAAAAGCCAGCATCAGTATGCATAAACGTTCCTGTTATAGGAAGTACAGGTTATTCAGTACTATTCCTCTACCTTGGACATCTGTGCTTCTTCCACCAATTTGACTATTTGTGCCAGTGTGGTATCAGCACCGACATGAGTTGCTTCCACCAGAACAGATCCATGGGCATTAATAGAACCAGCGATCACCGTGCTCCCAGGCCTCTTCCTGACTGGCATAGGTTCACCTAAAGTACAAGAACATATTATAACATGAATAACATGATTCATTCTAAAACACAAGGAAATATGCAATTTAGCCTTTATCTAGCCATATATAGAATTCCATGATATAGAATGCTGGCTATCATGATGCTGTAAAAACATATATCTTAAAAAGAAGGGGAATTTACGGTTTAATAGTATGCGTAGATGAGTAGGTGATCAACCACCAACATTAATTATTGTAGTTGGGTCACTCATTAGCCATTTGAACAGAGAAGAAATATTCAATTTATCATGTGTCGGCATGCATGGTACCAGTAGGCATAGGGTAGGGACATACTATTCATTTTAAGACCCGTGTGACTGCTGTTGGATGAGATGCTCTATTTGAAATGTAACATTTTTCTCAAGTGTCAAGAGCAAGTGAAGCACCCGAATTTTATAAAAATCCTGCAAGTCACCCACCCTCCGAATAGGAATTTGTCAATTCTAAAAATCCATTTCACATAACGCCATTTGTGTCTGTTGTATTTAAAAATGCATTATAAGCTGATAATATACCTGTAATTAAGGACTCATCTGCCATTGATGTCCCTTCAATGACTTTTCCATCGACAGGAAATTTCCCACCTGGAACGACTTTTACAATGTCTCCTCTCTGGACCAGTTCTACAGCCACATGTTCTTCTCTGAAAAAAATAGAACATAAATTACCCCCTCTTTATCATGATGCTTCATGTGAACCCAAATTCTCTCCTTATAAGTTGTTAAGAGGTTCTTAACATCAACTCTTCACAGAAAAGCATACCATGTAAGCATCCCATTACCTTACTCTTAATTAGTTACAAATGCATGATTAATATTCACAGACAGAGCTGGGTTCCCCCGGTACCCATTCCTCCAAATCATGTTTTTATTTTTATTTTTTCTTGGATTGCAATATAGGACTAGATTTACCTCCTAGATACTCTTTAATAATAAAATAAAAAAAACTAAATATGCACACATTATTATTTTATTATTATTGCCATTTATATAGCGTCATCAGATTCCGTAGCGCTTTACAATAATATGAGAGGGGTATTTAACTATAAATAGGAAAATTATAAGAAACATGATAAACATAATTTAAGACTTTGCACAAATGTGTAGAGGATGGACAATAACGAGGATAAAAGCAAAAAACGGGTAGCTTATATATGTTAGCAGGCAGAGCCAACTTGATTCTAGGTTGTCCCGAGTGAAGCCAGTATAAAAGTGGCACTCTAGGCCCAATGCCTGGTGGGAAATGAACTCTGACTGTACCCTTGTGATTTGGGCCCTTGCAAACCTTTTTGCTCTCCTTTTTATACTATTAATTGGTCCGTGCATGGGTCAGGCTGCTGTCAGAGACGCAGGGCTGGTGCTACCATAAGGTGAATAAGGCCCTGCAGAGAGGAAATGCTATTTACCAGTGTTACCAGCAATGAACAGGGCTGTGAAAAAGCAAACAGCTTTGAGCAGGGAGAATACATGATTTGCAGGCATGCCACAGGGAGGTGCCCAGAAGTTCTAAAGACAAGTTTTGCAATGAACTTATGGAGAACAACTGTAAGGCTCAAGCTGACTTCTGGGCTTTACTTGGTTAAATGCAGTGCATAAAATGTGTTTCTTCTTAAAATACATGTCAGCATTAAAATTTTGCAAGTCAATAAGGTTTCAAGTAAATGTGACATTTATAAACTGCTATTGACGAAAAAAACAAAAGTAAGTGAGGCTTGGTAATTTTTCTCTCATTGCCTTGGTCAAAAACTGTTGGTTACCACTGCTTTACAATATAGTTTACATCTCTACAACATTTAATTGCAAATGCTACACTTCGAAGACACAAGATCGCAGGTTTACCACTGAGTGCCTGAGAACTATGCAAGATGAACAGGTTAATGCTAACAGAAGACTATACCTCAAGATTGAATGATTTGGTCCAAGGGTTACAATAGTAGCTTCCGTCGCTTGTAAGGATATGAGTTTGGCAAGAGCTTCAGAGGTTTTACTCTAGGAGATGAAAGGAAGTCACTGTTAGCTTTGGTATTTGGTGCATGGTATTTCATGGGAAAAAGACCCTTACTGTTACAGTAACTAGGACTAATAATTTTATGGAAGGCAGAGGAATTCATGATTATTAAAACAGTCTGACTCTATCTGATATACCAAACACATATTGTGACAAAACACGAGTATTGCATTTAATAAGTATTAAAGGAGTTATACTAGTATCTGTACTCAAAATTTCAAGTCCTAAGCTATTAGCCAGCCTAAAAGTTACTTGCCAGTGCGAGCTTTGATGGTCCATGGCAAACGCACCATGAGCGAATTTCCACTTGCCACTGCTGAATCTTTACTTGCCCATGGCCATTTTTAGCCATATTACTATGGGTTAATCCAGTCACACAAACCAAATGAGAAGGGAAGAGTAACTGTAAGTGTGTGCCCTGCATTAAAAGCAAAGACACAAATACGAAAAGCTCTGATTGTTTACAGAACATCCCTGTCTATCGTGGTTTCACATTAGACTGCGCTGAGTTTAGATACATGACCTCAAGGTTTAGCGGCTTGTTTCAGTTTGTGTCATTGCCAGGCTTGCGACTGTCTAACTATACAAAGAATGCAAGCTCTTTAAAACACAATACGAATAACGAAGAGTTATATCAAACCCTAAATATCAAGTTTATTGTTTTAAAATAGCACCATCACTATGCGAAAATGCCAAGTGTCAAACTATCATAGTAACCGTACTCTATTCATAAAAGATCAGCATCATGACTTCACCGTTTAAAATAGCGCCAATTTATTGTACAATTAGGAGGTCATCGGCCTGGGGGTAAAAAGGGTAAAGACAGACAGAGGGTACACGTGCATTTAACATACAATGTACTCATAATGCTCATGCAGGCAAAGCAAGGGGTGCTAGTGCTACCGTCTTCATTACCTCCAGAGTCAATGTTAAATTAGAAAACTACGCATGGTGGAAGGTAAGAGGTACATGGCTGTACCATGCACTCACTCTGATGATTCCACCAGCTTTCTAACAAATTCAGCACCATCACAACATCGCTTTAATGATAAGCACTAGTTAAAACTGGCTGTGTTAATGGTGGCACTTTATTAATGAATACATATTTTGAAGTACTTTGGAGTAAAGTCAAATGGAAATGAAAAGAAGTTTGAACAAGAAAATTATATGATAGCCTAACAAAAGAACAAACACCTTAAGCACCACAGAACAATGTTATTGTCAAGGATTAAATGGGATTATTTACCAAGAATACATGAATTTTCCTTCTTAAAGTGTGACGTACTTTTGAGACCATTATTGAGCTGTCCCTATGGATATATAAGGCCCAGTACTGATTTTTTAACCATTTAATTTGAATGCCACCCCCTGTGTCTGCTTGATGTTACTAGCATTTTAACAAAGCATTAAAATGGTTTTTAGTTGATTAGCAAGGGGCACAGTGTTTGTACACGCCTTGGGCTGGCTCCGGTTATTTTGTCCACAGAAAAGTGAACTGATATAATTAAACCTTTTAGTGTCAAAAATGCTTTAGATGTATTGATCTCCTGTGCTACATAGGACACCATGAAGGGTTAAACATTTCCTGTGTCTAAGAAGGATCTTTGTCATTTCCTGACAGTCCTCCACTGAGACCAATCTTACCGGATAATTACCTTTGCTATGTGTTCAAGCCATCTCCCCAGAGCAATGAACATGAACAGCATGGGGGGTGTATCGAAGAAGGTCTCCGGGCTTTTCTCAGATTTCTCTCCAATGGCCACAAGCAGGATAACCATTGAATATATATAGGAGATAGTTGTGGCCAAGACTATTAGAACGTCCATGTTTGTTGTTTTGTGTTTCAGGGACTTGTAAGCCTGGACGTAAAAATACCTTCCTCCTAAAGACTGTTAGGACAAAGGCACAATAAACTTATTATAACACCTAGAATTCTAGTACTGAAGTATAAAGATGGCACAGTGGTAATCATATATGCGCACATAGAAATATTGTTTTTCACAAGTGTATCTACATACAAACACCATGTCTAATTTTGGCACCATATTATTGTTAGAGATAAACACCTCTGATTAAATAATTTGTGACAGTGCCCCTTTAATGCACCACATTTGTGATGGGCACAGAAAAAAGTAATAGAAAAAAGTTACATTTTATTTAAATATCATAAATAAATAATTAAAGGAACATTAGAGTCCCCAAAACAACTTTTATAAATTGGTCACCAAAATAAGAGCTTAATGAAGTACTTTTGGTGTATAGATAATTCCTCTGAAGTTTCCCTGCTCAATTCACTGCCATTTAGGAGTTAAATCACTTTTGTTTCTGTTTATGTAGTACTACCAACACCTCCCCTGGCTGTGACTGACACAGCCTGCATGAAAAGAAATTGATTTCATTTTCAATCAGATGTCATTTAAAATTTGTATTTCCTGCTCTGTAAATTGAACTTTAATTACATATTAAAGCTCTTGCAGGGTTTAGCAAGCTATTGACAGTTCAGCAGATATAAAATTCTACATTAAATAGAATTTGCAATAAAGGACATGTACACATTAGATTACTCTTTACAGGAAGTGTTTAGGAAGGCTGTGTACGTCGCTTGCAGAGAGGTGTGACTAAAGCTGCATAAACAAAGGGATTTAACTTCTAAAGAGCAGGGAATTGAGCAGTAAAACAGCAGGCACATGATCTACAAACTAAAACTGCTCCATTAAGCCTAAGTTTTTTTGGTACTTAGAGTGTGCTTCCAGTATATACAACACTGCAGCTAAAAAGAAGGTTTACTTGATTTTGGTTACACCAACCTGGCAGTAAACCTTCTCCATAAACACTTCTAATAAAACCAATCATTAATATGAACATTTAACCCACAAATTGCAAGATTCTATAACTTACAAAACAGCTTAGGAAGGTTGTAAATTAATTATGAATCACCTTGTTCTCTTCTCCTCTAAGTACTACAATAAACATCAAGATAGTCTACTTTCTGGTCTACTGGTACTTTTTAGTCAACAAGACAAATATGCTTACTATCTTCCTGCATCGCCACCACAACACTTTTCTCTCTGTTGAAGCCCTTTTCCTATCAACTCCTTATTTTCACACGTTAACAATTTGATGTCTTTCTACTACCTTGCTTTACTCCCTGTATCTATTATATAAACACATTATTTGGATATTAAAGCACATATTTTCTAGATTAATTGCATTAAATCCAGGATCTCACAAATGTTTAAAGTATGCAAGGTATATGCACCATTACAAAAACTACAATAAAGATGATTTATAAAAATAACAATAAACACATGTGGCACATAGAGAACAGTATTGAAATTTTTGTACTTTTGCATCTTGCTTTTGTTAAAGGTAGACGCCAAGCAGAACAGTGTTTATGGCGCTAGGAGTACCCTTGCTCTTCATCAATGTAAGTAGTCAAATTGTCTTTGTTTGACTACTAACCTTGGTTTTCCCCAGCACCACTCCCCACCTTCACTACAAGCAACAGAGAGCCTGAAGCTCCAAAATAGTAGCTTCTGTTAGCTCTCCTGAGCTTAGCTCTGCAGTGCAAGTTGAGAGTGTCAGATGAGGTTGGGTGTGGAACCTGATGGATCTAAGGTAAGAATTCAAACCATTCTAAGACAGTTTGACTACTTACATATAGGGGGAGACTAGGGTACTGCTGGCAGCATAACCACTACATATGGGGGAGAAGGGGGGGGGCACCAGTGGTTATGGTTATTGTAGTCTTCTTTTAATTTTAACTGTTGGTGAAATCTTTAGATCACTTTTAAAAGAGGTTCAAAGTGTATCACATCAGAATGAAAACAAGCAATGATAAAGGCTATGAGATTGGTTTAGAGTGGTTTAATACTGGTTTTACCCTTACACGTACCTGTACAAGGGTGCACAGGATGAAGAAGATGAGATTAATTATTGACAGCCCGGGTATAATGTTTTCATCTAGTACCATGGAATTGTGACGGTCCACAAAGAACATGTAAATCATAAGACAGAAGACAGGGATGCCAAAAACCAGACTGAACAGAAAAGAATTTCTCCACCTAAAACGGGAAATGGATGTTAGCTTTTCAGTCAAAAACAGTTTCTATCATAAAAACAAGCTAAATTACTGCAGACTTGGCATTGAAGTTATTCTGCTACAGTCACCATAACACAGGTAAATTCAGGTCTGAAACATTTCTTAAACCCTGACTTTAATCCTTAACAGGTTACGTGGCCTTTTCATAGTGATGGGAGTAAAACGAGAAAATCAAAGTTGCCAGCACTTGACATAGATTATCTGGCCAAATGAACTGCCAGGTATTGCTAAATGAAAAATTTTCTGCCTCAGGTTCAAAGTAACTTAGGAGTAATTACAGCCTATCATTTCAAAATTACCTCCACCAATGACTAGTTAGTAACATGGAGAGATAACGATCACACTGTCCATTACTTTTCAACAGCACAGATAACATTATTGGGTTGGTGACAAAGTGCCCAAAACCTTACATTAACCAGTCAATCTTAAGAAATCACAACCCTTCCAAAGTTTTATTGACACACATGGAATTCAACACCAAAATTGACTTCATATAGTACATAAAATGCCATTTTAACAGTTTACCATTAGCTCTAATATTTTCAGTCCTTGAACTAATACATCAAATACCCTGTCTGGAGTGGAAGCAATACTACCCAATAGGCATGTGCATGGGGAAAATTTTCAGTTCGGTTCGGCTCGGCATTCCAAAATTCAGGACTTTGGCAATTCGGCAATACGGCACTTCAACACTTTGGAACTTCTGCAACTTCGGAACTTCAGCACTTCGGAAATTCAGCATCTTCGGCACTTCGACACTTCTCTTGCAGCCGCTTAGTATTCCCATGGTATTAGGGAGTTATCTGCCAAAAGGCTGAAAGACCTAAATTGGTCTTTCAGCCAAATTTACTAATACTAAGTAAAAATTACTTAGTATTAGTAAATTTTGCCCCTGTGGCCGCACACTGTTAAAAAAAAAATAAAAAAATAGGGTCCCCCATCCTGAGCTCCCACCCGCGACGCGCGAGTGGGGGCTTTTAAACAAAATTATTCTGATTTAGGGCCAGGGGAGCGGGGGGCAATAGGTGGGGGACCTTTTTTTTTTAAACAGTGAGCAGCCACAGGCTTACTTTTTTATATGTCGTAAGGTTATACTTTGCTTACTGTTTAATTTCGGCTTTGTGGTCCAGATTATGTGCAGCTGAGTCTCTTTTGGCCAAAGAAGCATGGAATCCAATGTCCTGTCAATGTGAGAATATAAGATATTGCTGTATAATTGTTAGTGCTCCAATTGTAGTATATCAGAATGTCAAGTTTGATTCCCAGCAAGGTCAATTCACATTCCATATTTCTCAGATCAATAAAATTAGTACCACTAAGTAATAATAACATTGAGACTACAGACATGGAAACAACATTACTTTAAAGCAATTAAAGTACCAATGCTTTGACTATAACACGCAGCATTGACAACACTATTGTCTGTAATTGTTTTATCACAATTCAAAGATGAGAAAAAGGGATATCATGGTACGAACGAGTCCTCAATGTTGCAGCTGGTCAGTTAAAGGGATAATATAAGCATCAGAACAAGTTTAGCTTAATGAAGCGGTTTTAGTGTATAGATCATGCCCCTGCATTAAGAGATTGGTTTTGTTGATACTATGGGGGATCTGCCTAGATACTCTAGATACCAGTCTGAGAATTCAAAAGTAGATTTGATTTTCAACTAGATAGACCTATCTAAAGAGTGAACATATGGCTGCCAAGCAATAATTATTTTTTTCCAAAGTACTTTTTGTTTAATGAGGCTTCAATCCAATTCATTTAAAATTTAAAAAAAAAGGAAACTTTTGTATGAAGCAATGATAATTAATACAATGGTGTAATATACACTATCAAGCTGCAGCTAAGATCTTATAGGCTAATTTAGGAATGTGGCCAGACTCATTTGCTGGCACCCCCAATATTGCTAATAGTAGAGAAACACCAACTGGTGTCCCACCTATCATTTAACATCTTGACTACTGCAACTAGTGCCTCATTGGCTTTTCCCAATGCTCACATAGCCCCACTACAATCTATATTATAAAATGGTCCCTCAAGACTTATCCTCACTCACTGCTACTCTTACACCCACCCCTTTGCCTGTCCATGCCCTGGTTTCCCGTACCCTTTTGGATCCATTTTAAACTGGTTACACTAAAATTCAAAGCCCTCAACAATTACACCCTCCATTATGTTTCCACTTTAATTCCCAAATAAACTCCATTTATGTTCTGTTAGCGAACGTATTCAGTCCTCTGTTTATTTCCACATTGCTAATTCTTACTAGATCTTACAAGATTTCTCGAGGGCCTACCTCGTCCGATCACACATTGTCCTGCCCTCTGGCCGTTTAAGATCCTTTAAGTTTTATGACCCTTAAAACTCATCTCTATCAGACAGTTTACCTTCCTGAGTAATTTCTCTTGTTTCAACAGTCCTGTTGTCCCTCCACACATCCCTCACTCCACTACAGTCATCTTCTACCTACCAACCTCTCCTGCCCTCGGACATGTTCTTCTGTCTCTTCTCTTTTTTTTTTCTCCCATCTTCTCTTCTACTGTAAGCTGATTTGAGCAAAGCCCCTTTCATTTCTTTTATCTGACAACATGTATTTAGTCTGTCTTCATTTGCTGTTATATATCCTCACTGTATAATTGTAAGACAATACGGAATGAGTTGGTGCTCCATAAATGTGAACAATAGTAAAAACAATAATAATAGTTTATAACAGGTTTACAACATGGTTTGCTTATCAGCAACCTGGTGGCCAGGACGTATGACAAATGTAAATCTAATTTTTCATACCTCAATAACTTGGATGATGTCTCGTGGGCCGATAATGTCTGATTCAAACTCGACTTTGGCTTTTGAAGTAGCAAGAGTGACAGAGGCATGCAAAATGCCTGTTATCCTCTTCAGTCTGGATTCAATATTGTGAACACATGACGCGCAGGTCATTCCTGCAATCTTTATGTATAAGTTAGATTTTATTAGCTTTGAAGCGAGTTAAGTATTCAGAAAATTCAGGAAAACGATTAAATTAAACCTTACAATACAAAACATTAAACCTTTTTAATGATTGGTGCATTAATAAGTCTTCTAGAAAAACATTAGGTTCAGAGACTGCCCAGGAAAATGTTAATTAAATATTTGGTACCAGCTAGAGAGGTTCAGCTTGGCAATCCTGCCAGAATTGGTAATAGTTATACAGAAGAAAGGAAAATAGCTGTTTAAGTTAGAATCTGCAATGCAATGGCTGTGATGTATGCAAAGGAATAACTCTCTGGAGAAGCAGATGATATGCTTATATGATGAAGTGACCAAGACTCCTATGCCCTCCCATCTCTCCTGGATGGAGCTGGGAGAGCTCCTTGCACTGATCGCTATTCAGAAAAGTAATGATTAGCAAATAGCAGTATAGAATACAATGTTTGATAGTTCAATATAAACGGGAAATATAACAATAAAAACAGATATTTGATTTCCTATTGCTCTACTGTTTTAAATAGCATAAATGTAAGAATGTCAAAGATGCCCTAGCTGTGGCTTTTTTCATGATTGGGGATTAGATCCAGTTTGATAGGCCTGAACGCCATTAGCATGAAAACTGTATTGCTTTAAATTTCCAAATCAAATAAGAAAGTGCAGTGCACATATTTTTTTTAATGCTTGAAATTAAAATATAAACTATGCTTTTTTTATCTCTTATTACAGACAACTGCAAGCTCAACACTTTCCTTAAAAAAAAGTCAGTCAGTTCTCTTGAGAAAGTATAGGTGTGTTTAGTTATATATGTGTATCATCTTCACTGTATAAAGTAAGGCATGTTGGACAACATGGAATGTTCAAACCTTCATACTCACAATCAGCTCTACACTGCCGTCCGTAGCCATGCTATCTTCCATCACAGTGGCACCAAATCCAAGGTTGTCTATTAGTTGTGCTATTTCATGTGGTTGAATTTTGTCTGGCTTGTACCTGACTTCCGCTTTACCTGCCATCAATGCCACTAGCACCGAAATGATACCTATAGAAGGGACACAGAGAAAGAGAGACGAAAAGTACATTAAAGTGGCTCTGACACCTCAAACTTACCGTTCTCCTATTGTTTCCTCTTCTCTTCCTTTTTTCAGAATCTCTTAATAATTTCTTAATTTCTCTTTAAAACATAAAACAAATTGCTACTTTGTCTTATGTATTGTTCCTACACTTGACAACGGGTGGAGTTTAAAGGACCACTATAGTGCCAGGAAAACATACTCGTTTTCCTGGCTCTATAGGGTCCTTGGGTCCCCCTTACCCTCTGGGCCCCCCTGCCGCCAGGGTCTAGGGGGAGGAAGAAATTAAATTCCTACCTTTTCCAGCGCCGGGCTCCCTCAAGGGACTCTCCTCCCTCTTCTGACGTCATAGGCTGAATGCGCGGCAAGAGCCGCGTGCGCATTCAGCCAGTCACATAGGAAAGCATTCGCAATGCTTTTCTATGGACGCTGGAGTCTTCTCACTGTGAAAATCACAGTGAGAAGCGCCGAAGCGCCTCTAGCGGCTGTCAATGAGACAGCCACTAGAGGCTGGATTAACCCTATTATAAACATAGCAGTTTCTCTGAAACTGCTATGTTTACAGCAGGCAGGGTTAACCCTAGATGGACCTGGCACCCAGACCACTTCATTAAGCTGAAGTGGTCTGGGTGCCTATAGTGGTCCTTTAAGGGGAGCTCCACTTCCTTTCTCAAGCCACCAAAAAAGTTTGCCTTAAGCTCCACTCTTTGTCAAGATTGTCAAGCTTGGGAAAAATAAATAATACAAAGTAGTGCCTACTTTGTCTTTTGTTTGAAAGAGAAATAGATCAGAAATAAAGAAAAAATAACAGATCCCAAAAGAGGAAGAGAAGAGTAACAGTAGGAGAAAGGTAAGTTTGAGATAAAAGAGCTACTTTAAAAGCACTTTGACAGAGAACCTAGCCATACTGTCAGGTACCTTGAGAGTTAGGGCCCGAGCTCTTGCACTGGTCATTATAAATTTATAGGAGACAACAGATAAGTATGTCTGATAACATTATGTATGGCAGAGTTTCTGCAGTTGCTTTACTTGGTAATTCATAAGACATTGGTATGACATGGGTATGAAACCTTCAGCACTCCAGATCTTGTAGGCTACATCTCTCCTGATGCCAGTGGCGTATATACCGGGGTCGCAGGGGTCACGGCTGCGCCCGGGCCCGGCCCACCAGGAGGCCCGGCCGCCCTGTGACCTGGTATGCATGCCAGTGGCAGTGTGGCCACATTTTGCCAGCCTCTTCTCCTGGGGGGCCCAGGAGCTGGCCACCTCAGGGCCACCCATGGCTGGCAGTGGCTTCAATTTGCCGTCATATTCCGGCTCTGGCATCAGTAAGCAGCGCGAGGGAGCCGGGCAGAGAGCACTCAGGGGAGAGTGCTCCCTCGCGCTCGGGCAGCCCAGCAGGACCCCAGGGACAGCAGGACCCCACTGGATCTCAGGGACAGCAGGACCCCACTGGACCCCAGGGACAGCAGGACCCCACTGGACCCCAGGGACAGCAGGACCCCACTGGACCCCAGGGACAGCAGGACTCCAGGGACAGCAGGACCCCACTAGACCCCAAGGACAGCAGGACCCCACTAGATCCCAAGGACAGCAGGACCCCACAGGACCCCAGGGACAGCAGGACCCCACTGGACAGCAGGAATCCCCACAGCACCCCCAAATGTAGGAAGGCTGGGGGATTAAATGAAATAAAAAAATATGTGAGTGTATTAGTGTGTGTGTTACTGTGTGTGTGTGTCTGTTAATGAGTGTGTTAGTTTGTGTGTGTCAGTGAGTGTGTTACTGTGTGTGTTTGTGTGTCTTATTGAGTGTGTGTCTGCTAGTGAGTGTCACTGTGTGTGTGTCGGTGAGTGTGTATGTTACTGTGTGTGTCTGTTACTGAGTGTGTTAGTGTGTGTCTGTTACTGAGTGTGTTAGTGTGTGTCTGTTAGTAAGTGTGTGTGTTTGTCAGTGAGAGTGTATGTTTTGTAAGTGAGTGTGTATGTGTGTCTGTCACTGAGTGTGTGTCTGTCAGTAAATGTGTGTGTCTGTTAGCTAGTGTGTATGCATCTGTTCGTTAGAGTGTGTGTGCATGTGTAGTTAAAACCCCTTCAGCACTTACCTTTTTCCAGCGCCGGGCTCTGAGACAGCTACTAGAGGCTGGATTAACCCTCAGTGAAACATAGCAGTTTTTCTGAAACTGCTATGTTTTCAGCTGCAGGGTTAAAACTAGAGGGACCTGGCACCCAGACCACTTCATTGAGCTGAAGTGATCTGAGTGCCTATAGCGGTCCTTTCAGTGTATCTACATGCACTGGCGGCACACCGCGGTCGCAGGGGTCGCAGCCCTGCAACCAGGTGCCCGCCGCCATGTGTAGCGGCACCGGCCCGCGCAGAGTAAGTACGCGGGGCCCCTATGGATCTTGTGTACGCCACTGCCTGATGCTGTGCCAGCAATATGGCTGTAAGAGCATCATGGGAGATGTAGTCCACAACATCTGAAGTGCCGAAGGTTGCATACCGCTGTCGAAGGAACTTCAAAGAGTGACAGTGCCAGGTGTGACTTCAGTATCTTTATAGTTAAGAGGCTAAAGGCAATGTAAATGGTTGTTAATAAGGGTGAGTTAAAGGGAAACTTTCAACCAAAAAACTGTGTTTTAATAAAACACTCTCTTTGGTTAGAGTAAACCTCCCTGTCCTGGTTCCCCTCATTCAAACGTAAAATAAATAAATAAAGCAATAACATACCTCCGCTCAAAGTTCTCCCTACAGCTCAATTGTCCCCTGCTGATGCTACTCCCCCTTGCTGCAGAGGTTGGGATGTCAAGAAGGGCTGGCCAAGGGGAGGACATGGGTGGAATCAAGAGGGGTGCTCTGTTGGACATCTATTGCCAGCATGCTGTTAGTACTGATGTCAAAAATCGAATATGAAATTAGTCAGCCTGGGACATTAGGTCAATGAGGCCCCAATGATGGTGCCATAGGTCAAGTTACACTACCTCTGGCAGTGAAATGCTGCACATACCGACTCCGAGCATGATGACCACTTTCAATTACTTTAGTGGTGATAGTGTTTGGAGTAACCCTTTAAGGATGAAGAAATTACAGTGACATACTTTTGGTCTTATGTTGTTGTTTGGTTTATGTTGATGTATAAATGATCTCTCTATGGCATTTTCCCATAATAAAGTTTCATTTTTATTTATTCCCTGTTTTGAGACTAATTGAGGCAGCTGATCGACTCACCATGTTTGCGCTGCAGATTCCTCTCAATGTTAGACACACAGGAAGCACAAGTCATTCCAGTGATCTGTATAAAGCACTTCTGGGGTGGAGTGTCACTGTCCACGGCTGAAACATCTGGGTGAGATTTTTTGGGAAGAACATCCAAAATATAGTCACTGGTAGAATCTGTTTTGCGTTCAGTTTTAGGGGGAATCGGATTGGTTTGAAGTGTTCTGTAGGAGGTCTGGTGACAGCTGCTTGATGATAAGGTATCTGCAATATCCAAAATTACTTTGTGCATCAGAGTTATATAAAGAAACAGGATAATTTGCATCACATATACTAAACTTTATCAAATCCATACTCTTCCTTCGTCCTAAACTATGTGGCATCACTTCCTCTTGCCATTCTCACGGAGAAGACACATTGCATTACAGAACAGTGAAATTCAGTCTGCTAAAGGTTAGTGTGATCACAGAAAAGAATGAAATGCCTTAAAGACATCATGGGATTAGAAAAAAGAAATAAATAGGCTTGTCTATTACAAAAAAAAACATAATTGCAGCAATCATGCCTCCATCTGTAAAAAGACATTACAGGTTGGAATTGACCCGTTATTTTAAATCACACCTCCCAACTGTCCCTATTTAGGAGGGACATTCATTATTTTGGGCCTACACCCATTTGTCTATCTTTTCTATTTTAAGGTCTCTCTATTCTAGGAGCTCCATATTATTGTTCTGTCTGCGTATTAGTAATATGTCTTTAAATTGCAATAAATGTGTAGTTCTTGTTCTAAAGCACATTTTAGTTACAAGCACCATATCCACTACATCCATGCCGCACTTATGGTGTCCGGAGTGCCCTGGTGCCCTCCAAGAGTAAATAGTCAAGGTTTTTAAGAACAGTTTGAACATGTCCTACCTGGGTCCTGGCAGGGGGCCAACCACTACCTCCCCTGTTGCCAGAAGCCCTACCACTAAGCTCAGTCTTGTCAGCCTTGCAGGCTGAGTTTACTTAGTAGAGCTAAATGGAAGTTCAAGGCAGCAAGGAAGATGGTGGTGGTCACCTGGCAGGACCCAGGTTCTTACCGTGATTAGTGGTTATGGTGGTTGGAGAACTTCTTAACAATATATTTTTAAAAATCTAAACTATGCTCACATCTGAAGATTCTACATTATAGTCAAATCCCCATGCTTTGCATTTTATACAGTGAGAAGGGAATCCAGGGGGTTGTAGTTAAATGGTTACCTTCTGACTGTATAAAGCAAGCAAGTGAACTACATATTCATAGAAACCTAGCTCATGATATGATGTACAGCGGTGTTTTTGGAGAATAACCTGCCCAGCACAGTCATGCACATTCTATATGGCAATCATGTTTTTAATCAATCACATGGATGGCAATTTTATGTATACTCGGGAATACAAGTATATATGTAAAAAAAAGGAAAAATATTTTTACAAATGTTGAATTATAAAGCCCTGTAAAACGTACCAGAAACTAGTGTAGAATCAAATCCCATGTCTTCAATAGCAGCACGTATTTCCTCTGCATTTGTTTCAGATGGATTGTAATGGACTTTCCCAATTGCTTTATCTAAAGAAACAGATATATTGTATATTCCTTTCCTCTGTGTGATCATGTTTTCGATTGTTGAGACACATGACCCACATGTCATTCCACCAATGCTTATCAATGCAGTGTTTGTGATCATTCGTTGGCATTTAGTTGATGGTCCAAAGTTAGATTTACTTTTTGATACAGGCCTCTGTTCTACTCCTACTGGCAGTGTAACCTTAAATTTACCAGGAGGAAGTGCTTCAATAGCTTCCTTTAAGGCAGCCAAGGTAATAACATTTTGTTTATAACACACAATTCCATTTTTGTCCTCAAGAGAAACCTTGATACTTAATACTCCATCAAGGTCCAATATGTTTCCTTCAATATTGTGAACACAAGATTTACAGTGCATGCCCTCAATAGCAAGAGTCATAGTTTCATAGTTTTCCGGGGGACAGGTGTTGGGAACCTGTAGATTAAGTTGGGAAGAATTATCCTGCAGATGTTTAATGTCAATTTTTCCAAGGTTTGAGGAATCTGATTTGCCCTTAAAAGAAGCAGTAAATCCCATGCCATCAATACAACTTCTGAGAACCTCTGGTTCAATGTAGGGAGGCAGATATACAATAACAGCTTCTTGGTTTGTAAGAGATACTTTAATTTTCTGGACACCGTGAATTTTGCCTATTTTTCCTTCAATAGTGTTGACACAGGATTGGCATGTCATACCATCAATTCTGATCGTGACTGTTTCCTCTACATAATTCCCAGGTTTTATAGCCAGCAAAACTTCTTTAACGTTGGATATGGTGGCATCGAAACCCATATCTTCTATTTCTTCACAGATTTGTTGTGGTGTTATTACTGCAGGTTTATAAATTACGACGGCATTGTTTTGTTCCAAGCAAACCTTTATGTTCACAATACTTGGTATCTTCGAAATCTTACCCTCAATGGATTGGACACATGATTGGCAGGTCATACCTATAATATCCACTACAACAGAGCTTATGTTAGAGGATGAAGAGGAAACATCATCTATGCTAGCCTGAAAGCCCAAATTGTCAAACGCTAAACCAGGCTTCAGTGATGATTTTCCAGTACATTGCGGGAGGTTGGAATGTAAAAACGTCTAAAAAGAAAAAAGGTGAGAAATATACATTAAGTTCACAGAATGCCTGTGTCATCAATAGAGTGTAGGTCTTATATTTAATTTTTAAATTGCTACAGGTTCCACTTAATATTTACTCTGTTCTGTGTGATTTTGCTAAAATCAAATTCAGTTTAAATAAATTTAAAAAAAACTTTTCTGCTATTTTACGGATATAATACATTATATATTGTAAAAACAGACCAATATCCAGGACAGACCCATAATAATTGTATATCATTAGATAACTTTTACAAAGGGATGCCATGGGCACTTGTTCAGCTTTACCCATGTCAAAAATAAAATCAGTTTCATTCTTCTGAAACACAAATTATATTACACAACGTAAACACTCGTTGAATGGGTAATAATGCCTGCAGTCCCCTGAGATGACATGGGGAGCGGTACATATCTTACACACAGCACTGTGCCACCTGTCATTAATAGTTTTAAGAACCCCTACTGCACATACCCACCACAGCGGAGGCCTGAGACAATCATTGTGTTGCTAGATGAAAAGTTGTGAAGATTTAAACTGCAGTACTGGGGCTGTGACTCTGAGGACTGATCTGATATCTGATTCTGATTTCAATCTTTTTTAATCTGTAATAATTGTTGATTTAGTTAACCATGTCAGCTCCTTATTGACCCCATATTACCACTGCAGATTAATTATATTGGAGTCTATCAGTATCCTGCTGCTTTAACCCTGGGTACACTGTGTGCTGAGTGATAATAGTGAGCCAGGAGTAGCTGACTTGGTTGGAGTCTATCAGTATTTTGATGCTTTAACTATGTGCACCACACTGAGAGCTTATGGGGTAGCTGATATGTTTCACAACAGCAGCAATATTTAAGCTACAGTTATCATAGCAGGAGCACTACTGGAGATGAGATCATGTAAGGAAGATCTAAGAGGGGGCTAGGAAGATAGAGAACTGGAACATTATACGTAGACATGTATTGTATTGCAGCTCTGTGTAATTCCTCACAGTGATCCTGGCTGTGTGGTATAGTTATCTTATCTCCTTATCTTGCCCGGCTCTGTGTGTTATTTCTCTGTATTTTACTCAGCTTTACCTGTTGTATGGAATTTCTGTAGTCTACCCAGCTCTGTCTATTGTATATGTATCTTTGTATTGTGCCCGGCTCTGTTTATTATATCTGTATTTATCCCCCATCTATGTTTGTGGTATGGATGTCTCTGTATTGTACTCAGCTCTATGTATTTTATAGATATCTTTATGTTGTGCCCAGCTTGTTTTATTGTATGAGTAGCTCTGTATTATGTTCAGCTATCTGTATAGTATGAGTATATCTGTACTGTACAGGGAGAAGTAAAATTCTGGGGGAGGAGTCTGGTGCTCTGCCATCTTAAAACTTCATCAGTCGCTGCTGGTCAGTCCCAGCTAAACAAGAAATCTTTGATTTTGCCTCGTGGAAAATTGTAATTTCAGAATATCATATGCTTCTGTTGGTTTTTACAGCTTCTGTATTTAATTTATCCCTATTGTTCTTCTCAATCTTTAAAATGTGTAATAACCCTGATTTAAAACAATAACGTAAATATGTCCTTTTTACATAGTTTTTTTAATTTATTTTTTAATTTATTGCTTTTCTTCTGAGAGCGTATAACATGAACACATTTCCACATAAATCCAATTTGAATTAGATACATCAATATTTCACTTAAATATATCCACATTGAATTAGTACAACAAATACCAACAAAACCAATAACAGACAGGCTGTGCAATCTAAAGGTCAGAGTGTTCGGTTTTTAGCTGGTCCGTCGCGGAGCAGTGTCATATGTATTCACTGTACCGCCTATGAGGATCAAGTAGCATTTCCCCTAGTGGTGTCTCCTCCCACTTCCTGGGTGAGCAAATTTTATAGTTCAGCCTCCTATAATGCCAATGTACCCTAAAAGTACCCTGGAGACAGGTTCTTACCATCCTCGATGTTCCGGTCCCAAAAACTCCCCCAAAGGGTGGTAACTCTCCTGGTCAACTAGGCCCCTGTGAGACTTTTCCCACCTTGTCTTGTGAGATCTGTTCCCAATCCTTCAGGACTTAAGTGGATTGTCCCCCACCTCTCTTCTCCCCCCGCTCTGTTTAAGGACCGCTCATTCTTGAGGATCTGTGGATACACTCGCGGGTTTTGTGGTGGATAGTTTGTATATGGAGTCTTAAGATCTAGTTGCCCCCTAGTATTCCCTGGGTCAACTGAAGTTCTTAATGAGGTGTTGGTGTCCCCCAGCCTTCCTTTCCCTGTGTAAATAATTCCCAGGAACTCCATATCATGCTGAACCAATGTTGCTTGCCTGATCTGGACATCTTGAGTTCCTCCATCTTATGAATATAATCTATCTTGAGGAACCATTCCCTGCGTGAAGGTTTAATTTGAGATTTCCAGTGCCCCGCTTTTACTGTCTTCGCTGTTGTCAGTAGAAAATATAGTATCGACTTTTTAAATTTGGCGTGGGAGATGGGTATGTGGAAGTAAAGTAATGCCTCGGGTGTGAATGGTATGGGTATCCCGCTAAGGTGTAACGTGATTCTCGCAACTTCCTTCCAGAATCCCACCACTCCTCTGCACTCCCACCAAATATGTTAGTATGTTCCTCGTTCTAGCCCACATCTCCAGCATATGGGGGAGTGTTGTGGTTTATATTTATTTGCCTCTACAGGTGTGATATACCATTTCGTGAGGAATTTATAGTTAGCCTCTTGCATTGGTATATTCAGGTGGGTTTTCAGCATTTTTTGGAATATGGTCGACCATTGGGATTCCTCCAGTGGTGTAGAGAGCCGTCCAAATGCGGCTCTTGTGAACCATGGGAGGCCCGCGTTCTCTGAAGCCTGGATTAGTTAATAACATTTCGATATGATTTTCTTAGTTATTGGTTTTGTGCATAAGGCTTCAAAAGACGTTTCAACTCTAGGTGTCCAATTTAATAGTTGTTCTTTGCTTAAGAAATGTTTGAGTTGATAGTATTGGAATGTTTGCAACATGGTTTGGTTTTTGGATCTCGCAAGATCCTGTAGAGGTCTTAGTCCCTGAGGTCCTATAACCTCACCTAATGTTTAATAGTGTTCTTTCGTCCGATACGTCACTGGGGCCTTCCCGAGGCTTTCCAGGTTCGTCCGTAGTAATGGGTTATGCGATATGGGGTACTTGGGAGATGTGGTCGGAGTAAATTCCGAGCCTTGATTGATTGACTTCCAGATTTGTAGTGTGGTGGTAATCGTAGGGAGATTGTTCAGGATTTTACTGTTGGTGGTATGAGTTGACCAGGGGAGAGCTTGCAATGGAGTGTCTATTTGATCTTGTTCTATCTCGACCCACATCTTCTTCCCATCTGGTCTCGACCACTCTATTATGCGCCCTAGGTGTATTGCTTTGTAGTACTGGAGAATGTGCGGGCATCCTAGGCCGCCCCTTTCTCTATTTTTGGTCAGGATATTGTAGGCTATCCTAAGAATTAATTGCTTCTAAGAAAGGATCCATCAGATCCTTTTGAAAGGTCTTATAATAAACCACGGAGAATCCATCTGGGCCTGGACTTTTGTTCCCTGGGGTTTGTTTGATGGCCAACTTTAGTTCATCTAAGGAGAATGGCTCCTCCAATGATCTTGTGGCCGCTGCCGTTAGGGTGGTGTCAAATTTGTCTGCCAAATATGTTGTGATGTCTTCGGTGGTCGGGGCTGTACTTCTTAAATTATATAAGGACGTGTAATAATCCCTGAAAGCCTCCGCTATGTCCTCCGTAGTGGATGCTACTGTGTTGTTGGGGCGATTTATCCTAGGGATATAAGTCTGGGCTTGTTTGTGTTTCAGAGTATGGGCCAGAAGTTTTCCACTTCTATTGCCTTGTGCGAAGTATAGGTGATTAGTCCAAAGAATGGCTTTTTTAGCATTGTCTAGGAGGATGGAGTGTAGTTCCTTTCGTAATGCAATAAGAGAGCGGAATATTGGGTCTGAAAGGTTGTGTTTGTGAGCTTCCTCAAGAGAACTAATTTCTCCTAAGAGCTCTGTGATCCTTTTATGTTTGTTTTTCTTGGTCTGCGCCCCCCATTTTATGAGTTCCCCCGTATTACTACTTTGTGTGCTTCCCATTGTGTAAAAGCTGTCGTGTCGGGGATTTTATTCTCCTTGAAATATTGTGTGATGGATGCCTTTACGGCTTGCTTGATTTGGTGTGATTGAAGCAGGTGTTGGTTTAGCTTCCACTGCCCTTTAGGGCGGGGGAATGAGGGGAGATCAAGGGAAATAGTTATTGGGGCGTGATCAGACTAGGTTGCATTTCCTATGGTTGCATCCGTTACGAGACCCAGATCTCTATGTGTCGTTAGGAAAAAGTCTATACGTGAGTACGTGTTATTTGGGACTGAGTAATGTGTGAAATCCTTTGTGGTTGGGTTTAGGGCCCTCCAGCAGTCTACTAGTTGGTTCGTGTGCAGAATATGTTGCATTTGATGTCGGGCCGGTTCCATGTGTTTAGTTTTGAGTGAAGTGCTATCCTTAGCTGAATCTAGGGAAATATTGAAGTCGCCCCCAATTATCAGTGTGCCTTGTGCATTTCGCTGGATTTTAGCTAATATTCTCTGGAAAGTGCCACATTGGTGCTTGTTCGGGAGCTATATCCCCACTAGGGTGATTGCTGACGTGCCGACTTGACCCTGCACTATCAGGTACCGTCCTGAGTTATCTGCTATGTGGTTGATGTAGGTGAATGGGACCCCGGATTTGATCAATATCGCTACCCCCCTAGATTTGCTTTTACTAAAGTTGTAGTAGATGTGTGTAAATCTAGGGTGTCTAAGGGAGGGTGCCGTCGTGCCCCTAAGATGAGTCTCCTGCAGGAAAATGATGTCTGCCCCTGATGCCGCTAGATCCTTGAGCACCATCCTTCGTTTCTCTGGGGAGTTTAGGCCCGTAGCATTTTGTGATAGTATTTGGAGATTATCCATGATGGGGTCTAGTTATCTGTAATTCTGGGAATAGGCAGAACACAGGGGTATCCTCATAGGCTGTACCCCTAAACCAATGTCTAGTCTCGGGGCGATGAGAGAGTTTTGGGGTAATGTGCTTGACCAGCTAAATAGCCCCTGAGCTCAGTGGTTTGATTGCACCTGAACGAATAATCTTGAAGTTTTAACTATATACAATGAAATGTAAATCGAACAATGAGAATATAATCAATATTCACTAGTCTCAATCACTGAGAGACTAATAGGACTTGTAATGTGGTTTAACAACGATATTGTCTCTATGGTAGAGGTCACTTGCGTGGTTGAGGGTATCGTCAGTACAGGTTTTTTGTTTTTTTTGAAATGTTAACCCTCTCTTATGCGAGTAGATTTGTGGGCTTTTCTTAGTGCACTTGGTGACCTCTAGTAAGGAGTCGGTACTCAACCCTGAGCTTTCCGAGTTATACTAACTGGGTCAGGGAAGTATTAAGAACTGACAATAATGGAAACCAATAGCCAGTTACTGTGATGTGTACCGCTCTGGACCGTAAACGGTCCCACAACAATGGGGGTTTGTGTGTCGTCGGTCAGAGCGAGGCGCAAATTGCGCTCTGCTTCTCGCACTGTCCGTAGCTCTCCGCCCTCAGAGGGTGGTAATTAGATAACTTTCCCTGAGTGTGAACATCGCACCCCCTCCGTGGCCAATCAACTGTTGTGAATGATTAGCCCGGGATGACAGGATGGGATCAGCATGAGGACTTTATGTTGTCCTATTGTGGTGATTTTTAAGTTCCGCCTCTTAAAGAAGACGGTCGCATTAGGTCTCCTAATTTCCTAATGGTGTGTCTAGCTATCCCCCAGAGTCCCGCCTGGGTGTCTCCACCCGGCAAACCTCCGGGTCTTGTGCCTTTTAGTTTGTGTTTCTTGGGTGGCATGAGGTGCTAAATAAGGAGGCAAGCTCTTGTGTGTTACTAGCTTATACCCCTCGTCATACTGATCTCATGTGTATAAAGAAAATATAACAATCGGAAATATTTACCATGCCAAATTAAGTATGGTATGGGAATAGCGGGTGATGTGATAGTCTCTAAGTCCATTCCACCTTACGTTGTGTGGAGATTGTGACATGTCTCATCTGTTCCTTTTTGGAGTGCCTGGTAGGCGTTGAGATCTCTGCTGGAGCGAATCGGTCGGCGTTCTCTTCGTCAGTGTCCTTCTTGGGTCTTGAGTTCGGCTTTGCAATAGTCTGCTAGGCGGAGGTTGGTTCCCTTGGCTCCCAACTTCATACCAGTCTTGTATTTCCATCGTCGGGATGCCTAGGCGTTTAGTGAATTCTGGGAGTTCTGCTGCTGTCGTCAGGGAGATCTGGTTCCCTTGGTGATTAACGGTGAGGGAGAATGGATAACCCCACCTGTACTTGATTCCCGCCTGTTGCAGGGCCTGTGTAACCGGTCTCAAGGACCTCCGGCCTCTAAGCGTTAACCAGGAAAAATCAGGGAGTAATAGTATTTTCGTATTGTTGAACAGAATTTCTGTGGTTTCTCTCGCGGTGTGCATAACTTCCTCCTTCTCCGAAAAGTAGTGCACTCTGCATATCACGTCCCTGGGGGTTTCTGGTGCTAGACCCCTAGGCTTGAGCGCTCTGTGGGCCCTATCTATGACGATGTGGGTATTTTCGGGCCTCCGTAGTATTCTGTTGAAAAGAGTTTGCAGTATCATGTGGAGGCCCTCGCCCGTTCCTTGCGCCTCCGGTAGGCTGCGCACTCTGATATTATTTCTGCGGCCTTTATTGTCAAGATCCTCAGCCAGCTTCATGTTATATAGTAATTTGGCCTCATTCCTCTCCTGGCTCTGTTCCAAGTGTAGCAGCCTATCTATAATTTGCTCGTGGTCGTCCTCCAGATCCCCCACTCTATTACTAATCTGTTTGACTTCCGAGGTAAGTGTGGAGAGTTGTTCTTGCACAGAAGATTCTAATTTCGTCAGCATTATAGCTAACTCTGCTTTCGATGGCAAATTTTGGAGGATTTCTTTTATTTCTGCCATGCCTGCCTCAGCAGCATGCTCTGATCTAGACGGGCTGCTGGAGTGTGAGTCGCGTGATAAAGATGGCGTCCGGCACTCTTCCTGCTCCGCGCCTAATATATTGACCGTGTCCCTGAAGTATCGGTCTAAATCTCCGGATTTTTTACCCGGTCCCGGGTCCGGAGTGTGTGCTATGGTGGACAGTCTCTTTTTGTTTCCCATTGGGGGTTCCTGGACAGTGTTATCCCGGCTCGTTATTATCCGCTTTGGGGAGCTTCATTGCAGCACGTCTGTTCACATTGGCAGTCAGGACATGCCCCCCTTTTTACATAGTTTGTGCAATTTTCGTATATATTTCAAGATATTGTGGTTTCATGTTAAATCAGGCTAATCTATATTTGGCAGTTCACCAATTATTTTGATATAGAGATAAATTAACAACGAAATGAGATCTGGTCAATAAAACCATATTAAAAAGTCTGTTGCAGCATTAGAAATCTGGCACACAAATAATGCATCTGGCATTGAGCAGAAAAATAAATATATCCTAATAGGAACAATGAAAAAAAAAAATAATATTTTATTTTACTCAGTTCTTATTGAACTCAGTTCTTAGTTTTATTGAAAACACATTATAAACATCCAAAGGAAAAATATATAGAAGAAAAATCCACATACTGTTCATGTCCTATATAATGAAATCTGCAACCATGGTTGCTGGGGACATTTAGAAGAACCCCACTTTATTGTCATCAAATTACATTTTTAATCTCCCAAATCCTTAGTGCGGTTTCACACTAAAGACCTTATGATCTTATTGCAACATACTGAGATCTGGATTTCACAATGACAGATTAGTTATGTATCAAATTTTATTTTCTTAAATTCAGCGAGTTTCCCATAAACTTTAACCAGAGGTGGGGGAATCGGCCAGGTATAAATAATGTTTTCTTATTCCACAGTCATGATATTTACTTAAAGGACCACTATAGGCACCCAGACCACTTCAGCTTAATGAAGTGGTGTGGGTGCCAGGTCCAGCTAGGGTTAACCCTTTTTTCTATAAACGTATATATAAATGGGTTAATCCAGCCTCTAGTGGCTGTCTCATTGACAGCCGCCAGAGGCGCTTGCGTGCTTCTCACTGTGATTTTTTTTCGATCATGATATTTACTTAAAGGACCACTATAGGCACCCAGACCACTTCAGCTTAATGAAGTGGTGTGGGTGCCAGGTCCAGCTAGGGTTAACCCTTTTTTCTATAAACGTATATATAAATGGGTTAATCCAGCCTCTAGTGGCTGTCTCATTGACAGCCGCCAGAGGCGCTTGCGTGCTTCTCACTGTGATTTTTTTTCGATTGAGAATGCTTTCCTATGAGACTGGCTGAATGGGCGCGCAGCTCTTGCCACGCATGCGCATTCAGCCGGGGAGGAGGAGAGGAGGCGGAGAGGAGGAGGAGAGCTCCCCGTCCAGCGCTGGAGAAAGAGGTAAGTTTAACCCCTTCTTCCCCCTAGAGCCCGGCAGGAGGGGGACCCTGAGGGTGGGGGCACCCTCAGGGCACTATAGTGCCAGGAAAACCAGTATGTTTTCCTGGCACTATAGTGGTCCTTTAAAGGGGAACTTTCTATAAATTAAAACTTGAAACGCTTCACAAAGTTGGCCATGAGTCTTGGTGACATCACAGAAAATAAATTTTTACCGTAAGCAAAAATTCTAAGCAGTGTATGCTTAGAATTCATTAGAAGAGTGCAGGCAGTAACTCAAACAGTGAGAAAGGCCAACGACTGTTTGTAGAAAATTCAGGGAATGCACTGACTCACACTGGAGAAAGGAGAATTAATTGGCACCATAACCTATTTCAAATTAAGTGACTATGGTAATTAAAACTTTGCGAAGATGCATACATTAACATATATTACATGATATCAAAAGTGAATTTTTCCATGATGATTTTCCCTTAAAACTCTTTGTCTACCTACGTGCACATACATTCGGTAAATATAAAAAAAAATTGTCTAAGTAATTCCTATGGGCAATTAAAACTGAATACACATATGTAAATTGAACATAATAATGATGTCAAATTAAATTAGAGAGTTGACGGGGGTTGGCATTTGTTTTGATACTGAAACATTTGTGTTTTATGTGCACTTAATGTGGATGGATGCATATATATGCATGTCTATGAGTCTTAGGATTAAGCACCCATTAGTCAATTGCCTTGTAAACAGCATAGGTGTAAAAGCCTTGGTTAAAACTAAAAGCTGACGTCCTACACTTCAAAAGAAGTTAACACTTGTTGTAGAGCAAAATGTTGACTATCCCCTGGATCTTTGGGACTGTAAGGTAACCAACAATCAGACTTATGATGCTAACAACATGGGTTATTATTGTTTACATATCTGGTGGTCGTAACCCAAAATACGACCCATTTGGATGCCGGTCAACGGCCCTCATCTACCAAATAATTATCGAAACTATAGTTTCACTCATGGATCTTACTCCTTCTATAGTCTAAGTATAAACAATAAAACAAATGATTAGCAAACACCATTCTAGAAATGAGACAGCTACATCGATAACATTTCATTTTCTCTCATTCAGGTACCATCAAATGGACATGCCGATACTTCTAGTGTGATCCCCGGCATAGAAACCGCTTCCAGACAGAGATTTTCATCTTGATTTTGATACCAAACATGCCTCCTTCCTCTTTATTCTACCTCTCTATTAGTACACACGTAGTTTGGCTTATATTTCTGTCTGTTGTTGTTTCCAAATTAAAAGGGACATTCTAAGCACCCAAAAACTAAAAACCTCTTATAATGTACGTGTTTTGAGCACAGATACTGTCGTTTTTTGTTTTGTTTTTTTTTTAACAATGAAATACATTGTCTTTTCTCAGAATGTGCATGATAAATATTATTGCATTTATTACTCTCACACTCCTACCACTTACAGGAGAAACTGATATGCTTTCATTCTATCGGGAAATATGACTTACCAGGGTGGTATAGAACAATAAATATAAACAATTTCCTTTTTGATGAACCCACAATATTTCTACATACACGAATAAGTCGAATTAATATATTATCTGTATGATATTATATATGTAATAAATAATAAAAGCAACCAACTAGCCCAAAACTGGAAATCATTTACTGAAAAATAAAAACATCTTTGCTAAAAAGAACAATTATGAAAATATGAACATAATGATAAGTCATTTCAACATCACGTCAATTCTTTAATTATTGACTGAAGTGTGGAGTAATTGCAAAATGTACATGAATGTAAATTTAAGTCAAAATAGTAATTTTGAAAAAAAAAATTTTTTTTACATTTTTCCCAGCCTACATTTTGCATCTTGGATATCAATTCGCCATAGCTTACAGCTTAATCAATAAAATATTTTCTTTTCCAGTAAAACACAAACACACGTACCTGTTGATCAAGTTCTTCAGATTTGCCGATCCTTATACAAGGGTCTCCCCTTAATACCTTTCCAGATTTGTCCCGAGCTGCACATAGCCTTGGTGGCTCATCATGCAACTTTCGATAAGATATAAGTCTTACATTATCGTCTTCTGTATAAGACGTGTCTTTTTTTTCTATTTTGTTTTCCCTGTGATCCATAGCCATCACTGTTATCAGTATATTAATTCTGACCAATAATAAAGAACTACATTAACTTGAAATAATAATAATAATTTTTTTTTTTTTTTAAAGATATTCTCTGTTCTAAAGAATTCTGGGAGATTGTTTAATTCAGCTGAGCGTCTCCTGTGATTCCCATGACTAGAGCACAGTTACATGCTTATATAGACTTGGAAAGGTCTGCACTCCACTGTTTACACCTGCACAATATTCAAATTCTACTGTACGATTTACATTTCTAGCACTCCACCCAGATTGGCTTTGCACACTGCTCTCCAGGTGAATGAGTACAGGGCAGTCTCTTATACACATAGCAAGTGTTTAATAACCTGAGTCTGTGTATGCTACTAAATCCGTGTGCATAAGTACAGCCAGTGCACACCTCCTGCCATTCATTTATTTGTTCTGCTTTCAGCTGTGTCATGCAAAGACATATTACTTCCAATATGATCTAAATAGAACGTTTATGAATATTAAATGTGGGCTGGAAATAAAAATCATGAAAACAACATGTTTGTGTATGTTGGGTTATTACAAGAAGCAAAGTGTGGCAGACAAAAGTGCTTTGTATTTGTAAATTAGTAACTGGGAAAAAACAAAAATTAATTTAAAAATAAAGTAAATAGTTTTATGTATAAAAATAGACATTGATTGAATATTGGCTTGTTTTATGAAAATGTTATTCTTGCATAGCCCCAAACTGTCCCAGATTCAGCAGGTCTGCCACCCCACTGCACACAGTGTGCCACATACAGTGATAATGATGAATAAATAAAAACACTACAGATACTATAACAACTATGCATCTAGGAGAGGTTATGATACAAAGGTTCTTATTCTTGTCTTCCTTCTCCTAGCTACTTATAAGGGCAGTAATCTGCAAAAACTGCAGAGGTGATCGGCTTGCCACCTCTTTACTGAAATGCATCACACAAGGAAGCCTCATGCATGTACTTAAATGTTGTGAGCCTGATGGACGAGAGCATTCTATACAAATACTTACTTCTCTTCTCTTATCAGTTCCATTCCAGTTTGCTGCTAAGGGTTCAACTATTTATCCCATAAACCAAAACGGAGCTGGAGCTTATATCCATAGCTCTCCCACTGAAATCAATGGTCATGAAATTAAAATATATATATTTTTTATTTTGTCTTTGTTTTTGAAGTCCACACAATCTTAGAGAGAGTCTCTTTGAAACCTAACAAATTCCGGGCAGCCAATAAAAACCATTTATCCGCTATAAAATTTGCCGTAGTTAAAATTGTTTGAATCCAGACAACCATTCCTGGCCGCCTTATTGTGACCATGTTGAGCTGATAGCACTGAACCTGTTAACTTATTATATAAACTGTTGTAGAGACTGTGCCATTGACAGTGTGTACATAATGTAAAGCAAGCATGTTTTGAGAGCTACTTGGGCTGTACGACCTTGACCAGTCCCTCTATGCCATTTCTCGGATACAGTTTTTTTTTAAATTTGATTTTGGGGTTATCTTGCTTGCTGTATACAAAGCTGCCTGATTCAAAATGTACACTGATCCTACATAACGATCATGTGAGACTGAAATTGCCAAATTTAGACCAAAACATTTTCCAAATCAGCAATTTTTGCAGATACATTATATTGGCCTCAATTTATGCCACTTCAGTTCATTTATTATAGTTTGTCATGCTTAATTTTCCAGAAAATAATATCCAAACAAGAAGTTGCAGTTTCCAAGTGCTCCTGCATAAAGACAAAAGTCCTTCATGTTACATAAAGGAAAACTATTAGGTAAAAATTACTTTATTTTAAAGAAAATATATTAAAAGACATAGAAAAAATAAACACAGACGACAAAGTCACAGGATAGTGCCTAAACGTTGTCTTTTCCTCTTAACTTTAAATACAAGACTGTCTGTTATTAAGAAACCATTGGGTGTGCCCAGACATATGTTTTTGTTCTATTAAAACAAACCCCATAAAAACACATGCCAATGTATATATACATTAAACAATATAACAATATTGCATAAGGTTTTAAGTACCTCAAAATCCATCAGCTCAGAAAAAGCTTACTGCCTCCCAGAATAACTTCCATTTCACAAACCTGTCCTGTCCTTTCTCTCTCCTAAAGGGCCACACTCCACTCGCACCTTCCAGTTCTGCTACTTTCCCACCTTTTTATTTGGTTGCTATCCCTCGCCATGCCCTTCCGATGGTGTTTTATACCCCACCTCCTCTACACTGTAAGCTCGTTTGAGCACGGTTCTCAAAAACCTATTGTTCCTGTAACATTTTGTAATCGTCTCATTTGTTGTTAACTGTCCCCTTTTTAGAATACTGTAAAGGGCTGCGCAATAAGGTGGCACTACATAATTACCAAAAATAATAATAAAAAGGACCATTTTGTTAAAGAACCACTCTAGGCACCCAGACCACTTCAGTTTAATGAAGTGGTCTGGGTGCCAGGTCCCTCTAGGATTAACCCTTTTTAAAATAAACATAGCAGTTTCAGGGAAACTGCTATGTTTATAATAGGGTTAATCCAGCCTCCAAATCCTCTAGTGGCTGTCTCATTGACAGCCGCTAGAGGCGCTTGCATGATTCTCACTGTGAAAATCACAGTGAGAACACGCAAGCGTCCATAGGAAAGCAATATAAATGCTTTCCTATGAGACCGGCTGAATGCGTGCGCAGTTCTTGCCGCGCGTGCGCATTCACCCGAAAGGGAGGAGAGGAGGAGGAGAGGAGGAGGAGAGGAGGAGAAGAGCTCCCCACCCGACGAGGGAAAAAAAAAGTAAGTTTTAACCCTTTCCTCTCCCCAGAGCCGGGCGGGAGAGGGACCCTGAGGGTGGGGGCACCCTCAGGGCACTATAGTGCCAGGAAAACGAGTATGTTTTCCTGGCACTATAGTGGTCCTTTAAGGAAAAACATAACAGCAAAAGTTGGATAAGGTGAGAACACTTTAATCCAATTCGAGAAGAAGAAAAAAAAAGGTAGAATAAAAAGGAGGAGGAAAGAGGGTGCAGTGGACAAAGGGTAGGTCCCAGGCATATAATCAATACACATAATACGTGAAGCATTACTAGTTACACAAAAAGAAAACAACATCATGAAAAAGGTTTCATAATACAGGAAACACTGGTAAAGGTGAGAAATATGGCAGAGCAAAATAAATATTTCCTCAATCAATGAGCATGCAGTAAAAATGTTTGAATTGCAAACTTCAAAAATGTTCTGTTTTTACAAAAAAGAGTTTGCTCACCATCAGCGTTTCTGTTTAGTTAATCAACCTGCTGACCTGTCCTTCATCAGGAAAGAAATTCTTATTCTATAAACCTCTGCACAACAGAGATACAGTTGCAAGAAAAAATATGTGAACCCTTTGAAATGATATGGATTTCAGCACAAATTGGTCATAAAATGTGATCTGATCATCATCTAAGTCACAACAATAGACAATCACAGTCTGCTTAAACTAATAACCCACAAAGAATGAAATGTTGCCGTGTTTTTATTGAACACACCATGTAAACATTCACAGTGCAGGTGGAAAAAGTATGTGAACCCCAAGACTAATGACATCTCCAAGAGCTAATTGGAGTGAGATGTCAGCCAACTGGAATCCAATCAATGAGGTGAGATTGGAGGTGTTGGTTACAGCTGCCCTGCCCTATAAAAAACACACACCAGTTCTGGGTTTGCTTTTCAGAAGAAGCATTGCCTAATGTGAATGATGCCTCGCACAAAAGAGCTCTCAGAAGACCTACGATTGTTGACTTGCATAAAGCTGGAAAGGGTTATAAAAGTATCTCCAAAAGCCTTGCTGTTCATCAGTCCACAGTAAAACAAATTGTCTGTAAATGGAGAAAGTTCAGCACTGCTGCTACACTCCCTAGGAGTGGCCGTCCTGTAAAGATGACTGAAAGAGCACAGCGCAGACTGCTCAATAAGGTGAAGAAGAATCCTAGAGTGTCAGCTAAAGACTTACAAAAGTCACTGGCAAATGCTAACATCCCTGTTAGCGAATCTACAATACGTAAAACACTAAACAAGAATGGATTTCATGGGAGGATACCACAGAGGAAGCCACTGTTGTCCAAACAAAACATTGCTGCACGTTAACAGTTTGCACAAGAGCACCTGGATGTTCCACAGCAGTACTGGCAAAATATTCTGTGGACAGATGAAACCAAAGTTGAGTTGTTTGGAAGAAACACACAACACTATGTATGGTGAAAAAAAGGCACAGCACACCAACATCAAAACCTCATCCCAACTGTGAAGTATGGTGGTGGGGCATCATGGTTTGGGGCTGCTTTGCTGCGTCAGGGCCTGGACGGATTGCTATCATCGAAGGAAAAATGAATTCCCAAGTTTATCAAGACATTTTGCAGAAGAACTTAAGGCCATCTGTCTACCAGCTGAAGCTCAACAGAAGATGGGTGTTGCAACAGGACAATGACCCAAAGCATAGAAGTAAATCAACAACAGAATGGCTTAAACAGAAGAAAATACGCCTTCTGAAGTGGCCCAGTCAGAGTCCTGACCTCAACCCGATTGAGATGCTGTGGCATGACCTCAAGAAAGCGATTCACACCAGACATCCCAAGAATATTGCTGAACTGAAACAGTTCTGTAAAGAGGAATGGTCAAGAATTACTCCTGACCGTTGTGCACGTCTGATCTGCAACTACAGGAAACGTTTGGTTGAAGTTATTGCTGCCAAAGGAGGTTCAACCAGTTATTAAATCAAAGGGTTCACATACTTTTTCCACCTGCACTGTGAATGTTTACATGGTGTGTTCAATAAAAACATTTCATTCTTTGTGTGTTATTAGTTTAAGCAGACTGTGATTGTCTATTGTTGTGACTTAGATGATGATCAGATCACATTTTATGACCAATTTGTGCAGAAATCCATATCATTCCAAAGGGTTCACATACTTTTTATTGCAACTGTACATGGGATAAATAGTCAATAAAATAGTTTATCTCCAAAGAATAGTCCCACTTAAGACTTAGAATAAGTGGGACTACTCTGTAAACTTATATCAACCATACCACAAAAGCTATCAGTTTACACATAGCCTCAGTCACAGTTTTTTTTTTACAAAGGAGGTTTTTTAAAAAAAAATATATAGTTATATCTCTCTATTTGTCTCCATTTTTTTCTATTTTCTATTCTACTTTTTTTTGTGTGTGTCTGTGAGGTGCTGTGTGTGTTTGATCTTTGATCTCCTCACCAGACCGAGTGGGCTGACAGCAAGGCTGGCTCTCCATGGGCCGGCAGGGAAGATGAAAGGATTTCCCCTGCTGGCCATGGAGGTCCACCGGGCATTTTCTGCAGAACCTGCCACCTCGCACCTGAAATCCCAAACCGCCCAATAGTGGGAGGTAGGGACCAGGTTGACTACCCCTGAGTTAATCTGACTAGATTAGAATATTGGCAGGTCTCCGTTCTGCACATACATGATCCATGTCTTTGCTGTCTTTCTTGGGAGGAAACAAAGCTCAGTGCAAGATGTGCATCATCCAGCATGCCGATGGCACAAGCAAAATTGAACATTGGGTACCACTCACTAAGGGGGTGCATTTCGCCACCCCTGTGTTTTATGTAAAGGGACCGGTGTGCCGTGTTGGAGTATCCACGAGTTTCCCATCCAGCAGCAGTAGGTCCTCTGATCTCGCGATCCGCGAGAGCGTTGCTGCGGGTTGCAACGCTCTCGCGGATCGCAAGAACAGAGGACCCTGCTGCTGCTGTTGGATGGGAAACGAGCATGGAGAGTTCTGGGCCCCTCTTCAGTGCCCAGTGATGCTGTGCCACCGGACCACCAGTCGAGGAGGACAGGACGGGCAGGTAAGTGGCAGCATTTATTCCACACAACATACACACTGCATCTGCACACACTGCACACACACACTGCATACACACTACACACTGCATACACACACACTGCATACAGTATACACACACTGCATACACTATACATACACTATACACACACTGCATACACTATACACACTGCATACACACACTGATTACACTCTTCATAAACTCTACACACACTGCATACACACACTGAATACACATACTGCATACACACTTCATACACTATACATGCACACTGCATACACTATACACACACTGCACACTTCATACATTATACACATACTGCATACATTAAACACACACTGCATTTACTATACAAGCACACACACTGCATCCACTACGCAAACACACACTTATACATGTGTACCTGTATGTCTGTGTATCTGTATGTGTATCTGTTTGTGTGTCTGTGTTTGTGCCAATACATTAAAACAAATTGCAGTTGTTTTTTACAGGGGGGGCGCCAAATAAATGATCCGCCCAGGGTGCCAAATACTCCAGGTACGCCCCTGGCTGTACAATCTTTTGATTTACTGTAGGGCTTAGGCAGGATTTGTTTCTGTACAGGGCACCTAGTTTTGGATAAAGTTTTGATGCAAGCTTTTCTATGTGCAGGCCAAAAGATAGATTGGGGTCTAATATCATACTCAAGTATTTGAAAGAGTGGACTGCGGTCAGTGTGCCATTTGAATTTGTTTTGATGGATAGGTGGGAATTGTGTAATTTGTGTAATTTAGGTACTGTTCCAAAGATCATTGTGACAGTTTTGTCAGTGGTCAGGAAGAGTTTGTTTTTTGCGATCCACTTTTCTACCTCTGTAAACTGGTCTTGGAGCACAGCCTCAAGTTGCGGTAGATTGGAATTGCTCGCATAGATTACTGTGTCATCTGCGTACATTTGAGGATTTGCAGACCATTAGGCAGATCATTTATAAATAATGTAAATAGTAGGGGGCCGAGAATGGAACCCTGGGGAACACCACACGTGACTGGGAGACTGAGGGAGTCACTGTCAGAAATGGACACATATTGCGAGCGATCCGATACATACGATCAAAACCAGGTTAGCGAATGATCACCAATACCTGAGTTTTTGAGTTTGTGCAGTAGAATGTCATGGTCTACTGTGTCAAAGGCCTTAGCAAAATCAAGGAAAATAGCTCCAGTTAGGGCTCCTTGTTCCATGCTAGTTTGGATGTCATTGCAAACTTTTAAGAGGGCAGTTGTAGTGGAGTGATTCTGGCGAAAGCCCGATTGATCAGGGGTCAGATAGTTTAATTGTTGGTAGTACTCACAAAGTACTCACATTTTTCGAAGATTTTTGACAATGCCAGGAGCAATGAAATTGGGCGATAGTTAGAAACCAATGTAGTGTCACTACTTTTATGGATAGGCACTACTCTCGCAGTCTTCCAAAGTTTGGGTATGTATCCAGGGGCTAGAGTTCACTCTCGCGAGATCTGAGCGTTGCCGCTATAACGCTTCAGAACTCATGAGAGGAACCTGGCGGAGCTGCTGGCAAGAGCTCCCCGGGTAGTCTCCTGCCTCCCTCCCTGCCTGTGGGCCAGTGGAGAGGGATGCTTAGAGCAGAGCCGGCGCTCGGATAGTGCCGGCTCTGCATGGACAGACAGGGGAGATCCGACAGGGGAGATCCTGGAGTGAGCCGGTCTCACTCATTAGTCGTATCGCGGGGATTAGGGTGTGCCCAGGCACACCCGGCACACCCCGTGCGCATGCCTCTGAAAGCTTGAATGGAGCTTTCTCTCTGGTTGAGTTATATACGTAACTGAATTATGGATTACCTGTGACCCTGTCACTTAACGATGTGGACTGGGGTGTAAGAGCTTGAAGCTGCTGATGCAACGCCTATGTGAAAAAGAGGGTCCAGAGAAGGAAGCCATGTTGTAGCTCAACCATAATGGTAGGGTTTGTCGTGAAATAATGAATTTATCGGATAGGGAGTGGGTGCCCTTGGAGATGTAATAGTGAAGTGTCAGGGTAGGAGGTTTAAGAAAGGTGTGTGATTAGGGCAGGTTGTGAGGACCTGGTAAACTCTGATAACGGTAGAGATTCTGTAATAGTGAAACTTTAAGGTGTAGGTTAGAGGAAGAGGCAAAAATCACCATAGTGTTACAGTAAAGTCTTGTTTCAAGTAAAACTCTGCTTGTGAAATTGTTACAATATACAATGCCCTGGTGTGAGTGATAGAGTAGTTGGGTGAAACTGCGTGAGTATCTGTGCATGGTGTAATTGTGTGCTTAGTCCAAGATTAAAGGACCACTCTAGGCACCCAGACCACTTCAGCTTAATGAAGTGGTCTGGGTGCCAGGTCCTTCTAGGGTTAACCCATTTTTTTTATATCCATAGCAGTTTCAGAGAAACTGCTATGTTTATGAATGGGTTAAGCCTTCCCCCAAAGCCTCTAGCGGCTGTCTCATTGACAGCCACTAGAGGCGCTTGCGTGCTTCTCACTGTGAAAATCACAGTGAGAACACGCAAGTGTCCATAGGAAAGCATTGTAAATGCCGCGCGTGCGCATTCAGCCGAATGGGCGGAGAGGAGGAGGATCGGAGGAGGAGAGCTCCCCGCCCAGCGCTGGAAAAAGGTAAGTTTTAACCCCTTTCCTCTTTCCAGAGCCGGGAGTACACACATACTTCCTGTAAAGAGAGCCCTGCTATGTTGCCAATGCAAATATTGTTTCACGTCTGCGTTAGCTGTTGAAATATTCAATTCCAAAAGGTAGTGTTGCACTCAGTGAACCCAATCGAGTCTGCTACCACGCCTGGAGCACCATGAAAGGGGATCTGCAGTCCATTATAAGTATTTAAAATCAAATTCCCGAGAGTAGTGTAAATAGGAAGGATTTGTACACAGGATCAGGAGAACAAAATCATATAAAATGTTTCGGCGTCAAGCCTCATTCATGTATATTAAAGCTTGACGCCGAAACGTATCTCATTTTGTTCTCCTGATCCGGAATAAAACTCCTTCCTATTTGCACTACTCTGTGAAGCCTTTAGAATTTGATTTTGAGCTGTTCAAATATCTTCATGTTTGGACAACGATAGGACGCAAGCATTGGTTTGAAGTCGTCCAGTGGCCATATGTGGTACTGCAGGTCAAAATGCAATCATGGAGTCGTCACAATCAGGGCCCAAAGCAGGTGCCCCTTGAGCCTGCAACAAACTAATCAGGGGAGAAGTGACCTGAACTTAATTATCACCGCAAGGAAACAAAATGACAGGGGCCAGGTGCAATATTAAAGGGACCTTTAATATTGCACCTGGCCCCTGTCATTTTGTTTCCCTGGGGGGAGGAGTAAGTTCAGGTGACTTCTTCCCGGCCAGCTAACAGGGAGCTGCGTAGGGAGGAGGAGGGGGCTGCACACACAGAGAAGAGGTACTGAGGAAGCCTGGATGCTTGTGTTAGTGTGTATGTGTGTCTTTGCTCCCGTGTATCTGTGTGTTTGTGAGTGTGTGTGCATATCTGTGCATGTGGCAGTGCATACATCCCAGCATTAGGCATGTGCATGGAGAAAATTTTCAGTTCGGTTCGGCATTCTCAAATTCGAGACTTCGACACTTCGGAACTTTGGCAACTTCAGAACTTCTCCTGCAGCCGCTTAGCAGATAACTCCCTAATTCCCACGGTATTAGGAAGTTATCTACCAAAAGGCTGAAAGACCTAAATTGGTCTTTCAGCCAAATTTACTAATACTAAGTAAAAATTACTTAGTATTAGTAAATTTTGCCCCTACTCGCTATACTGCGAGTAGGGGCATGTCTATTAAACAGTGAGCAGCCTGCGACGGGTGGGGGCCCTAAATACTAATAAGGGGGGACCTAATGTCCTACCCACTGGCCCCCACCCCTGAGCGGTGGGTGGGGGCCCTAAATACTAATAAGGGGGGGACCTAATGTCCTCCACCCTGGCCCCCACCCCTGAACGGTGGGTGGGGGCCCCAAATTAGAATGCAATATAATTAACAAATGAAAAAAAAAACTGTGCAAAATAAATAACAATAATCCCCTCAAGGCCCCAGGAGAGACTACAATTGAGGGCTAATGGGCCACGGAGGGGGGTCTTTCTAGCAGAGGCTACCAGAAGTGTCCTTCAGAGAGTGTGTTCGAAAGAATCCCCTCAAGACCCCAGTATAGACTACAATGGAGTCTAATGGGGCCTGGAGGGGTGTCTTTCCAACACTCTGGTTCTTATTCACAATATAGCAACACAGCATAGCTCGCTGATACCTAGGCCAAGTTGGCTCCTCTCACCTTAATTACTGTTGCTGGCTGGCAGTCTGTGGGCTTTCTGGTTATGGCTGGCAGGCTGTGGGTTGCTGGCTACTGCCGGCAGGCTGTGGGCTTGCTGGCTACTGCCGGCAGGCTGTGGGCTTGCTGGCTACTGCCGGCAGGCTGTGGGCTTGCTGGCTACTGCCGGCAGGCTGTGGGCTTGCTGGCTACTGCCGGCTGGCTGTGGGCTTGCTGGCTACTGCCGGCTGGCTGTGGGCTTGCTGGCTACTGCCGGCTGGCTGTGGGCTTGCTGGCTACTGCCGGCTGGCTGCGGCTCTCAGGCTGAGGGCTTGCTGGCTACGGCTGGCAGGCTGTGGGCTTGCTGGCTACTGCCGGCTGGCTGTGGGCTTGCTGGCTACTGCCGGCTGGCTGTGGGCTTGCTGGCTACTGCCGGCTGGCTGTGGGCTTGCTGGCTACTGCCGGCTGGCTGCGGCTCTCAGGCTGAGGGCTTGCTGACTGCGGCTGGCAGGCTGTGGCTTGCTGGCTACGGCGGCAGGCTGTGGGCTTGCTGTCTGTAAGCCTGTGGCTTGCTGTAGGCCTGTGGGCTGGCTGCTGGCTTCTGGCTGGCTGCTTGCCTGTGGGATGGTTAACTGGTGGCCTGTGGGCTGGATGGCTGGCCTGTGGGCTGGCTGGCTTGCTGGCCTGTTGGCTAGCTGGCTGGCTACCCAACCTGCTGGCCTTTGGGCTGGCTGGCTGGCCTGTGGGCTGGCTGGCCTCTAAAGATGGCTGACAAAGGTGTGGCCGAGCCCAGTAAGGCAGTGTGCGGAATACAATGTACATGTATGTGGTTGTGTAGTGGATGATGTGTATATGTGTAGTGTATGATGTGTGTGGTTGTGTAGTGGATGATGTGTGTGGTTGTGTAGTGGATGATGTGTATTTGTGTAGTGGATGCATTTTGTATGTTTGATGTATGTGTGTGGTGGATGTGTGACATATGCTGCTGGGGGGTACTTTTTAGCGGTTGAATTTTTATATATATATATTTTTTTTTAAATGTATTTCCCCTCCCTGTCTTTTACCTGTAGTCAGGAAGGGGGACGTTGGATTCCCTGGTGGTCCGGTGGCTCAGCTTTATGGGCCAGCATAGAGTGGCCCAGCAGACATCTTCCCCCTCCTGCAGCCAGTGCTCTTTATCTTTAACGAGCCCAGCATGCATTGCGTGCCGCGGAGCGTTATTTTTTGTTTTTTTTTAGTTTCAGTTATTATGGATTTTTTTATTTGGCCTTTTTTGGGGCTGAAGAAAAAAAGAAGATTTTAGAAGAAAGAAAACATCAAATGGTAAGTTTTTGTTTTTTTTACAGGTCCCCCCCTCATTATTTTTAGGGTGAGGGGGGTGGGTGGGGGTTAATTTTTTTGGGGAGGTGACCTTATTTTACTTTAGGGCCCCCACCCACCGCTCAGGGGTGGGGGCCAGGGGGGAGGACATAAGGTCCCCCCCCATTAGTATTTAGGGCCCCCACCCACCACTCAGGGTGGGGGCCGGGGGGGAAATAGGTCCCCCCCTTTAGGTTAGAAGCCCCCACTTGCGCAGCACGGGTGGGGGCTTGGGAGGGGGAGACTTTTTTTTAAGGTATAGCGAGTAGGGGCATAATTCACTAATACTAAGTAATCTTTATTTAGTATTAGTAAATTGGCTGAAAGACTAATTTAGGTCTTTCAGCCTTTTAGTAGATAGCTCCCTAATACCGTGGGAATTAGGGAGTTATCTACTCATTCATTCCTGTCATTACACTGACTGGCTAAGTAACTTACATTTTAGATGAATGTATGTTACTTGATTGATGTAAGTGTTGCAAATGCTTACAGCTGACTCCTGGCTATGTTTGTATACTTTTTATTTAAAACTGAATACAGTGTAACATTCTTCATTCTTCCACTTGGTAAGTATATTAGTTCTGAGGCAATACTATGCTTCTGCACTTCAACACTTTGGAAATTCGGTAATTTCGGAACTTCGACCATTCGGCAATTCATCTATTCGGACATTTGGAAGTACCTGCATGTCCGAATTTCCCGGAATTTGTCCGAATTCACATTCGGACCAAAACGAATTGCACATGTCTACCAAGCATTTCAATGCCAACACTGCACATAAATACACCCCTGCATGTGTACCTGTGTATCTGAGTATGTGTACATGTGTATCTGTGTGTGGCAATACATACACCCCTGCATTCTAGCACTGCACACAAATACACCCCTTTCACCTTGCCCACAATCACCACACACACACTGTCACCACCTTAAAGGACCACTATAGTGCCAGGAAAACATACCTGGAAAACTTACCTTTTTTCCAGCGTCGGGTGGGGAGCTCTCTTCCTCCTCTCCTCCCTTTCGGGTGAATGCGCACGCGCGGCAAGAACTGCACGCGCATTCAGCCGGTCCCATAGGAAAGCATTTACATTGCTTTCCTATGGACGCTTGCGTGTTCTCACTGTGATTTTCACAGTGAGAATCATGCAAGCACCTCTAGCGGCTGTCAATGAGACAACCATTAGAGGATTTGGAGGCTGGATTAACCCTATTATAAACATAGCAGTTTCTCTGAAACTGCTATGTTTATTTTAAAAAGGGTTAATCCTGGAGGGACCTGGCACCCAGACCACTTCATTAAACTGAAGTGGTCTGGGTGCCTAGAGTGGTTCTTTAACAAAATGGTCCTTTTTATTATTATTTTTGGTAATTATGTAGTGCCACCTTATTGCGCAGCCCTTTACAGTATTCTAAAAAGGGGACAGTTAACAACAAATGAGACGATTACAAAATGTTACAGGAACAATAGGTTTTTGAGAACCATGCTCAAACGAGCTTACAGTGTAGAGGAGGTGGGGTATAAAACACCATCGGAAGGGCATGGCGAGGGATAGCAACCAAATAAAAAGGTGGGAAAGTAGCAGAACTGGAAGGTGCGAGTGGAGTGTGGCCCTTTAGGAGAGAGAAAGGACAGGACAGGTTTGTGAAATGGAAGTTATTCTGGGAGGCAGTAAGCTTTTTCTGAGCTGATGGATTTTGAGGTACTTAAAACCTTATGCAATATTGTTATATTGTTTAATGTATATATACATTGGCATGTGTTTTTATGGGGTTTGTTTTAATAGAACAAAAACATATGTCTGGGCACACCCAATGGTTTCTTAATAACAGACAGTCTTGTATTTAAAGTTAAGAGGAAAAGACAACGTTTAGGCACTATCCTGTGACTTTGTCGTCTGTGTTTATTTTTTCTATTTCTTTTAATATATTTTCTTTAAAATAAAGTAATTTTTACCTAATAGTTTTCCTTTCTGTAACATGAAGGACTTTTGTCTTTATGCAGGAGCACTTGGAAACTGCAACTTCTTGTTTGGATATTATTTTCTGGAAAATTAAGCATGACAAGCTATAATAAATGAACTGAAGTGGCATAAATTGAGGCCAATATAATGTATCTGCAAAAATTGCTGATTTGGAAAATGTTTTGGTCTAAATTTTGCAATTTAATTCTCACATGGTCGTTATGTAGGATCAGTGTACATTTTGAATCAGGCAGCTTTGTATACAGCAAGCAAGATAACCCCAAAATCAAATTAAAAAAAAAAACCTGTATCCGAGATATGGCATAGAGGGACTGGTCAAGGTCGTACAGCCCAAGTAGCTCTCAAAACAAGACACAAATGCTTGATTTACATTCCGGCTCTGGAAGGGGGAAAGGGGTAAAAACTTACCTTTTTCCAGCGCTGGGCGGAGAGCTCTCCTCCTTCTCTCCTCCTCCTCTCCGCCCCGTCGGTTTAATGCACACGCGCGGCAAGAGCTGCACGCGCATTCAGCAATGCTTTCCTATGGACGCTGGCGTGCTCTCACTGTGAAAATCACAGTGAGAAGCACGCAAGCGCCTCTAGTGGCTGTCAATGAGACAGCCACTAGAGGATTAGGGGGAAGGCTTAACCCATTAATAAACATAGCAGTTTCTCTGAAAAAAAATGGGTTAACCCTAGCTGGACCTGGCACCCAGACCACTTCATTAA